ACACTGCTGAGGGGAGCAATGGGCGGATCAGGAGAGGTCTGCCGCGCCCTGTGGGTCACCTCTAGGGCAGGGGATGGAACTCACACTCAGGTGGATGCAGCCTAACCCGTTGTACCACCAGGGAGGGCCCTGAGGCTTTTTTATAGTGAACATGGAAGGAAACCCTTGACTTATTTCTGTTGGCATCCCCCTGGGTGGAACCTCTAGAGGCATACTCTTTTCTCTGCTTTGCATTTAATTGCTGTTGTTCAGTTCTCCTCTGATCAACTCTGTTCTGGCCTCACTTTGACCCAGATCTGTTACTTTGTTTTATTTTTTCCCCCTTCCTCTCCCACCTGCTTCCTGCACCTCTGGCCAGCACTTCATGTGTAGATTAGTGTAGGAATTCCTACCCAGTGCTACTGCCTGCAGCCCATCCCACCCACCATCCCCATCTTTATTTTCTTAGTACTTTTATCCAGTCATCCTTTTACAAACTTAACAGAAGTTCCACAGTCCTCTGCTTGGGGCTGGTGATTCTTCATGACCTAGCCTCACCTCACCTGTTAGCTTACAGCTTCTCAAAGAATCCTGATCCTTCTGTGTCCACAGCATATGGTCATTTCCAGCATCAGCTTTTGGGTTGTGATATTTACTCCTAGTACTTTACAGGCTTCTCTCCCATCCAGCTATGTCCTGCCTCTCCTACATCCATCCTCCTGTCTGCACTCAGTATCATTAACAAACTGCATTTGACTGTTGAGTCAAATGCAGCCCTGTGTCACTTGATTGAGATGTGAATCTTACCACCTCATAAGGACCTCATATTCTCTCTCATCATGTCTATTATCTCTTAGTGTTAAACTTTGTTGATATGTCTCTCAGTGTTTAAGTGCTGAATAAACTTAAAAGGAATGAGTCACTCAGTTGCAGGCAGTAAAGCTGTGTCACTATTACCAAAACAAATCAGAGTCAGGAGCATAGGGAGACTTTCCCCAGATTCACCTTAGATAGGGAAATTTATCTTCTTACTGTCCTGCTTATTCCCTCAAAAAGCTTCACAAAAAGCATGTTCCTGGAAAGAACTTTCATTATATAAAACATCTGCCAACAAACACTTTCTGAGTTGTTATAAAACCAGATGAAATCTGGCCCTCCCTGGTGGCGCAGCGGGTTAAAGCACAGCACTGAGAATCTAAGATGGCTTCCGCATGAGTTCAACTCCCACCTGCCCCGGAGGTGACCACATGGCGTGGCAGATCTCTCCTGACCCACCCGCTGCTCCCCTCAGCAGTGTACTTCGTCGATCTGCCTGTTCTGCTCCCCACTCTGTCTCTGGTGAAGCCTCTCACCCTCCGCATCTCTGGCCTGTACCCCAGTTCTGTATACATAAATAAATAAGTCTTTAAAAAAAAAAAACAGATGAAATCAAATGTGTTTCCCACACAGAACTGTACAACAACTGGCAAATAGGATCAGGTACCCAATCCTTATTCTAGAGTTGTGGAAAATGAACTGAGATTGGAGAGGGCCCTAGCTCTCATGGAAAGCTATGGAAAGGTAATTGGCAGTGGAAGCATCTTAGCTTTTGGGGTAGTAAGAGTTACTGATGCAAAGATGCAGTTTCATCTGTGTTATCACAGTGTCCTCTGCCTAGATGGAACATGAAGAAATATCTGGCCTGAATTCTCCAGTAGATCATGTTAAAGGAACGCTACCTGACTGTTCTTTTCCAATGGCGCTTATCCTGTGGTGTTACCTAGCTTAGTTTGCCTCTTTTTTAATTCGTGGTTCCCTTGTCTCCCTTAGGGTCATTTGTTTTTGTTGCTGGAGGACTTGCCAATCTGTCACTCTTATGTTCAGTGTATATACTAATGCTTAAGAAATATTTGGTGAAGCTTTATTAATTCATAGTGAAGTAGTCATGACATCTTAAATGGGCTTTTGTTTCCACCCTATGAAATTCATTCGTTCAACAGGACTTTCTGGAACAGTGTGCCAGGCCTGCTTCTAGGACAAGCCTGCAAATTGTCCTATAGAATAGCAGCAATAGATAATAAGTAGCCTATACAGTATAGAGGTGATGATGGCCCTATGGAAAGACCAACTTGGACAAGTGGTTCTAAGAGATGTTGACAGTGGGTCAGTGCTTAGCAGTGATGGTGAAGCTCAATGGTAAAGTGACATGTGAGCAGACACTTGAAGCAGTGAGAGTGACACATGTCGGGAGACCCCAAGGGAAACATGCCAGGGAGGGAGGGCCCCAGTGGGGACTTGCTGAGGAGTACCACTCATTGACTCTCCAAGATGCCTGAGAAGCTCTGTGAGCAGGAGGAGAGTGCCAGATGAGTTTTGAGAAGTTCGAAGCAAGGAGTGAGAGTGGGCAGTCAGATCTGTGTGTAGGCCAAGGGTCTTGGCTTTTATCTGGGGCGTCATCTCACTGCCTAAAGGGTCATTCCAGTTGCTGAATTGATTGTGAAAGACAAAGAGGCAGAACCAGAACTGGGGAGATGTGGAAGGAGACTGCTGTGGAGAAGTCGCAGTGGCTTGGGACAAGGGTGGCTGTGAAGGTGGTGCACAGGGATCCTTATGATGGTCGAGAGGGCTCCCTTGCCAAGCACGAAGTATAAGAGAGTAAGTTATGTAGGGTAGACATATAGGATTAAATGTCATCTGTTCCTTGTTTCTTACATGTCATTGCTTACCTCCACATTTCAACTTTTTAGTTTTTAAGGAAAAGAACTACACCCTTAATCCTTTCTCTCTGTCCTCCTGACACCTGGTAGTTAGGGTACATACTAGGTGGTTGGTAAGTGCTTTTTGTTCATTCATTCATTCATTCAGTCGGTCAGTCGGTCAGTCAGTCAGTCATACAGACTGGAGTGAGGAATTGAGTGGATTTGCTTTTGTTCTTTTTTATATTATGCAAGCATGGGTTGTTTTTACTTTTTGTTTTATGTTGAATGAACATTTCTAAATGCCTTCCCTTTTTTAGGTGAAAAGCCATTTACTTGTGAAATTTGTGGCAAATCTTTCACAGCAAAGAGTTCTCTTCAGACCCACATCAGAATCCATCGGTAAAGCTTTGCAGATTTTCTTCTCATATGGGCCCTCATGCAGCCCTGATGTTCAGTAGAATGACATATGTTACCTAAGTAGTCCTAAGCCCCATATTAACTCGGGTAGAATTTTTTTAATTGGCAATCTTTTTGTCTTTATCTTCTCAAGACAAAATGAGGAAAACAGGTTTTAGCTAAAATTTTTGCTTTCATATTATCTGCATTTTCTAGTTCTCTGAATTTTGATTCTTCACTCAACATAAACATTAAATTGAATATTTACTGGGTAAATTTCTTGACCACAAAACTCACCTCCAGATTTAACTGAGTATTTCTTCAGAATTACTATTTATTTGATTTAGTAATAGCATCAGAAATAATTAGGAGTTTCTCAAACTTTTTTAACATTTATTTATTCACACAGAAACTGGGGTATAGGCCAGAGATACAGGGGTTGAGAGGATTCACCACAGACAGAGTAGGGAGCAGAACAGGCGGATCTACTGAAAGACACTGTTGAGGGGAGCAGCTGGCCGAGACAAGAGAGGTCTCATGCACCGTGTGGGTTCAGCTTTCTGGTGGGGGATTGAACTCAGGCTGCAGTGGCTGGTAATACCTTCAAAGCACTGAGATTTAAACCCTGTGCTACCAAGGAAGCCCTAATATTGAAATTACGTATTCTCATTTGTCCATTAGAATCTGAAAATTTGCTAAAGCAAAACAAAAAGGAACTATATGTTAGGTGTATATAAGAATTTATTTTCTTATCTGAAATACTTACTATGAATCATAAAATTATAACACACCTGCCCCCCCCCACCTTTCTTCAACTACACCCCCACCTAAATCTCATGGAAATTGTAACTTCCAAGTCTGTAAATTAGTATAAGAACCCATGACTTATGACTTCCAGTCAATTTAGTTTTCCTCTCCTGTTGACTGCTTCTCCCTAAATAAAGAAGTTGTAAATAGGGTTCCTCCTATTTTTTAAAAAAATGTTTATTTTCTTCTAGAGGAGAAAAGCCATACTCCTGTGGCATATGTGGCAAATCCTTCTCTGACTCCAGTGCCAAGAGGAGACACTGCATTCTCCACACAGGCAAGAAGCCTTTCTCCTGCCCCGAGTGTAACATACAGTTTGCTCGCTTAGACAACTTGAAGGCTCACTTGAAAATCCATAGCAAAGAAAAACATGCCCCGGATGCCAGCAGTGTTTCTGGCAATCATAATACTGAAGAGGTCAGGAATATTCTTCAGCTACAGCCATATCAACTCTCTACTTCTGGAGAGCCAGAAATTCAGCTGCTTGTAACGGATTCTGTACATAACATCAATTTCATGCCTGGTCCAAGCCAAGGAATCAGCATTGTCGCTGCAGAGAGCTCCCAGAACATGACCGCAGACCAGACAGCAAATCTCACCCTGCTCACACAGCAGCCAGAACAACTGCAGAATTTAATTCTCTCGGCCCAGCAGGAGCAAACAGAACACATTCAGAGCCTCAATATGATGGAAAGCCAGATTGAACCCTCACAAACTGAACCAGTGCATGTAATCACACTTTCTAAGGAAACTCTGGCACATCTTCATGCCCATCAAGAGCAGGCAGGGGGGCTCCAGTTAGCAGCTGGTGCTCCAGATCCAGCTCAGCATCTGCAGCTCACACAGGAGCCTGCCCCGCAGCCACCCACTCACCAGGTGCCCCAGCCCAGGCCGCTAAGCCCAGAGCAGAGCTGACCTGAGTGCACATGTGACTGCTCTTGGGCCTCCTCTCTGTAAGCCAGCAATCGCAGGATTATGGGTCAGAACTGCTTTCTGAAATGCTCCCTTGGAGAGGCGTATAGCCAACACGTTCCAGTACGTCCCAGCCAGGCAGTAAGATGGGTGTGTAGAGTACTGATTTGGACTGTGTATTTTACTATTGAGGAATGGTTTCCATTTTCATCTCTATCTCCTAAAAACAATGCTAATATTTCTTTGAGGGCACTGACTTAGACTTTTAGTTCTACGTATTATGTTCACAGCCATAGGTTATAAGTCTTGCCAAACTTTTGAGTTATCTTTTTTGTTTTTTTAGAACAAAGGAAGTCATATGTTAGTTAAATTGGGTAGAACGATTGCTTCTACTTCTTTTCTCTCAGGCAATACAGTTGCCTCAGCCAAGTCGAGGCTGAACATGATAGATTGTAACTTTGGGGGATCTGTCCTTTTAATAACTGCTAACCCCCCAAGAAAAACTGTCAACATTTAATCTTTGTGTGTTACATGTCATATTTAAAGTAGATTCAAATACAGACTATGCCATTTTAACTCAAAATTTATAATAGCAAAAAAAGATCATTTTTAATATTTTGAACTTAATTTTCTGAGAATATGAGTTTATATATTCTTTAAAAGAAGATTATTGAGAACTATAATTTAAAAAGTTATAAAATTGGATCAAGGCATTCATCCCAGATATTTGGTTTTTGTCAGCATGATAAAATGAAAGCTTTCTCAATTATCCTGGAGTACAAATTTTATTCAGTGTAATTTAAGTGTCAAATATATTCTACTGAATTCTGTTTGATCTCTGAAACTGTTGACTTTTCTTTTGTCCCATAACTTTTTGGAGAGGGGAAGTTACTATATTTTTGTTGCAAAGTCAGTTAAATTCCATAAGATTGACATAACAATTTAAAGTAATGGTCAAAAGATGAAATTATGTTTGGGTCATGTTTTCAATTTTATCATATTTTATTGAATATTTTGACTGTTGTGTCTAGTAAATTGATATAGGATCTTTGAAAAAAGAAGAGGGTTCTAAAGCTATCTAAATTAGCAAAGTACTGGTGAAGAGAAGGGAAAAATCTACCCTAAAATTAACAGAATCTTCACACCAGTCATTTTCTAGTTTTAGACATCTTTAATTACTATTTGAATTAACACTTTTTGGAAATTAGAGGATTTGTCAGACTTGAGATATTAATACATAATGTAAATTGTATGTAATTCATAAAATTTCCAGAATGATGTGTGTCAAGATCATGTTAAATCAGGCCTATCTAATGCAAAGGTGTAACTTTACAAATGCACTTATACCCTAATTACTACTTCAGGTTTTTACTTAGTCATTGAAACTGCTTTAACTTGATTCTTAAAATGCAAAGTTCTTAATAGCTTTCAAAGCCTACTGGCCCACATTTTCTCCAGAAGCAACATCACAATCAAAGTAAATGACTGTTAACTACTCACTCTGGATAGCTGGATAATTATTCAGGAAATAAATTCATATGACTGAAGTCAGGTTTAACTAGCTCTACGACAGTCTACTTTTTTGCTAAGAATATAATGAGAGCCACAAAAGCAATCTAAAGTTTCCTAGAAACTGTATTAAAAAGTGAAATTTTAATATAATAGTTTAGTTAATCCAAATAGTATCATTTCAAAATATAAGATGTATTAATAAGCTATTTTATATTCTTTTATTATATTAAGTCTTCAAAATCTAGTGTATAATTTATACTTACTACAAAGTACATGCTGGTATTCAATTGAATTTTCATGATCTGTATTGAGAGTTCATAGAATACACAGTTCACAGTTGAAAGCCTAGGCTGAAATTAAGTAGTTACAAGTATAATTTTTTAATAACTGAAATGAAATAATAAAAGTTGTTTTTTTTTTTAAGATTTATTTATTTATGCACACAGAACTTGGGTACAGGCCAGAAGTGCAGGGGCGGTGAGAGGATTCACCAGAGACATAGTGGGGAGCAGAACAGGCAGATCAACAAAGTACTCTGCTGAGGGGAGCAGCGGGTAGGTCAGGAGAGGTCTGCTACGCCATGTGGTCACCTCCAGGATGGGCGGGGATCGAACGCATGCTGAAATGGCTCTAGCCTCCTAATGCTGTGCTTTAACCCACTGCGCCACCAAGGAGGGCCCAAAAAGTCAGTTTTTTAACGTACATTAAAATGAAGTAAAGTTGAAATCTAGATCCTCAGTTCATGGTCCATTTTGTGTGGACTCAGTAGCCCTGTGGCTGGTAGCTCTGACTTGTACTGCCCAGGTACAGACATAAGAGCAGTCTGAGGCGTAGAAGTGTCTTCTGACAATGTTTTGTTATTTGACTGTCACAGGGCAATCAGGAAATGATAATTTTATAAACCTAGCCTTTCTTCTGTGTCCCCAACACATATTTCTTCCCCTTTGAATGAAATCCCCAGTTTTAAAATTCAGTGACACTACCTAAAAACATGTATGTTTAAAATGTTCTGTTGGGTCTTTGAGAAATTGCTGGGGCAATATTTCACATCTTACTTTGAATTAAATATGTACAGTTTTAAAAATTTAAGGACAGAAATATACCTTTTAGAAAATTTTGCTCTTGGGCAACTGAAATGCATCTCGTATCTTTCAAAGATGAATCTCTGGTTTTCAGGGCCAACCTCAGGAAGACTCAAGCCCTTGCCAACAAAATAATTTACTCATTTGTGTGGTTGCCTATTTCGTGAAACTCTTCTTTCCATCTCTGCCCCGTGTATACTTCTTTGCACTTGGTTCTTGTGTTTATAAATACTGTAACTGGTTAAACAATACTAAGTAATACAATGAGATTCTCACTGTAAATGCTTACTTACTTCTAGAGTTTAATTAGAGTAATAATGTTGAATCTGTGGTACAGGCCAGGATTAGAGTAATAATGTTGAATCTGTGGTACAGGCCAGGAGTGAAGCCAGGTGCAATTAGATCTGTATCTTAACGTTTCTTAACTTTTCTCTCCTGTCACAAAAAGTAGGAGTTACATAGCACCCTGCAGTTTAAGGACTCCAATCCCCTGTGGCCATGTTATGGCCCCTGTGGCAGGCAAGGGATGCTAGCACTGCCTTAACAATGACCACAAACTCGACTAAAGCAGAAATTTTCTCTCAGTTCTGGATAGTGCAGTAAGTCCCACACCAAGATGTTGGCAGGGTTGGTTTCCTCTAGCCTCCTGGCTATCTTTCCTTCCCTGTATCTTCATAAGGTCTTCCCTCTGTGTGTTCCAGTTTCTTTAGAAAGACACCAGTCATTGGATTAAGTCCTAGCCTGATGATCATACTTTAATTTCATTACCTATCTCCAAAGGCAGTTGAATTCTGAGGTGGGGTTAAGAGGTGGGGATCAGGAGTGGACACACAATTCAGCCCATGACAGCTGGCACCAGGAGTAAGGAGGGAAGCAGTGTTCAGGACGCACCTATTATCCACTTGAAGCATAAACTTATTCTGCTTAATCTTCGTGACATCCCTATGAGGTAAGTATCATTATGCCTATTTTACAGATGAGGACACAGGCACAAACATTACATGTTAAATGGCAGAACTAGAGGGCAGGGCTGACTGATTCTATGCTGTTTCTACCAGGTGAACTTATTATCAGCAGGCATGGAACATTCAGCTGGAATTTCCTTTATATATGATCTTTTTAATGTAATAGAATCTTTTTGACTGAAATTGAGAGTCAGTCTGGAATTTTTATCATACAATCAAATTTCTGACATGAAAGTTGTTCATAGGAACACAAAATAGCAATATTCATGTTAGTATTTACTTTTGATTTAAAGCTTTATCAAAATTTACCACTGGATAAAAGTTGTTACTCAAGTGAAAATGTCTTAACATAAGCCTCTAAGCCCTTCTTTTTTCAAACTACCAACTGATTGTTAGTACATCTGTTTAGGGCAGATTTGTAGATAGTACCATATTAAGTATGGAGGCAAATTTTCACCCCCAACTCCTAAACTAAAATCTATTAAGTATTGAATTAAAAATTTTTGTCTTTCCTAAATAGCAGTCATGGAGGAATGACCCTCTAAAAAGAAATAACTTTTGCCTTCCTCTTGTAAATAACAGGTATTAAGTAATAACCTCTAAAAGATGCTGGAATGTCACTGTGATAACTTATCTTGCATTCAAATTCTTTAGACAAACTTAAAAGCACCAAGATCGTTGATTCTGGCAAGGATTTGTATTTAAATATAAAATATATTAATAAGCAATGTTCTTTAGTTAGCATTAATTAGCAATCTTTGCAGTTGGATCTTTTCTGTGAGTCTGAAAAGCACTATATTAGTCTAAAGTATAGAAAGGGAAAAATTTGAGCAGGGGAGGAGTCTGGTAACTTCCTTAGTCTTAGAGCATGAATTTAGTAATTATTTTGAATTATTAATATCCATAAATTAGATCATTTAACTGAGAATTTGAAGATTTTCCAAAAGAATAGTTGGGCGCAGTTTTACGTTATATCTTACTATTGGTAAATGAAACTTAGGACTTTTAATCTAGCTCATGTAGAGAATTCTAGTATGGCTAAATGACTCCTAAATAAATTTTTCCTGTATTTTGGGTGTTTGATACAAAACTACTTTGATAAAAACAAGGGCAACTATTTAACCTATTTGTATCATTAATCTTTGCAGGCCCTTAGAGTCAGTCCCTTATGAACAAGAGACCTTGGAGTCTTTTAAGTCATCTTCAGGCTTTGACTTCTGGGCAAGGTACTTGACAAAAATGCAAAATGCAGGGAAGTTCACAGGGAAGAGTAGTAATGAATAAGGGACCCAAATGTGTGTGTGATTCACTCACTACCAGCCAGGAAAGAAAACTGGGAGTCACTGATAGGGCCCTCACCCCTCCTGTACCCTGACCAGTCCAGCCACTACATAGGTCAGTTTTACCTCAACCGGCATTTTGAACGCGTCCATTCTCCCCATTCCCACTGCTGAGCCACTGCCTGGACTCCTACCAAGGTCTGCCTGAACTTTTCTACCTCTCCCCTCAACTCCTTTCTGCACTGGGAAGTGGTGATCTATTTGAACTCACCACTGTGTCCCTAGCTTTGAACTAAATGATAGCTTATTATGCTATCAAGGAAAATAGGAGCATATTAGATCAAATTCTATTTAAAACCCTGCAGTTTCCCACTGTGTTCAGAATGAAATCTAAATTCAGCTTTCCCTTGGGCCCTTTCCCCATTCTCACACTGGCTTCCCCTAGTCCTCCAGAAACACCCAGTGGTAATTGCCTTAGGGCTCTGAAGCAAACAGTTCCTCAGGCATGACTGTCAGAATGATGTGTTTCATCTATCAAAACTCAGGATGTCACTTCCTTGCAAATGCCTGACTGTCTAATCCCAATCAATTCATTCCATGTTCAGCTCAGTTTGTAATTATTTTTACATCAGGAGCTGTGCCTGCTCACATCACAGCAACCAGTCCAAGACTGTGACATAGGAACCTACAGTGACAGAGTAGCTGACTCATCTCACCTGCAGTGCTCAGGACATAGTTCCTGGTTCCAGGTTCAGTAGATGAGAGGTTTGGAGCTAAGATAAGGATGGCATTGTGAGAAAGCAGATATGCTAGGGATTATGGACACAGTTTTTGACCTCAGTCACTGCTGGCATGATGATGTACAGAAACATTAGGGTAGGGTTCTTTTAAAACTGGCTATTGATGTACCAGTCATTTATTTGATCCAATATGAATGGCCAATGTGATTGTGCCAGTATCTTTAGTTCTCTATACACATATAATGTGATTTTTTTTTTCCTTTTGAAAAGACTATAAATAAAACTTCATTTGGGTCTTTAGTTTGCACATTTCTTATGGTCACCGACATTGAATAATAGAATTTTAGAGTTGAAGTGCTAAGGAGGTTCAGCAATTAATCTACCTACAACCAGAGATGAGACAGATGCAGTGGTGAAAACTTTTTCAAGTCTCTGTAGACTAGCAAAGCTGGCATCTGACCAGACTTTCTGGATTACAGACCAAAGTTTTTCCTTTTTTTTTTTGCTCCCGTGTCTATCTTTAATTAACACCAATTGAAACACTAAGTCAGCAGCTTTTTAGCATTGAGGTCATTATTCTGTGATCTTTTATAAAGACAAATTGTACCATCTGTCATTCAAAGAGCCACATAACCCTGACTGGCTGAGACTGAAAGTCTGCATCAAGGATCTAAGTCAGAGCAGTCAGGTGTTTACCATCTGCCCATAAAAGGGAAATGGGGTAATTTTAAAAGCCACTTATAGTGGACTTTAGAAGGCTTTTTATACTAGATATTTAAGTAAGGGTGTGTCTATATTTGACAACTTCATTTCAAGTCAAATGACTAGTCACACTCCAGCCTAGGATGGGCCCAACTGGGAGGCTGTCCTAGTTTCCTAAACTTGACCTGGCTGAGCTCCCTGCCTCTCCTTCCTGGCCGACCAGGCATTTCCCCTCCCCTTCCTCCCCCTGCCAGCTTCCCAGCCAGAGCTGAGAGCATTGAGTGTGTAGGTCTTATTGGTTTCCACTGGGTTTCCCGGAAGAAAGCAAAGTGAGAATAAAGAGAAGGGAGAGCCACAGGGTATCCAGCTCTTTCTGGCTGCCTGGATCTCAAGGAGAATGGCACTACTAGTGACTCTTTTTTGTTAGTGTTTCTGGTGTAACAGTTATCAGTTACTCTAAAGAAACAGCATAACGTCAGCCTTTGTCATCTTGGGTCAACACAGGTGTGGTGGAGTCCATAAAGAGGTATGCCTCTCCCATCCCTGTCACTTACTGTGTAACTCATAACCAGTCAGTGCTTCAGTGACCCTCACTTTCCTTTTCAGTCAAATGAGGCAGTTGTGACTATTGAGATTAAGATAATGAACATAGGAGATGCTCGTAAAAAGGACTTGATATTTTACCAGCAACCAGCTGAATGACATTGGACAAAAACTTCACATTCAGTACTGTTTCTTTTCTCTTGTTAAAGATTTATTTGTGCAAACGAGGTGGGGGTGGTAAGAGGATTCAACAGAGAGAGGGCTGGGAGCAGACAGGCAGATTGAAATACTGTTCAGAGGCAGTGAGACAGAGAGACAGCCCTGAAAGGGAGGAAAGGTCTGCTGGGCATGTGGGTCAGTTCCCTGGCCTGGAATCGAGCTCGTGCTGCAGTGGCTGCAGACTGCTTCGTAGTGTGCTGAGAGTTATCCCCTTGCATCACCAGGGATGCAAGACCTCAATACTGTTTCTTTATGGGGACTTGAAGGAGGATCACCTTGCGGTCTCTCCAGCCCTTTTCAGCACTGACAGTTCAATACACCCTCACTCCATCGCATTCTAGAATGAGCCCTCCCACACTCGACACCCATTTCCTCCTCTTAGTGGTGTTTAATTCTCACACCCAGCCCCCACACACTATCTTCGCCGTCACTGACACCAAAACCCTCCTTCTCTCACTTCTCCAGCTACTGAAAGCTGCAGACTGCCGATTTCTCAGGAACCCAATCTGTACCCTTTTCCTCTGCCCGGATCTAGAAGCTAACCTGTCTCGGGGAAGGCTAACGGCAATCTTGGATCCGCCGTGCGTCGCGGGGGCAAGGTCTCGGGATTGTAGAGGTGAGGAGAGCGCAGACGTTCGGGCGCCACTTACAGACCATTCAGCTTCTACAAACTTAAGAGCCCAGACAGAGCGCCCTCTCCGCCAGCGCTCGGAGACCCGTCAGTCGTGCTGGTACTTCGCGCGGGTCCTTGTCCTTGTCCCAGGGAGGAGCTAGCTTTGCAGGCTCAGGCTCGCGGCTGGACCCCAAAGTCTCCAGCTCTCCGTCTGGCGCCCCGCACCCCCAACGGGGATTTCTCAGCCCCCAGCAAGGAGGTCGGAGGAAAGGAGCATCTGCAGCGCCACGCCCTTCGGCGCCACCCTGCCAGCGTGGGCCTGGGCCGCAGGAGTCCGGGATTCGCGAGCTAATGAGATGCTAATGAGGCACGAATAAAGCGTCTGCTGGCTGCAAGCCCCGCGCCCCAGCCTACAAGCCGCCAAACTCCCCAGTCCGGCGCAGCCTGCGCGCCGCCCCGCATCCCCCAGGCTTCCCCTCCTCGCTCCCCTTCCTCCGCGCCCGCCTCCGCCTCCGCGCCCGCCTCCGCCTCCGCGCCCGCCCACACTGGGTCGCTCGCCCGACAGGAAGCCGCCCCTCCCGGGCCCAGAGCTGTCCCGTAAGTTGTCCAGCTGTGCCAGCTGTGTGCCCCCTGCCCGCGGGGGCCGGGAGTGGGGTGGGGGCGCGCTCCGGGGAAATAGAGTCGGAGGCACTTGGGAGCCCCGTCGAGCCGCTGGGGCCCGTCTCCCCGGGCCCCCGCCCTGCTCAGCCCCTCTCCAGACTTTAAGGTCCAGCCTGTGAGTACTCCTGCCCCAATAGCCAGTGGTCCAGCTCCCTCTCCATCCTTCCGGACCGCCCTATGCTGGGCACAGCCTGGTTCTGGTGTTTCCCGACTGGGTCTCCCCCTTGACTAAGATCCTCTTTCTTCCACTACCGTCTTCCCCAAAGAGACCTTTGTCCTTCTTGACAGTCCTTCCGCCCGGACGAAGCTTGCCTCGTCCAGGTGACCCGCAGAGGACAGTTTTAATCTCCTTCTGCTTTGGGATTCCAGCTGGGAACTGTGGGATGGTTGAGGGGATGGGGGCAGGGGACCAATCTGGGATCTGTACCATCCATGCCACTCACTTCCCTAACTTCCCTGTGAACAACTCCATCCGCCGGCACCTTCTGATTCCTCCTGGTCCTAGCGTGAGAAAGTCCCCTCCGACACCCTTCAAATTGCGTGGGGGTCCGAGCGAGGGAGAAGTGGACAAAAGGAAGCCTTGTTTCGGGAGATTCCTGGGAGAGCAAACCCGAGCCCAGCGGGGATGGGGCGGGGCGTCGAGTGGACCCGGGTGAGAGGAAAATGGGCGAGGCACTAACCTCAGTGGTACCCCTCCCCCAGGCCCCCTGAAACAGAGGCGACTCACTAGGGAAGCGCTTTGACCACAGTGAGTCAGAAATAGACTCAGTCCTTTTCACCCAGTCAGTCAGTGGTAACATCCTCCGGCTATTAGTTTTGGGGATGGAAAGAGGAACCTCCCCAGTTAGAGATTGTCTCCCCACCCCCAACACCCCCAGGCTCCGCCTCTGGAGGCGAGGCAAGCTTGAGTGCTAAATAGGAAACTGCCCCGGGCAATGTGACACACCCCCCCAGGCACTGGAGGCTAGGGCAAGATGGGACAGTGTGCATGCCTAGCAGTTGGGGTTGCAGGTTTTAGTAGGAAAACTTTCTTCCCTGGGAAGTCCACCTGCTCTGTTTCTGAGAAATCCCCCCAGGCTCTAATACCTGGACATGGAAAAGCTGGATAAGAATTCCTGCTGCCTGGGCTCCAGAGTAAGGCTTAGAGACCTTTGGACAGCTGGTGACTCCTTGGCTTCCTCTTTGCCTGTAGTACCCAAGACTGCTAATTTTTCGCTTCCAAATTTGGCAGATTTCCCTTGGACTGGAAGGGATAGCAGCTGTCTCTGGAGAAGGTTGGGAGTGGGCTGGGGGAGAGAGCAGAGCCAGTCAGCCGGACCTGGAGTTCCCTGGGATTACCAGCAGCTCTCTTCTTCCATTTCCCTTCCTCCTTCCACCTTCCACCTTTCACCTCCCCTTCTCTTTCCTCCTCCACTCCAGCAGCCAAGTGACTCAGCCCAGCTGCTCCCCTCCCTGGGAGCTTCTGGGCTCTCATGGCCTCACCGACCTCTTCCAACCCTGCACATGCACACTTTGAGAGCTTCCTGCAAGCCCAGAAATGCCAGGATGTGCTGAGCAGCTTTGAGGGACTATGCAGGGCCCTGAGAGTGGAGCCCGGTGGGGGACTGACCCAGTTCCACAAGATCAAGGCCCAGCTCAACTACTGGAGCGCCAAGTCTCTGTGGGCCAAGCTAGACAAGAGAGCAGGCCATCCTGTGTACCAGCAGGGCCGGGCCTGTGCCAACACCAAGGTAGATACCGGGTGCCCGGGATGGGACTTGGAGAGTGGAGGTGAGGCAGAGGGGGAGACGCAGGCCATGCCCACTCTGTCCTGTGTTTGCAGTGCCTAGTGGTGGGTGCTGGACCTTGTGGTCTACGGGCTGCTGTAGAGCTGGCATTCCTGGGGGCCCGTGTGATATTGGTAGAAAAGCGCACCAAGTTCTCTCGCCACAATGTACTCCACCTCTGGCCCTTTACCATCCATGACCTTCGGGCACTTGGTGCCAAGAAGTTCTATGGACGCTTCTGCACAGGCACCCTGGACCACATCAGTGAGTATCATGTGGGGCCAAGAGGGTGGGAGGGCCTGAGCCTAGAGACAGGTCAGTGGGGGCCTACTGGCCCAGTGAAGAAGCGAGTGACCTCCAGGTTCCAGTCCCGTGTCTGTAAAATGGGCAGTTGGACGGAGTAATCTTTAGGACCTTCTCCAGCTCAGACCAACCGCACGTGGGTGCTGGGGGAGACCTAAGGTCCTCGGGTGTCTGTCCCTAACATCCTCTCCCTTCCAGGCATCCGGCAGCTTCAGTTGCTGTTGTTGAAGGTGGCTCTGCTGCTAGGGGTGGAAATTCACTGGGGGGTCACTTTCACTGACTTGAAGCCCCCTCTTGAAAAAGGTAAGTTCTCTGCACCAGAGAACCCCTACTGCCAAGAAGATCGTGGCCTGTAAAAGATGAAAGCTGGTTCGGAGTCAGCCTTGGCGCCCTTCCTAGGAGAGTAGCCTTGTGCAAACCCCTCTAAGTCTCATTTTAATCAGGAGTTTCCTTCCTTACCCTCTTCCCACGGCTGTTGTGAAGGTGCAATTTGGTAGACAATGTGTTATTTCTTTCTAAACCATAAAGCTCTTTACATATTTAAATACTTTTTTAATATTTATTTATACATTCAAGAATTGGGGTGTAGGCCAGAGTTGCGGGGGAGGGCGTGAGAGGATTCACCAGAGACAGAGTGGGGAGCAGAATGGCCAGATTGACTGTTCTGCCAAAGTGAACAGTGGGAAGACAGGAGAGGTCTGCTGTTGCCATATGGGTCAGCTCCCTGGTCGGGGATCGAACTCATGTTGCAGTGGCTGTGGCTAGCTTGAGGGAGCTGTGTCTTTAACCCCTTGCACCACCAGAGAGGACCCTACATATTTAAATATTTCATGGGGTTGTCCTGGGAGTATAGGAGCCCCTTCAGATTTCCACACCTTATGCTTCTCAAACACTCTGCCCCAGGGAGCGGCTGGCATGCTGAACTCCAGCCCAATCCCCCAGCCCAACTGGCCAACTATGAATTTGATGTCCTCATTTCAGCAGCTGGAGGTAAATTCGTCCCTAAAGGTGAGTGATCACTTCCCTCAAAGAAACCAGGATGGCGGGCTCCTCCTGAGCCTTTCCAGACTGTTATCCTTCCTACCACCACCTGCCTGCCCCCATCTCTAGGTTTCACTGTGCGAGAAATGCGTGGTAAACTGGCGATTGGCATCACAGTCAATTTTGTGAACCACCGCACTGTCGAAGAGACACAGGTGCCTGAGATCAGCGGTGTGGCCAGGATCTACAACCAGAGCTTCTTCCAGAGTCTGCTCAAAGGCACAGGTCGGGGCCCTCGCATGCGGTTCTCTTACTGCTGACTGTGGGCTGGCTGCCCTCTTAAGACCTGTGCTCAGCCACCTGAATCTCCCACTCTCATTTTTTTTTTTTAAAGATTTATTTATTTATTCATATAGAACTGGGGTACAGGCCAGAGATGTGGAGGGTGAGAGGATTCACCAGAGACAGAGTGGGGAGCAGAACAGGCAGATCGATAAGTACACTGCTGAGGGGAGCAGCGGGCGGGTCAGGAGAGGTCTGCCACGCCATGTGGTCACCTCCGGGGCAGGCGGGAGTCGAACTCATTCAGAAGTGGCTTTAGCTTCTCATTGCAGTGCTTTAACCCGCTGTGCCACCAGGGAGGGCCCCACTCTCATTTTTATGGTCTTGGCACCAAAGGAAAGGAACCTGTGCCCACGGGAGCTCAGCCCCCTTTTGACTCAGCATGTAGTATCTAGAAGCTCTCACAAGAGGCATGGGATTTTGCCTTGTGTTTCTTTATATGTGCTGAGATACAAAAATGATATAAATTCATATGGAAGGAGTACTTCAAGAAAATGTTCTCTGTTTACTTGGGCTTCCCACTGCCATGCTCCCTGGCATTTGTTAACACCCAGGCGGAGAAGCCATGTTGCCACTCCCAAGCGTGTGCTTATGTGGTACAGTTCTCAGCTGCCACTTGACTGAGTTTCTCTCTTTGCTGCAAGCCCGAGGCCTCCTGGGTCTGGCACAGATGTGCCAGCAGAACTCATGGACCCCTGTGTTGGGGGCATCTCATGCGGTATAAGATGTGATGCCACTCTCAGAGTGAGGCAGGGCTGGGAGCTTGGAGTGGTGCCACGGAGGGGAAGAGACTCATCTGTTCCTCCCCCGGGCATTCCCCACCCGCCAGGCATTGATTTGGAGAACATCGTGTACTATAAGGACGATACCCACTACTTCGTGATGACAGCCAAGAAACAGTGCCTGCTGCGGCTGGGGGTGTTGCGCCAGGTGATGTCGGGGTCCATGCAAGGGGGTCTGGGTGTGGCCCTGGGAGGAGGGGCCTGTATGGGGAGGGTGCCCTCTTGTCCTGCCTCTGCCCTGGCATTTCCTCCATCTCACAAGCTCTTCGCTTCTGGAATTTATATGGCAATACGAATCACTTTCGGTGCTAACCCTGATACACCACATAGCGATTATGTAATGGCAGGGGCATGGTTTTGTCTCTCTGGCCTTAGCTTGCTGATGACTCCCAGTACCTCGAATGGGGTCTGGGATGTATTTGCTAAAGAGGTAGTTGATCACCGAGTGGGTGTTGTGTACTGTGCTAAAGACCTTTTAATTTGTTTTCTCATCTGATTCTCAAAAGTACCTTGAGCAGTTAATCATGTTATTTCTCAATGATGGGGAGACTGAGGTGCTGAATTCAGTGGGGTGTCCAAAGCAAGTGCCTGGTGCTAGTAATGGGTCTGGGCCTCAGGGCAGGGTGGGGCCGGCGTCCTCCCTTCATCTGGGTGGGTGGTGAGGGAGGAACTTGAATTTGGCAGAACACTTAAATTCCTACGCTAATTCATCTTTCAGTTGCCTGGCAGTGTGGCGACCCTCTCTGAGCCTCTGTACATGTCTGTCCTATGCCCATTGTGGTAAGTCTGTCCATTTCTCATCTCTTGCTTATACAGGACTGGCCAGAGACTGACCGGCTTCTGAGCAGCACCAACGTGGTGCCGGAAGCTCTGCAACACTTTGCCCGAGCTGCTGCTGACTTTGCCACCCAGGGCAAGCTGGGGAAGCTGGAATTTGCTCAGGATGCCCACGGGCGGCCTGATGTCTCTGCCTTTGACTTCACAAGTATGATGCGAGCGGAGAGCTCAGCTCGAGTGCAGGAGAAGCATGGTGCCCGGGTGCTGCTGGGGCTTGTGGGGGACTGCCTGGTAGAGGTAAGGGGGCCAGGGGCCCTGCCTGGGGGCAAAGAGCTGTCCCTTCAAGTCAAGGGACTCTTTGTAAGGAAGCATAGGGGTTCCATGAGGAGAAGGAGGAAGCTGTCTAATGAGAAAGTGGTGAAATAAACTTTTACTTGCTGTGGGGAGGAGCGGAGGTCAGCTTTGTTCCTCTGCTAGGAACCTGAGGGGCTTCTGGGCTTCGGCACTCCTGTGGATGTCCACTAAGATGTTTCCTGCCCTCTACCCTGCAGCCCTTCTGGCCCCTGGGCACCGGAGTGGCCCGGGGCTTCTTGGCAGCCTTCGATGCAGCGTGGATGGTGAAGCGGTGGGCAGAGGGCGTTGGACCTTTAGAAGTGTTGGCAGAGCGGTGAGGCCTGAGTTGTGGGTGCACGTGGGTACGGCTGGTATCGGGCAGGGGTCGGAAAGAGGTTCAAGGGGACTGGGTGAATAGATGGGGACTTGGGCAAAGTGAATAAAAGGGAGGCCTGACAGTTCTTGAGGATACTGATGAGTACCCTCTCTCTTGCCCCGCTCTCTGCCCCGCAGTGAGAGCCTGTATCAGCTGCTGTCACAGACATCCCCGGAAAACATGCACCGCAACCTGGCCCAGTATGGGCTGGACCCAGCCACCCGCTACCCCAACCTGAATCTCCGGGCTGTGACCCCTAATCAGGTCAGATCCCTTTACCAGACTTCCCAGGCAGACCCCCTCCTCCAGATCAGGTCTTCCTGCAGCTGCCCAGTCAACTGTCCCCCTGTGTGAGCCCCCAGGGTAAGGCCCTCTGTGGGTAGAGGGGGTGGTGTGCTCAACCTGCCTTAAGACCCGCAAAGGATTGCCTTAGGTACGGGACCTGTATGACGTAATGACCAAGGAGCCTGTGTGCAGTCAGAATGACAAGACAGACTCAGGAATGCCAGACACGGGTGAGCAGCCCTTCCTCCAGGGCCATGTCAAAATATTTGCCAACTGCAATCATCAGAACAGCTGCAACTTCAGGCCCCTGGGAACAGGGTATTAGAGCACTGGGGATGGTGGGAAGTTTGGGAGGCATTGAAGGAGTGGAGGGAGGGGCAGTGGAGCACTGAGCAGCAGCCATCTCTATGCAAGTTGTTCAGTGTTGTACCCTCCTCGACAGCAGCAGTAGCTGAAGGGCAGCCATCCTGTTAGCTGTTCTGACATCCCTCCCAGCCTTGCAGACCCCTAAATCCACCTGTTCTTTGAGCCTCTGGGTCTCCTGATCCTTCAATTCATGACCTGCTATCTTTTATGGCAAATACTGATTCTGCTTTATTCATCCCCTCACTTGACTCAAAAAGGCATTTTAAAAGTGAGAAAATCAGGGTGAAGATGCTATAGACATGAGCATTGGACTCACCTGCCCCCACCTCCCACACTGAGCCCCCACAGCCAGCCACTGGGCTCTGTGAGCCAGCGTGCCATGGCACAGCACAGCCTCCTCTCTCAGGGCTGACCAGCACCCAGGAGGAGCTGCTACGCTGGTGCCAGGAGCAGACAGCTGGGTACCCGGGTGTCCATGTCACCGACCTGTCTTCTTCCTGGGCTGATGGGCTGGCTCTGTGTGCCCTGGTGCACCGGCTGCGGCCCAGCCTACTGTGAGTTGGGAATCGGGCTCGGGGGTCCCTGTCTTTTCTGTGTCCCTCCCTCTAAGACAGTGTGGAATGATGAGTGGACTGTGGGGTTAGCACACCCACAGAGCCCCATCACTGGTTAATAACTCTTCTGCCCAAGTCACACCTCTCTATATATTATTTCTGCCTTGATTTTGCCTGTGGATAGTAGTCAGATGTGTTCAATAGGGAGAATTTTGTGGGTGATAGAGCCCCCCCAACCCAGATCAGAAATGCCCTTTCCCCCCAGCTGTGCTAGCCCTGTGGCTCTCTCCCCACCTGCGCCTCTTGGTAGGGTCAGGTGCTGTGTCCTCTTGACTTTTCTCCTCAACACCCCATAGGGAGCCATCAGACCTGCAGGGGATGGGAGCTCTGGAAGCAACTTCCTGGGCACTGAAGGTGGCAGAGCATGAGCTGGGTATCACACCGGTGTTGTCTGCACAGGCCATAGTGGCAGGGAGTGACCCTCTGGGCCTCATCGCTTACCTCAGCTACTTCCACAGTGCCTTCAAGAACACACCGCATAGCCCAGGTGACCTGGAGGGCAGGGCATCCCAGGTGTGGTGGGAGTGGGGACAGGAAGTGTGTGCGTGAGAGGTGTCCTCTGAGGGAAATCCTTGGAGAGGTCCTGAGCTGGAGCCTAGCTGTCTGATCTGGGGCTACAGTATTAGCCCCCCATCTATTCTGCTTGCTGACTGTCCCTGCAGACCCAGTCAGTCAAGTATCCCCAGGGACCTCCAGTGCTGTGCTGTTCCTTGGCAAACTGCAGAGGACTCTGCAACGCACCCGGACCAAGGTGGATTCCTGGTGGGGTGCCTGGGCCATGGGGAGTCCATTCAGAATGGAGGAAGGGGAGGACTGGGATCTCAGAGCCCCAGGCTCATGGTGTAGGACTTGTTACAGGAAAACGGGGAGGATGCTGGTGGCAAGAAGCCTCGCTTGGAGGTAAATGCAGGCTGGGGCTAGACAATCCTGTCTGGGGCTTACCCCCTCCCCCACATACTGTTTTTCCTATATTCTGTTCCCCTATACCTTGCTCCCCAACCCGAGAACTTTAACTCCCCCATACAATCTCCCTTCTCCCTCATCTCACTCCCTTTCCCTTCTAATATTTTCTCTCTGGACACAGCCACTTCCCATCCTGAACACTTTCTTCCTTAGGAAAAGGCTGAAACCCCAAGTACTGAGGAGCCACCTGACCCAGATCCCAGTGTACCCCTGAAGCCTCCATCCCTACAGGAGGAGGTGAGACCAGGGCCCTGTCTGCAAGCAGAAGCCTGGGAGAGGGCAGGAGGGGCGTTCTTTGGCAAGGGAAGAAGTCTGCAGCTGGCCCTGACTTTAGCTGAGCCTGTTGCCTGGGGGCAGGTGCAGGTTGATGCTGGAGACCTGTGTGCACTGTGTGGGGAACACCTCTACATCCTGGAACGCCTGTGCGTCGATGGCCGCTTCTTCCACCGGAGCTGCTTCTGCTGCCATGTCTGTGAGGCCACATTGTGGCCAGGTGGCTACGAGCAGCACCCAGGAGATGGTGAGTGCTGGGAGGTCTCCAGAGGGACTTTGGGCCTGGTCTTACCTGGGGAGCAAGGTAGAGGGGAATGGGGTGCTGGCCATGAGATGGAAATAGGCTTCCTTCTTCTGAGCCCAGGGTCTTCTCCCCACATTTGGGGTCTGAGGAGCCAGGAGGCTATCAGAAATTGGGCTGCAAATCCCAAGTCTTGTCTCCCCCAGGGCCTTGAGTTGCCTACATCTGATGCCTGCCCCCCACCTTCATCTCCCCCAGGACATTTCTACTGCCTCCAGCACCTGCCCCAGCCAGAAAGTGGCAGCAACGAAAGCCCCGAGAGTCAGGTAAAAACTTGAGCGTGTGTTGGGGTGGAAAAGGGTCTTACAGAGAAGCAGACTTTGCATTTTCTATCAGAAGGTAAGCTCCATGAAGGCAGGGATTTTTATCCTGTTTTTTTGTTTTATTTGCTGTATCCAAAGTATCTGGAACATTGAATAAATGGCTTGAGTTAATGTTAAGGCTCATATCTGACTAAAAGGGCACCCCTGACCTCATACCATACCGTTCAGACCACATGGTGGCTTTTCCAGGAGCTTCCCACACTGGTTGAGAACAATACACCACCAAGCCCCTCAGGTCCCACGGACCCCCAAGAGGGGGCCAGTCCTGTGCCACATCCCAGCCAGCCTGCCCGTCGGCTGATCCGCCTCTCCAGCCCAGAACGCCATCAGCTAGCCTCCCTCAACCTTACTCCTGATCCAGAAATGGAGCCTCCACCCAAGCCTCCTCGAAGCCTCGAAGCTGAGGCCAAGCAGGCCCTGGAGGGCAGCTTTGCGGGTTGGGGAATACCAATGCAGACACCTCAAGGTAACTGCCCAGACATGCTGACCCAGGGTGGAGAAAGGCCAGGGGGTATTGGGATTCCTGGCAGGGGAAGGCTTGGGAATGGAAAGGGAGGTTTTGGGGGTCCCAGGCCATATCTCCTCTGTTCAGATCTCAAGACTATGGAGATAGAAGAAGAGAGTCCCTCCTCCAGTGAAGAAGAGGAAGAAGAGGATGAGGAGGAGAAAAGGCATGGGCCTATTGTGGACTTAGTCATGCAGCAGGTGAGCGGGAGGAACCCTCTACCCGAGCCAGCATGCCTCCATGAAATACAATCCCCACAGGAGAAACCTGTGCTCTGCTCTCCTCAGCCCTTCGCTCAGATGTCTTCTGACCTCGTCTCTTTCACGTCTCTAAGCCTCCATCTTTTCTGCCAGAACTTAACTCCTCCTAGCCTACGTTCCTTTCAGCTCCTTCTAGAGCTTCCCTAATCCCTATTACTGGGGAGCTAGGCCCTACCCCCTGACTGGCCTTACCCTGCTATAGACCCTGCTAACCTTCACCAAGAATACAAGCGACATGAACAACTACCCAACATGGAATCGAACCCTGATGCGCCGTGCTAAGGAGGAGATGATGAAGCGGTTCTGCAAGGCCCAGGTGAGGCGCAGGAGCTCCTGGAAGCTCTGATGGGGTCAGGGCTGGAGACTGTGGAGATCAGAGCAACCTGGGTGCTCCATTCTTGAGCAATGTAAAGACTTCTGAGCCTCCTATCTTGCACCCCTCAGGCCATCCAGCGGCGACAAAATGAGATTATTGCTGCTTTGCGGGAGCTGGAGGCTGAGGGTGCAAAAGTGGAGCTGGCCTTGAGGCGCCAAAGCAGTGAGTAAACACAGGAGGGGCAAGGGAGGGCACCTCTGTCTCCAGCACCTGCTCAGCCCTCGGCAATCCCTCAGACCTGTAGCAGGCCCATAGCAGGATCTACTCGTACCATGACCTCCCCGGCCCTGGCTGGAGGCCTCCTGACCACTCTGCCCTGCTTCTTCTCATCAGGTTCTCCAAACCAGCAAAATAATCCACAGTTAGAACAGTGGCTGCAGTTTGTTGACAAGAGAAACAACCTGTTGAATGAGGAGGCTGAGCTCATGATCATGTAAGGGGTGGAGGGGACTGACGGTAGCATGTGAGTTGAGCCCAGCAGTCTTTGGGCAGCCGGGTGCTGAGTTTCTTCTATCTTGCCCTCCACAGGGCAAAGGAGCTGAACCTGGAGGACAAACAGTTGCACCTGGACCAGAAGCTGCGAGGCTACATGAACCAGGATGGTAGGTAGAATGTGGGAAGAAGCAGACATCACGTGGCTGGCATGACCCCAGCCATTACTACTAGTGGCCACTAACTCCTGACCACTCAGTGAGGCTCTCTAGTCCCTATCTCTCTGAGCTCTGCAGGAGGCTAGAGAGGCCCAAGCCCTACTCCATTGCCAACTCAGGCAGAGCTGCCCAGGCTGATAGGCAGGGTTTCCTTTGCTGTTCTTAAACAAAGCCTTTCCCACTAGCAGTGACAAGCCTGTTTTTACAGATTAGGAAACAAAAGCTCTGGTGTAGAAGTCACGCAGGCTGAGCCTAGGTTATACCTCTGCTGCCTCCCTGCACAGTTCCCTGTTGTAGCTCTAAGCTTCCTGTCCTCCTTCAGACAGCACAAAAACAGAAGCTGATCGAGAGAAAGAGAAAAAGACCCTTCTGAAACTGGTGGACGTGGTGAATGAACGAGATGCCCTCATCCGCTTACAGGAGGAACGCAGGCTCAGCCAGCTGCCCTTGGGCTCAAGGCCCCCGGCCCAGCAGAAGGACTGCTGATCTTCTCTCCTATAAGACCACCTCGACCTCGGAAAGTAGCGTTCCTGCTCCTTTCTGAGCAGGCTTCCGGGGAGCCCACTTTTATAATAAAAATGTTTCTACCACAGAGGACTTGGCTTCCTGCAGGTAGGAGGGGTATAGATGTGTAGGAGCCTACAGAAGCACTCTGTGGCACTCACTCACCCTTGGCTCCAACCAGTCTCTGTACAAGGAAAAAGGTAGAGCCGCAAAAAAGTGCCAAGTTTTATTGTTCATCAGCTCCATCCCCCTCTTGCTGCCCCAGAAGCAGGGTGAGTGGAGCAGCTGGGTTCAGGTCTGGGGCTTCCCTTGCCCTTTGCAGCACATGCTGCAGCTCAGCCCGGGCCCGACACAGATTCTTGGTTTCTTGCGTGTGGAACAGGTAGAGTGCACCTGCCCCCAGCACCAGGCCTATACTGGGGGCCCAGAGTAGAAGGGCCACCTCCCGAACACCCCCTCCAACCACCAAGGCACACAACAGTGCCAGGAGAAGCAGCCCCAGACCAATTGCATAGCTAGCAAAGGAAGTCCACCAGCGAGCTTGAGCCAAGCCCTGGTCCAGCTCTGTCCAAGCCTCTCTCAGCACACTGATCAATGGTGACCCCTCTTTTGTTCCTAGAACAAAGCAAGGCAGTGGGGTGGGAGAGAGGATCAGGGTGGAGGAGCTGCCTTACAGTGGAGCAGAATCAAGGGAAAGGACAGTGGTGACTCACCATGGGTAGGACTGGGGTTGTGCTCGGGAGGACTGTGTCTCACACACAGAGTGGCCATCAGGGCCTCGTGATCAGACAGGGGGGTGCCAGAGTTAGGGTGATGGCCTGTAGTGGTTTGGAAAGTCTTACAGGAAATGTAAAACCCAGAAACTGCCTATGAAAAGGATAAGAGAGAAACATATTTGCATTCTTCCCCGATACCAGCTCCTGGTTGTCCCCTTCTCCAGCCAGCAGTGGTCTAAGACAAGTTGGCTGACAAAGGGTCTGCACAGCCTGATGAGAGACAAAGGGCTACTGGGAGAAACATCGGTGGGGAGAGGCCTGACCTTGTAAAGCATGTAGTCAATGCGAATGCCCGAGGAAAATGGCTCCAGCTCCTGCTGCTTGACATAGCAGTTCGCAGGTACCATTGTACAGCCTTCATCAGAGCCCTATGTGAAGAGTTGTTTTGTGCCAAGTCTGAGAGAAGGAAAAGGAAGAGCAGCTGGGGGTGTACGCTGGGAGAAATAATCAGGAGCATCTCACCTTGAAGTCATGTGTCTCCAGGTAAGCATCATGCAGTCCTGTACACTCCTTTAGCAGGCGGCAGCCCAGGTCCTTTGGGTGCAAGTTGAGGTCCCCACACAGTAGAATCACGTCGGCCTTCTTGGATGTGTGGCTGGGAGAATCGGGTTAGTGAGGCAGGCTGTTTTTCCTTGCCAGCTCTTACCCTTAGGGCCTTAGCCACCCCTCAGTCCCTAGACCTCTTCCCACTTCCCCTGTTCAAGCCCAGGCTCACACACTGGATGAACTGGGCCAGTTCCCAAGCTTGGGCCACACGATGTGCCAGGTAGATGTCCTTCTGTCTATTGTATTCGGCATGGAGCTGAGCAAGATAGATGAAAGTACGTGAGACGAGGGTCCCAAGGAGAGGTCTAAATCATCATTCATTCATCATGATAGTTGGCAAAAGGAACAAAACCCGCCTAATGATTCTAAGAGATCCTGCCCCAAACACCTCATCCCCAGGCAGCCCACTTAGAAGTCCCGCTCCCCAACAACCCCCTCCGCCACTTCCACCAGACTGTCCCTGTGCCTCACTTACATGGGTCACATAGGCATTGAGCACCAGTCCACTCAGATGGAGCACCAGCAACCCTACAGCCTTTCCACAGAACCAGTCACCGTGATGGATCTGTAGGCAGGAGGGAGCAGAAGCAATGCAGAGCCATGCTGCTCCCTTTCTGTACATCCCCTGCCACCCCAGCAAGGCTGGCTTTGCCCCTGCTGAGCAGGGGATGCAGAAGGGAGGTGGAAGAGGTCAGAAGGCAGGCTTACCATGTAGGGATAGCCGTTGAGGGTGTACACGTGCTGGAGGAATTCTTGGATTGGATGTTTAGAGAAGACACAGAGTCCACTCCCAATGATGCCACTGAAAGCACAGTCCTGCTTAATAAGCCAGAAAACAGGGACAGAAATACCCAGCCCTCGCCCTTCCCAGTTCTGATCAGTTACTACTGGGACCACCACCAAAGCAAAGTTCAAGTGACAGATTTTTGTGGAATAACCGGGTAGCCTTATAATGAGGAAGTGATGAGCTAAAGAGATAAGATCTTTTTGATTCCAAACCCTCCTGCTACCACACCCAGGGCAGAGGGCACTATAGGGAACAGGGTGAGGGTGATGGCAGGCCCAGGCCGGGAAAGGGCTGGCAAGGCAAGGGCCAAGAGAGTTCAAGTCTGAGAAGAGGCTTCCTGGCAGGCAGGTTCCTCACCTTCTGAAATAGTGTGCAGCTGGGTAGGTGGGTAGCAGCTTTTGTTTCAGGTACTGGAAGTCCTGCTCACTCCACACCTGAGGGAAGGGATGAAGAAGGCTGCCAGGCCCTTCCACCTGGGAGAAAACCCTCTCCTGCACCCCGAGTTGCCTCTGCTCCCAGCCTGGGTTCCAAACCAGTTCTGCACAACCCTACCTCCTCCAGTAAGGCTAGGTCGTAGCTCTCCATGTTCAGAAAGTCCCCCAGGCGCTTCATACGGTCTCCATGGTTCTTGCTCAGGTAGGGGATACCCCTGAGGAAGAGAAGGGCCAGGGAAGGTAACGGCTGGGGGTGCTCGGTCCCCTGGGAAAAATCGGAGCTGAGATGTGTGCCTTGGAGATGCGGGCCCCTCCCCACCCTGGACCCCCGCGATCTGGTGGCTGGCGGGACCCGGGGACCCAGACAGGAGGAAGGTCTATTTTCCTCTGGTTTTGTGGCTATGGATGCGGTTCTGGCTCAGACCTCAGCCGCGGGCGTACTCACCAGCAGTTGAGGTTAAAGACCTTCAGTCGCAGGGAGAAGTTGGGCTTCATGGCCGGGCTGCTACAGAGTCGCAGGACCTCTGGCCGTCCGAGCGGCCTCCGCGCCAGGGCGAGGGGCCGGGCGGCCGGCCCCTCCCCCCGGGGCGGTGCGCACAGGTGGTCGGCCCCGCCCCCGCGCCTCCCGGAAGGACGCCGTCCCTAAGTCGGCGGGGTTCGGACGCCTGGCCTGGGCGCGCAGCCCGGAGCCGACTTCCTCGTTGCCCAGGCGACTAGCTCGCCCGCCCCAAACTGCCCGCCCACCAACCCCGGCCGGGCGAACCGCGGCGAAATCCGGGCGCTGACGGCGGCGACGGCCGCACCGAGGAGTCTGGGGCAGCTGGGGTCCCCCCGTGAAGACCGGGAGGGCGTGGAGTCGGGCAGAGTCACTTGGGACTCCCCGTTCCTTTTCCCGAGTTCGCCCCCGGCTTGCGGGCTCTCCCGTTTTCTTGCCTGGGGTGGCAACAATGGGCGCGAAGTTGAGGAACGTCTGGGCGGTCGCCCCCCGCCCGTCGCCCGCGCCCCGCCCCTCGCCTCTCCTACCCCGGCGAGCGTCGAGGGCGGGGCCGCGCGGTAACCCTGACGACACACAGTGTTTGTGCCCTGAGTAGTCCCGGAGCGCGGCCATGGCCAGCTTGCAGCCCAGCGGGCAGAGGTCCGCCGCGTGCCGCTCCAAGTCGCCTCCCGAGACGCCGCTGCAGGTGAAGGTAGTGGGACTCTTCAAAAGCTCTAGCTTTCAGATCGCGAAGAACACAGCTGAGGTAACAGCGTAGAAACCATAAGTGTGGACGGCCCTCCCCGTCTCGCGCCTCCTGGTGGTAAGGGTTGAAGCCTCCTGAAGGAGGGACGCGTCCCGGATGGGCGGACTCGGCTTAAATAATCGGTACAAGTAGGGATCAAGGCCTGGTCAGCAGGCATTCCACGTTCCAACCATGATAAAGCATGGTTTCAAAAGGGAAAAGTATTACCCAAAAAAAAATTTATCGTTTAACCAGCTCATTTGCACACTCCCAAGTGAAGAAGCGTTTTTCCTTAAGATTTTTTTTTATAAATTTTGTAACAATCACTGCATTACAATTAAATTAGGTGCTTAAGAGATTTCGTAAAATGGTTCACAATTGCTTTAGAGAACACCAGTATTACTTTGTAACCACATAGAACAAAATTAAATGAAAAACACTTTACCTGGGAGAACTTCAGCAAGTCACTTGTGCTGCAGCACACCTGTAACCCGAATGCAGGAGAAATGTACACACTATTGAAATGTAGGATTCATCATCTCTTTGGGGCTCCAGAAATGCTATTGTAAAATCATCCCAATTTTCCTCCTTGAGAACCTCACTAGGTCTTGCCTTGTTCATGTTTGTCTGTCCAAAGTACCCAACTGGATACTTGCCACAAAGTGTTGCTAAATAGAAGAAATGTTTAGAAACTCCTGCCTTCTTAACCTGCTTCAGGTCTGCAGAATTCAAGAAAAGTTTTCAAATCAGGAAATAGTAACTAATTTGTGGCTTCTAGGTAAAGTTTACAATAAGATAAAGAGAACAAGTGTTTAGAAGTCTGTGAAAACCGTATGTAAATTATCAAAACAAGTAGAAATTCTGGACCATACTAGCTGTTTTGGTGGGATCAGCAGTTTTATGGTCCAAGATGTATTTAGAGAATTTGAGAGCATTCTTTCCCTTTCATTAGTCTTAGCTTCTTTCCTGAAGGCACATGTTTTCTGTGACTCAAACCATACTGTAGATGTGTTGGCAAATTTTTTTTTGTGCAGTCCAGATATTAAGTCACTGGACTTTGTGGCTAAGTACTCAGCTACAAGTACCAACTTACTTCTTATTGTGTGAAGGCAGTCATAGGCAGAATGTATGTGAGTATAATATTATGGACACTGGAATCTGGCTTGCATATAATTTCACACGCCATGAAATATGATTTTTTAACCACTTAAAAGTCTAAAAATTATTCTGAAGTCTTTAAGGCTTAAAAAAATAGGCAGTGCCCAGATTTGACCAGTTTGCCCACCCCTGTGGTAGAGGACACTAGGACAGGGAAATGATATCTTTATTATATAACAGTATTAATTTACTTTTATATTTATGCCATGATAGCTCTATTTAAGGATGAAAATTTAGCAATGTCAATTTAGTGAGCTCTATCTTAAAGGATGCTTGAATATATTCCCAGTGTGGTGATTTGTAAGCAATCCAAATGCCTTATTAACTGAGAAAGATTTGTAGTTGTAAAGAGTAAGTATAATTCAGATGTAGTCCATTCTTTGAACAAACAGTAAATTATGAAAGAAGTATGATTGAGTGTGCTTAATTTGAAAATAATTGGGCTTCTTAGTTATCCCAGCTGGCCCCTCAGAAATAGCAGATTGCTGCAAGATTGCCTCACACTGAGCACAGACTCTGGAACTGAGGAAAAGGATACATCATTTGTTGGTTGGGCACAGTAGTCTAAGAACTTAGGGAGTGGTCCTATTGCTTTTGCCTCTCCTGCCAGCCTGGCCTCAAGGTGCACTCACATTCTGGCTTTTCCCTTCATGGAATGTACACCCCTGATGAAGCATGCCAGTTCAGTGTCCTCTTTTGACCTACAACAGGACCTATGAGCACAATAGGACCACTCCCTAAGTCTTGGCGGAGAAGGTGCCAACTGGAGAGGCCAGCTGGCATTTGCCTGTTGGCCCATTTACTCCTCATACCCATTCAAAAAAGTGAAGCCCAGTTGTTACTGACTTCTCTTGCTTTAGGAGGAAGCAAAATGTAACATATTGAAATCAAAAACTTTTTTGGGGGGGTGGAGAAAGTATTGGTAACCAGTAGAAATTTTTTTCTGATTCATACAGACAAAACAATACAAGTTACACCAAAACAATCTCTCAATCGTGACATATATGTAAACAACAAGAAGAATTTCCTTTTGATCATTCCCCATGTACCAGTAACTTAAAGAAATAACACTTACTTTAATTGCAAGTATCTAAAGGTACACTGAGGTTTAATAAGAGTTTAGTTTATGGGGGAAAATGGTCCTAAGTGCACATGGGAATTCACAAAACAACTGTCATAAACTTATTTATTTGCTCATTTGTTCATTCAGTTGCTATAGGTGGATGGTCTACTATGTACCAGATGTTGAGGCCAGTGGGGATATAGGAAAAGTAAGACATAGTCTTTGTTCTCAAGGAGCTTATACTCTGCAGGTGAGAGACAAATAAGTCAGAGCTGAGGGAGGTCTGGGCAGCAATTTAATGGAGGTAAGCACAGGGGCCTCTGGGAACAGGCAAGGGGCATCTAAGCCAAACTGTGGCCTGTGTGCACAGTAGGTAAGACTTCCTCGAGCCCCTGGAAAACTTGGGGGAAATGATTATTACTTTAAGAGAACTTATCTAAAATACTTATTCTGTTTTGAACCTAGACTCTGAAGATTAAATTTCCATCCAAATTTCAAGATCCTATACTAGTTCCTCTTCAAGAATTTGCATGGCATCAGTATCTACAGGAGAGAAAAAGGGTAAAAGATATTTGGGATGTGGGAGATATGGACAAAGTTCTTCTTGAATTATTTATCTATGCCTCATTTTGGAAAAACTGAACCATTTATTTTAAGGCAATTGCATTTTCTGTATGTTATACTCTTAAATTATTTCAATCATTTTACCAGACTGATTTTAAGAAAAAGTAAAACATTTTCAAGATTCCCCTGTGGAAGTTGTGTGATAAGGTAAGTCTTAAATTTTTAGTACTGCTAATGTTTAGCTCCTTGCATATCATTCATACTTCCTATGACCCCCTGACACTCATGTCATTGTAGCCTACCACACTTCTTGCCCTTATTTGGGAAGGCTTTATTTATTTATTTTAAAAGATTTTATTTATTTTTACATAACAATTGGGGTGCAGGCCAGAGGAGGGAAGGGATGCGAAGAATCGCCAAAGACTGAGTGGGGAGCAGAATGGTAGGATCAAATGAAATACACTGGTGAGGGGAGCAGCGGGCGAGACAGGAGAGGTCTGCTGTCCACATGTGGATCAGCTCCCTGGCTGGGGATCAAACTTAGACAGTTGCAGTGATAACGCTGTAGGCCACCAGAGAGGCCCCCTCCAGAAGATTTTAGTGATTGGTATACAGCACAGATAAAGAGGGGACTTGTGTGGAGTTGTCACCTAGGGAGCTCTGATGACAGCCACCATGGTCCCATAGGGCAACCTTGTCCTTGGCCGAGGCTTCCTTTTTTGCACCCTCTCCCCTCAGTACGCTTGCAAGAAGGGCAGACTCTGGGGCTAGCAGAGTTTGTGCAGGGATGGCAGATAAGTGTCCTTTGGGTGTCAGCACTATCATTGGTAGTGCTGCCTGTAACAAGTGACGTGAGGACTCTAAGGTGTCATCTCACTCACAGATACCTGGTTTGGGGAGGGAAGTTGGACTGAGGCATGCCTATTTGTCACCCCTGACCCAGTCCTGTGGTGAGTCTCAGTCCTGGCCTCCCCGCCCCGCCCCATTTCCCCATGGGTTGGTGAAAGCCCATTTCCCCACCAGAGCATGTTCGATTGTTCTGTGCTTGGTTACACAGGATATCCCATGATCCGGTGGTTGTCAAGTAGATGTAGATTGTGTTATTTATGCATAAAATGCGGATGTGAACAGTGCAAAACTGAGCCAAGATCATCAGTTGTTAAGTCTTCTAACCAATTTTTGCAACAATAATGCATTGAAATCCAAATGAAACCATAGTAAACACAAGGTATACCAGATATTATTATGATTTATGGACTAGTCCTTACAACAAGAAGGGTAACCAAGAGTCCTAGTTTGCATGGGACTAAGATTTGCTGGAAAGTAAGAATTTCAATGCAAAAGATAGGCAGACTTGGAGTTACTCTCCTGATATAAAATGCTGTTTTTCTTAATTCTGATCATAAACCATTATACTGTCTACCAGTATGGTGCTCTCCATCAACAGGGGAACTATGATTTTGTATTTTGTACATATTCCCACTGGTCCTTAAAGAAAGATTGGTGTAGGAGGGAAATGCATTGGACTATGGTGAGGGCACATGGGTGATTTGGTGATGGGAAACCCAACGGGATGGCAACTGACATGGAAAAATGCACAAAGATATATAAAAATAAATTACTATAAAATTAAAAACAAAACAAAACAAGAAAAAGATTGGTGTGAATTCCAATTTATAATTTCCTGCCCTTTCATTCTGGTCACCTACTGTAAAGGGGACATAATTTGGTGGCCATACACTGGAATTAGGAGGCTCGCCATCAGAATTGTGCAGATGAAAACACTAATCTCTTTATTTTGAGTAACATAAGACTTCAAAGTATTGATAAAGATAACTCTTCTTCCTCACTGCCCTTTACAATGCACAGAAAATCCCTGCTGGCTGATAAGAAACATTTTCTCACCCTGCCTACCCTGTCTAAAAAGCATTCTTCCAGGCTTCGGTAATGACAGCTGTGCACAGCAGCCTCTCCTTATCTATGGTATTGCTTGCTAGTTTCAGTTAACATGTGGTCCAAGGAAAATAGATACAAGAAAATATGTTGAGAGAGAGAAATCACATTCATACAATTTTAATTAAAGTATATTATTCTATTTTCTTATTAGCTATTGTTAATCTCTTACTGTGTCACATTTTTACATTAAACTTTAGCATAGGTACATGTATATAGAGGACAAAAACAAAGTATTGGTAGAATTTAGTGCTCTTTGCAATTTCAGAGACCCATAGGAGGTCTTGGAAAGTATCCCCCCACAGAAAAGGAAGGGACTACTAATTCCACAAAACTCCTCCAGAGTAAGCACAGTAAAATGTGCTTCAGAAATGAAGCCAGAGATTGTATCTTGTTATCAAGTGACCATGACAAGTATGTTAATGCACATAAGTGCCAATTATTATCTGCATCACTTTAAAGAGGTGATTCTCAGCTTATAGTGATGTCAGAGTTTTAAAAATGTTCTTAAATTCTTTCTGAGAAAAGTTCTGGAAAGTGACAATGTATTTTTTTTAAAGATTTAGTCCTCAAGTTTAGAGTCCTTGTAGGTTAAGCAAGTGTTTCTTTTTCTCATCACATTTATGTGTATCTGTTTACATTTCTTTTTATAGGAACTCAAGAATGAAATTTGGGTATATTCCTCCTTTGTGATGTGTTTTGTTAATGATCAACTCCTCGGTGATGCACTTGATCTTCAGAAATGGGCCCACAAGATATGGGATGTCGTTGATTTTAAACCCCCTGCACTTTATGAGGCACTTACTGTGGATTATTCTACCAAATTCTTAAGAGACACCAAGGCAAGTTATACTAATTTTTAAATTTTTGGTCTTTCATATTGATTCAGCATTAATTATGGCTATCCTATCATAGGGACTGTAAAATTATAGGAAATTAAGTTTTAAATTTTCAGTGACCTTATGATCTAGTTGCAAAGGATTATTTTGTGGTAGGTTCAGCTCAGTGGTGAGTAAAGTCAGCATATCTGTACAGAGGGAATATCTTCGTTCAAACACTTCTCTCCCCATGGAGATTTTCATAGATTGTCATCCATCTTAAAATACAAAGATCCTCCCCAAAAGGTCAAACCTATCATTCTCTCATCTTTAATGAAGTGTGTGAATTACTACTTCCTCACACTTAAGTGAGAGCTACTACCCTGAGAGAATGCGGTGGCATTAAAAGCATGATGCCTTGCTGACAAGAGCAGGACTAGATAACCTACTAGTGGCTTCCAGTGGCAGAAGATAGTCAGGAAACCTGAGGCCCAGAGAGACAGACAGACACGAGGGTAGAATGACAGTATAGATAAAAGTACTTCGTGGGCCCTCCCTTGTGGTGCAGAGGGTAAACACAGCACTACGAAGCTAAAGCCACTTCAGCATGAGTTAGCCCCAGAGGTGACCACATGGTGCGGCAGACCTCTCCTGACCCACCTGCTGCTCCCCTCAGCAGTGTACTTCCTCAGTCAGCCTGCTCTACCCCCCACTATGTCTCTGGTGAAGCCTCTCACCACATCTGTATCTACCCCAATTTTGTATGCATAAATAGATAAATAAATAAATCTTTAAAAAAAAAAAAGTACTTCGTAATTATGCTCAGAACCTTGATGTAACAACAACCATCATATGCTGAAAATCACCTCATGCCCATGATGGCTGTGTCCACAGGAAGACCCTGTGCTAGCTGCTAAGGTTTGCAAAGGTCCTCTCTCCTTGCAAAGGTGTGCACAGGTCTTGTCTTCTTGGCCTTTGTTGAACCAATGCCTTAAGCAGAATGTGATGCCAAGTGACTGAGGGTAAACGCACTTGGAAAATGCTGTGAACTCTGGGTGTAGGTAGGATTTGGGGGTTCATAGCAGTTAATTTCCAAAGGGGCAGGGTTCTAGAAAGTACATTTGTGCTCTGGGAATGGCAGGGAACAACCCTGGAGGCCAGAGTTAGTGGGAAACAATCTGGGAAAATGAGAATAGCAGTCAACAATATCAGACTACTGTGATCAACATGAGAGCCTCACAACTGTCAGGGACACTTGAGAACCAGCTTTAGAAAATACATGAGAACCAAGGGAGATATGTCAGCAGGAATACATGACCAGAGTCACTCTGCAAACTCACAGACGGGACACTGCCATGTTGCCGTATTTACCCAGAATGGTTTCTCAGCTCTCCCTAGATCTCCTTGCATCACTCGCTGGAGATCCAAGCCAGAGGAGCTGAGCAGTGAGGCCACAGCCTCACAGAGGAGGGAGAATCTGGCTCCTTAGGTTCTATAGGGAGTGGTGGACCCCGTGGGGAATTATTCCCAGATAGAAAAGGTATTCAAATGTTTTTGGGGCTGGGGGGAAGGCAGGGAAGCAGGACCACTAAAAAAAGGTTAACCTTACTGTTCATTCTGTACCAAGAGTTAGAGTTTAGCCAGAAGGAAGTCAAGGCAACAGAACTTTCATAGAATATGGCATAATCCTCTTTGTTTTTTCTTTTAAAGATTTATTTATTCATACAGAACTGGGATACAGGCCAGAGGTGCAGGGGCTTCACCAAAGACAGAGTGGGGAGCAGAACAGGCAGACAGATGAAGTACACTGCTGAGGGGAGCAGCAGGCGGGTCAGGAGAGGTCTGCAGCACCATGTAGGTCACCTCCAGGGGCTGGAGATCGAACTCGCACTAAAGCAGCTGTGGCCAGCTTGCAGTGCTGAGTCCTAACCTGTTGTGCCACCAGGGAGTGCCCTGTTTTTTCTTTTTAACACTTAAGGCTGTGCAGAAACAGGCTGGAGTGGGGAAAGCCTGTGGCAGGGTAACCATTTAAAAAGGTGCTCTAGTGGCATGGACTAATTAGTGGCAGTCAGAAGAGAGGAACTAGATTCCAAAGAAAATCCTTAAATTTTTCATGCAGAGGTTAGATTTTTCCTGCTGGATAAACCTAGGAACTTGTTTGCTTCTGGGTTGGAGTGATCTGCTAGATCACTTGTTTTTGTGACATTCCCTTGTTGCATATTGCATTCATTTGCTCTCTTTGCATTAGAATTTTCAGAATTATCTACTCTTGACAATGGCATGAAAACAATATGTTGGTACTAGAGGAAGCTTACTGAACTTATTGCAGGCATACATCATGATTTCCATTATATCCTCTTGTTCTTCCTAAGCCTGTGAAATTTATAGTTCTCATTCCAAAGTTATAATAGTCTCTTGTAATTAAGAACTTGTGGTACAGAAGCTGAATGGTAAATCTTAAGTATAATTATCTGGCTGTAACACTACCATCCTGGATGCCAGATAGCACAATATTATTTCACTTTTTTTTTTGAAGATTTATTTATTTATGAATACAGAACTGGGGTATAGGCCAGAGGTGCAGGGGCAGTGAGAGGATTCAACAGAGACAGAGTGGGGAGTAGAACAGGCCAATTGATGAAGTACACTGCTAAGGAGAGCAGCGGGTGGGTCAGGAGAGGTCTGCTGTACCATGTGGGTCATCTCCTGGGCAGGGGATAGAACTCATGCTGAAGTGGCTTTAGCTTCTTAGTGCTGTGCTTTAACCCACTGTACCACCAGGGAGGACCCTATTTCACTTTTTTAATTAAAAAAAAAAACTAGAGTGACAAAATGATGGTGATTTTATATTTAAAAGTGGTTTCATTTATGTTTTTTCGGCATAGATGTACTGGGATGTAGGCCAGTACTGCAGGCAGGAAATGAGAGGACTCACCAGAAACAGAGCAGGAAGCAGAACAGGCAGATTGACTGAAACACACTGCTGAGGGGAGCAGTGGGAGAGACCCAGGAGGTTTGCTGTGCCATATGCGTCAGCTCCCTGCCTGGGCATCAAACTCAAGCTATAGTGATAGCACTGAGAATTAAACCCTAGGCCGCCTGGGAGGCACTGTTTGCTAGATTCTCGAGAAATGGTGCAGGGCAAGTGATGTATTTTGCTAAGTAAAGCAGCATTTTTGTGTATGAGAATGGTCCCTAAGAGAGATGCATTCCATTAGATCTCTGCTCCCTAGATGAAGGCTGTTCTGGTGGAGACTGGTGTTTTTATTTTGGATGTCTCTCTGTAGGTCTAGACAAGGTCTCACAAGTGCTACTTGACCCTACCATAAAAGATGTCAATAGAAAACAAGAGCTAGGGGCATCTGAGAATGTGAAGATATGTTTGAAATAACTCAAATCACAGCATCCTGTCTTCTGTACCCCTGGATACTGTGACCTTATTTTCCTACTCAGGAATAATCTTGCCTAGCTCTGGTTAGCTGTTCCATCTGAAAATCCAGAACTCTTATAAACAAAGAGCAACTGGATCTTTCCAAAATTACTCAGAAGAGAAATCCCAGTTTGCTTCATTTCCCAAAGAGATTGATAACTGGTGTTTCTTATCATACCTAGTTTGTGCTGTATTTGGTTTCTAGGTCTTGTATTCTCAGTCTTACATGACAGGTTAATGTTATTCAAAGCTTCACTATCAAAGGTCTTACAAAGTATGTTATTTTAATTGTACAGATGTGCTATAAAATGAAACTTTCTTTTCCCAGTCATCCTTTTAATTTTGTCATTGTCATATCTACTGTTAATGCTGTTAAAATCTTAAAACTAAAAACATTCTCTTCTATTTTTGGTCATTTATTAAACTTTCTTCCAAGACATTGACCTGCCTTATCTTTTTTTTCTTAATTTTAATAGCATGATTTTGTTTTCATGGACATTTCTATTGATTATTACCCAGTGGGAAGATTGATTTTTGAGGTAAGAGAGTTTGTTGTTATTTTCTTTTTTTAAGATTATTTATTTATTTATTTATGTATACAGAACTGGGTACAGGCCAGAGGTGCAGGGGCAGTGAGAGGCTTCACCAGAGACAGAGTAGGGAGCAGAACAGGCCGACTGACGAAGTACACTGCTGAGGGGACCAGCGGGCGGGTCAGGAGAGGTCTGCTGCGCCATGTGGGTTACCTCCGGGGCAGGGATCGAACTCATGCTGAAGTGGCTTTAGCTTCGTAGTGCTGTGCTTTAACCCGCTGTGCCACCAGGGAGGGCCCTGTTGTTATTTTTTAACAAATGGGAGAAGGAGTGGGAATCTGTAACTGTGGAAATGTTAAATATCAAAACCTTTTATCTTTATTTTGCAGCTATTTTGTGATGCATGTCCCAAAACATGTCGAAATTTTCAGTTTTTGTGCACAGGAAAAGCAGGGTTTTCTGAAAGTGGCATCAGATTACACTATACAGGCTCAATTTTTCATCGCATAGTAGAGAATGGTTGGATACAAGGGGGAGGTAAGGTTAAAATCTTAAATACAACTCAGTTACAACATAGGTCAGAGAATCCACAGTTCTTTCTACCTTTGTGAAATGCATATATAATTAAAAATATAAGTAATTAGTATATATTTAAAGGGTGTTTTATATATCAAATACTGAATCAAATGATCAATTAGTGAATTAATATATCCATACTCTTTCAAAATTCCATAATTTTTAAAATAATCAAATCTAAAGTATGTTGCCAGGAATATTCCAAATTAAAAAGTGATGTAAGAAAGTAGGAGGACAGTAGTTAAGATAAAGATGCTGCTATGAAGTATACACCCAGATTCCAGAGAAATGGAGAAGAAAAATCTGACCGTGAGAATATTAACACTGGCACCATTCAGGAGTCTCTAGCAATGCAGCCAGAGAAAGTTAGTGAAAAAGAATTTATCTTTTTTTTATTTATTTATTTAAATGAGGAAGCTGGTTGAGGTGAAACTGGAAAATATCCCAGAGGAAGTGACACCAACAAAAAACCTTCACATTAAAAGGGTTCTAGGAATATTTTACAACATTCAAACTGCAAAGGATAAAATGTTGAAAAGTGATCCCACCTTAGAAGGGAGTATAACAATTTCCCAAGGCATAGAAAAGATGCTTGCTCTATAGCAGGAATTGTATCATGAGAAAGATACAATTCCTGTTCAAACTATGGTTGATACGTTATTTAAAAAGAATAAAGCATTACAACTCTGAAAAAAAGTAGAACAGTATTTTAAAATCAAAATGTAATTTTAAGTACTCAAATAAATAAGAGTACCTAGAAGATAGGTGCTAGTAAGAAATTACATGAATGGAAACCAACTTATTTCTCATCAAAGCTAACGATAGTATTAGACTAAGGTCCAAAGCATGTTGATGTCCATGTTCGCTTTGTTTTCAGGTTGATCCCTCTGACTTTACACAAACTGGTGCCTACTGATGGCACATAATTAAATTTTGAAGGCTGTTGTAAGATACTCCATAGGGAGCAGTCAGGCAGCTCCCTATAGAAGATTTGCTTGAACTTGATGACATACACAGAGATTTAATAACATTTCATTATCCTTCTACAGTCTGGGTTGTTCTGAGGTTGATGAAGAGAAAAGTGTAAATTTAAGCCTAGCTTGTTTGTAAATAAACTGGTTTCCTCTCAGTTTGTACAAAATGAGATTATATCACTATTGCTGTTAACTAACTTCATTGTCCACTTAATATATATGGCATTTCTCTTCCTGTGTCTACAAACATAAACATAAAATATTTAGGGTCTGCCTAGTTTTTCATCATAATGTTATAATATTATTGCCCATTGGTGAACATTTATGTTGTGTTCATTTTTTTTGCTAGTATAAAATAGTTCTCATGGGGGCCAATTTCATAATCTAGAAGTACTAGATTCTATGTTGCTTTTTGTTTGGTTTGGTTTTGGTTTTAGTTTTTGGTTAGAAATACATATTCCCCCCTCCCAAAATCAAGATTTGGGACAAGTCGATTTTATTTATTTAAAGTGAACTTTCTAAACTGAAAACACACAGATCTTGAGTCCTGTTTCCAAACATCGAGACAATAACATTGAGACAGTCTGGGGAAAATTCTGATTACTAGATCCGAACTAAATCCAAACTGACACACCTTGGGTAAGGCACTTGGCATCACTGAATCAGTTTCTTAATCATAAAATAGGAACAATTATAATAGCACAGGACGTGGTGAAGATCCAATACCATTGCATATGGAAAGTGCCAAGCTCTGTAAGTGTTCTTCCTTCGGCTGGAAGATTCTCCCAGGGCTGTGTGGAGAATTTTGGAAAACAGGAGTAAAGTGTGCTTTCATGTTGTTCCTCCAGTGCACCTGAGACTGCCTTTGCTTGCTTTGTGACAACAGGCCTACATAGCCTGTGCTCCCTGGCCCTATCTCATCTGTCATCCCCCACTCTGCTCCACAGATCAGCCTCTTCTTCCTTGAGCACAGTAAGCTTCTATGTGCCTTTAGATGGTTGTTTCTTTTGCCTGCGACATATTCTTCTCAGCTATTTCTAAGTACTGCCTTATTTTCCCTGCCTCGTTTGACTCTTGCTTATTGCTCAACTCAGCAAGAGTAGTACTCCTATCTTCTCTCCAAACTCCTCTCTTCACCTTCTTTCCTATCTCCTTACTCTGCTTAATTTTAGTACTTTTTCATCTGTGGACATTCTGTGTCGTATTTCCTAGTTAATTTGTGTATCATCTGTTTCTTCTCATTGGAATAGAAGTCTCATTGGGCAGGGCATTTTATCTATCGATATTTTGTTCAATGTTACAACCTCAAGTTTGAGGATAGTGCTCAGCATATGGTAGGTGCTTAAAGGATATCTGCTGAAAGAATGAATAAACAGTTAACTAGGAAGCATACGTGTTTTCTTCTTCCCCAAAATAAGATAAAAGAAGATACCAAGTCTTTAGTGATTTTGGTAAGATTCTTTTTCTGTGGCTCCTGCTCAGCCTACCCTCTTCAGGGTTTGCTTGAGATACTTAACATGTCACCATTATCATCCTGCTGAGCACACTAGTGGTGAAGATGATGATAGCAATTCTGGAAGCAGTGATGCTGCACAAGTATGTTGTCCTGCCAGGCTCTGCTCTCTGTTCTGCTCGTAGGATTACACTCAGTCCTCAGCACTCTCTGCGAGGCACTTACCATTTCTCTGGTCTACCCAGATGAGGAAGCAGGCTTGGAAAAGGTAATTAATGATCAGATTTAAATCAAAATCATTTGACTTTAGTTTAATTTTAACCACTACCCTGCATTGCTGAATTTGTCATCAGAAGTCTAGAAATAATATCAAAATGCTAGGCATGGCTGATTCTAAGGAGGTAGCAAAAAAATTAAATACTGATTGAAATGGTGTATTTTCACTAGAAAATATTCACTGGGAGATCTGAAGAGGAGGTCAGGAGAACTGATGCATGCTGGAGAGACAGGGCAAAGGTATTGCACTCACTAATATTTAAGTAGGTTGGTAGGAGTAGGGAAACACTGGGCAGATTTGCCTGAGCAAAGCCTACTCTGGGAACTAAAGAAATTAGTGCCAAGAAACTTCAACTTCTCCATTCCTAATTTATTCTTGAGTGAAAGTAGGAAGTTCCTGAAAACGGTGGGTGGAGTATCAGGAAGAGCGGGTTGGAAACTTAAAAGCTGGTTGGGCTTATTAATTAACTTCTGCACCAGCTTTATGAATGGTATGATTTATATGTCACATGGCCTGTCCTACATAAATTCTGCCCACCGACTTGTTGTTGCATCAGATTTCTTTAAAACAACACAGAGACTTGTATTATAGGTAAATCACTCATACTATTAATATGTCATAATCCTTCAACAGTTTTTCTTGCAAACTGTTTTCAAGAAAAGTGGATTAGTTACTAATAGGGAGCCTGGAGGTAAGAAGACAGATTTTAGAACCTCTCTTTTCAGTGGAGTTACCTTTGTTTCTCTTTTAGCTGTGGTAGAAACAAAATAACAAGTGAATGGATGATTTTTATAGTAGGAGCATTTTCTCAACCAAAATATGCATGTAATACAAAATAGGGCACATAAATACCCTTTAAAAAGAACCTCACATTTTCATCATAAGAAAAAGCATTGTGTTAACTATGTTTGATGATGGATATAACTAAACATTGTGTGACATTCTGTAGTATATTCAAATATCAAATCTGAATGTTGTATATCTGAAAATTTATGTAATCTTAGTTTATTAAACCTTATTATATTAAACTTAATTCTAAAATGTATGTAAGTGAGGGCTCTCCCTGATGGTGCAACGGATTAAAGCACTGCATTATGAGGCTCTCAGAAGCTGCTGCAGCACAAGTTCAATCCTACCCCCAACCGCCAGGGAGCTGACCCACATGGCACAGCAGACCTCTTCTGACCAGCTTGCTGTTCCCCTCAGCAGTACATTTCAGTACATCTGTCTGTTCTGCTCCCCACTCTGTCTCTGGTAAATCCTCTCACCCACCACACCTCTGACCTGTACCCCAGTTCTGTAAGCATAAATAAATAAATCTTTAAAGAAAAAAAAAGTGCCTAATGAGTTGTCACATTAGTATTCCAATGAGTGAAAATATGAACATGAATTCTTTTTAGACATCTACTTTTATCCTTCTTCTAAAAACACCTTACTGTGTCTATTTTATTGTATTGGTTTAATATTTCCATTTTTTTCTGAAAAGCGAGATGAATTAAGAAATAACTGGTGAAATAAGCAAGATTTGCATGAACACACTTTGTCATGACCACAATTATAATTTAAAACTTAATCATCTTAAGGTTTTGCATTGTAATTTATCCTATCTTACAGAGTTATTATGAAGGAAAATGAAATCACGAATGTAAAAGTACTTGTAAAACACAAGTGAACTCATTATAGCAATTTGTTCACAATATAGGTATCAGAAAATAAGCAATGTAGCTCTCATCACTGCTGTAAGTGGAATCATAATTTGAAGCATTTTTCTGCCAGAACTGTACTTTCTTTTTCAGTCTCAGAATTCTCATGTTCACTTACTGCTATTTTTCAGATATAGTAGCTGGAAAAGGAGATGGTGGAGAGTCCATTTATGGACCAACATTTGAAGGTGTGTATTTTTAAATTTGTTGAGGACCACAACCCCCTAGGGTTCTTTGTGTCTCTGGAGAAGAGAATTTTGGGAAGCACCTGAATGAAGCCAGCGAAAAAGTGTATTAGGAAAAAATAGGATAGAACATTGCAGAAGCAGTGGGAAGTCTCAGAAGGTGGGAAGGTTGCTCTGTAGTACAGTAGAAGGGTTTTTAAGTTTTGTTTTTTTTTTCCATTCTGGTGGGGTGAGGGTCCCCTTAATCATGCATACTTTGTTCCTATCATTCCTCCTGATTCCAGACTAATTGGTCTTTTATTTCTTTTATTATTATTTCGTTTTTAAAAAATAAAGTACCATTGTTTAACATCCTGTTAATATTTTGATGGTTTAGGATATCTCCCCTCAGGTGTGGTCATCACAGCTGTCCCACCGCCCCTTCCCTCCCCCCCTGATAGTCCTCCACTGTAGTCCATGTTGCTGTCCTGATTCTGGACTAATGGGAACTTCCCTTCCCTCCTGCTTTTCAAGTTAGAGCAAACCAGAGTTAAAAGATTCTTCCCGGGCCTGCCAGATCTTATCTGGTCCTTGAAACAAAGCCAGAGCACAGGACTGTGGGATGACAGAAATACACCTGTGCTCATCTGGGGGAGTGTGACAAGCCCACATTCAGAGATTTTTATTACAGTACACTATTATAGTCATTCTTTTTTATTATCAGCTATCATTAATTGCTCAATATGCTTAACTCATAAATAAAATATTGTCATAGGTAACATGGGGGAAAAGGTAATATATGTGGGGTTTAGTACTCTGTGGTTTCAGGCATTCACTGCAGGGATCTTGGCTTGTACACCATGGGTAATGCGAACTATTGTATTTGGTTTTCAGTGCTGGTTATACAGCTATATACTATTGTCAAGGTGCATCAAACAAAATCTAAGATACATGCATTTTATTCTATGTTTATACCTTAAGTAAAAAATATATGTATAAATTTTGAAACAACTTATCAGAAGTTGAACCAGGATCATCAACACCAAGACATATTTTAGTAACAGTATTGGGCATTAAAGAAAAAGAAAAAAAAAAAAAACACTTTGGTCAGGAAGGCAACATGAACAAGTAATTTATAAGGGATAGAAAAGTAAATCACCATCATATTCTTTGACATACTGATATTCTTATGCCAGAAGAAAATGGAGTATTTATTTATTTTTTAAAGATTTATTTATTTGTACATACAGAACTGGCATACAAGCCAGAGGCTCAGGGGCGGCGAGAGGCTTCACCAGAGACAGAGTGGAGAGCAGAACAGGCAGATCAATGAAGCACACTGCTGAGGGGAACAGCAGGTGGGTCAGGAGAGGTCTGCTGTGCCATGTGGTCACCTCCAGGGCAGGCGGGAATTGAACTCATGCAGAAGTGGCTTTAGTGTCTTAGTGCTGTGCTTTAACCCACTGTGCCACCAGGGAGGGCCCTCTATTTATATTTTAAATATTTGTTTACTTGTGCATACAGAACTGGGGTATAAGCCAGAGGTGCAGGGCGGTGAGAGGATCCACCAGAGGCAGAGTGGGGAGCAGAACAGGCAGATACAGTGAAATACGCTGCTGAGGGGAGCAGTGGGTGAGTCAGGAGAGGTATGCTGCATCATATGGGTCACCTCCCTGGCTGGGGATTGAACTCATGCTGACGAGGCTGTGGTTAGCCTTGTAGTGCTGGACTTTAACCTGTTGCGCCACCAGGGAGGGCCGGAGTAATTATTTATGATGTTCAATAAAAAGAAATATGAGCTTAGGATTTTGTCTTCAGCCAAACTGAATTTGAATCTTTCATAACTCCCATTTGGTTGAATAAAGAACACCAGAGTTATCAATATATAAAACATCAGGGACATTGTTGCCATGAACCCTCTCAAAGGAATCAGCCACAGAATGTTTCCCAAAACCAAATTGCAAAAGACCTTGACATAAAAGCTAATGGGAACACTAGTCATTGAGTGACTTGTAACACTAAAATGTAATGAGGATTCAAAGTGTGATATGCATGTAGTCTGTTGAGAAAATGAAAGAATGGGGACAATATACATACAAAAGTTTTAAAAATTATTTTCAGTAATTACTCTGGTGATGGTATCATAATATTGTTCTTCTGAGCTTGTTGTATATGTAACATGAAAACATAAGTAATTTATGGAATGTTCAATGTCATCATTTCTATATCCTTGACAGTCAGGATTTTTAATGTGGATGAAAGAAAGGACAGATGAAATATGATAGAGGTAATAAGTCAATATTTTGTAATCTGGAACTTGAGTTGGAGATAACCATTTAAAACTCAGAAGTGTCATATTTATGTATAGTCATTTCTCACTCTCTACACACACACACACATCCACTGAGTTGGCCTACAGACAACAACAGACCTAGTAATGAAGTACGTTCTTGGCACTCAGACTTTTGTATGAAATGCCATTTCTTGCTTAACGAAACTATCAGGGCTTCTGAGAGATATGGCAGGTTCTAGGACTAGAAATTATAAAATGAACCTGGAGCCTTTTGTTCAGTGATAGCCAAAAGCCCTCCTAAAAATGCATTAGGGTCAATCAGAGACTCCAGGAGGCAATTTAAAAGGCCCTCACTGGCCAGAGATGGAGTAATTTGAATTATGATTGATTGAAACCCAACAAGTATTTGAAATTCAGGGGTTCACAATGATATAATAAAATAGAGACCAATTGCTTATCTTTGGGGGATTGATAAACATTCGTTTTCTTGAAAACTGATAAATATTGGGATAAATATGGGAAAGAATAAGATATTTATCTTGCCTTTCCTGTGTGAACTGTACCACCTTGTAAATAAAGGGAAAGATCTTGTTATGAAAGCATTCTAATTAATAAGTGGTAAGGAAATTATAGAGTCAGAATACCACCATTTTGCTGTCACTAGTGAAATAATGGATCTGGGTACTGGCTGCAATGGTACCCACTAACTTCACAAAAGCAGAGGCAGTGAGACGCTGAGCCTCGGTTAAGAGGATACAGCACTGGACAGGTGCGTCCTGAGTCTGAATAAGCCTCTGTCTGAGCTGCCAATCTGTAGGTAATACAGCCAGTCTGCTAAAATGTGCAGAATTTAAAGATCACTGCACTTTGCAGTGTTATGTAATAAAAAATCACGGGATGTACAAAACAAACAAAAAAAAACCATACAGGATTTACAGCAAAACTGACATAAAAAAGCTTCCTCAGTAATGCATTAAAATTAAGATAGTTACCTAATAAAGACAATAGCATGTCTCACATATATTAATGGTCATTTGAATTACACATGAACATGGCGCTTTGCCTTGAAAATCCCTAATGTTTGTGGAAGTGACATGGAGAGTTGTTGCAGAGGGTGGGTGATTTTGAACCACTGGAAGGCAGGTTTAGCATCAGGTTGGGAGAACACGGCTCCTAACTCGGTGACCCCAGGTACCTGGTCACGGTCCAAGATGCATGGTGTATTTCTGACCAGTTCCCTCTCCAGCTGGGTGCAGTCTTGTCCTTTTGCCTGGGGTTCTTCCAGAAGTCACACATAGGCAGGGATGAGATTCATTACATTCCAAGTCTGCCCTAACACAGCAATCAAGTTGACATTAATGTGCATTCTCAACACAAGTAGTAGAACCGACAGGTCAGAGAACAGAAATGTGTTGAACTGCCCCAGTGTATGCAATCAGCAAACTCTAGCGAGTGAACAGCTCAGATTCATTAGCAGATTGTAAGGGAAACAAAGGGGGAGAGGTAGAACCTGTAGATTAAAAGGGGTTTCAAAGTCTTTCGAGGTGCAAACTCTAACCCATAGTGTCTAGGGATGCACATTTGGATGGCAAAGCTGTAAGGAAGCACTGAGTCTGTGATTATGTAAAAGAGAGGAGAGTGGCTACTCTTGGTAGTTGAGAGGGTACTTGGCAAGCGCCTTCAAAGGAGGATGGCAAAGTTAATTGTCTTGGCCTTGGGTAGCAGTAGTTAAAAGGGTATTCATCTTCTAATGACAGCATAACTGCATTAGTTTCTGTGGCTTTTGTGTCTGTTCATTTTAATACAATGAAAGGATTAAAAAATTACATTGAACCCCATGGCAAAGGAAAGCTAATTTCCTTCTAAATTCATGGGGCCATAGCTTTACCAAAGGAAATTGCAGGGGCAAAAACATTTCCCTTTCACCCTCCCAGGTTCTTTAACCAACTTAATATTATTATTGACATAAGGCAGGTTAACAGGAGAAAAAACATTTAATTTCACATGTATGTCGGTCCCAGAGATTCCTGAACCAAAAATTGACCAAGCATTAGTTTTTATACCATTTAAAGTAAAGAATAATTGAGGAGAGAAATTGTTTTGAGTTTATAGATTAGAAAGTATATAGTTTGTATAGAAGTATAATAGCTTGTTTACACTGATTTCTTGGCGCTAAATTCCTATCTCAGGTGATAAGAACACCTTCTATCCTGTTTCTGGGGGGGGGAGGGGTTATTTGCATGAGGAATTCATTTCCTGCTTTCAAGGACAAAGGTGTGTTACAGTATTCTTGCACCAGCTGTTCTTTTTTTAAGATTTTTTAAAATGTATGCATACAAGAACTGGGGTAAAGGACAGAGGTGCAGTGAGTGAGGGGATTCACCAGAGACAGAACAGGTAGATCTATTGAAATTCACTGCTGAGGGGAGCAGCAGGTGAGAGGAGAGATCTGCTGTGTCATGTGGACCAGCTCCCTGGCTGGGGATCAAATTCATGTTGCAGTGGCTGGTGATAGCTTTATAGTGCTGAAATTTAACCTGTTGTTCCACCAGGGAGGCCCTCACCAGCTGTTCTTAAGTAACTTTAGTTCAAACTTAACAGTATGTCAACATGGTATATTTTGCTGCATCCTGCTCTGAAGCATATCAAAACCATGTAAGTGATACCACTCGTTTATTCATGACATAGTAAACTCCTAGTTAGTTGCCCACATAATGCCAGAACCTTAGGAAACAATGATGGCATTACTCAGTTTCCACCCTCAAGGATTTTAGTGTTTTTTGTGTGGCCAGATGTTCAAACAGTTTAGACACTGTGCCAATTGCTTTTACAGAAGAACTGAGTGCTGTGGGAAGAACAACTGCCTGGCAGAGTTGGGGATGGTGGCACAAAGCAGCTTTTGAGTTAGGTATTAAAAGAAAATATTGCAGATGGGAAAGGATATGTTTGATACTTTCCTGGCATTTAATCTTGATGAGACTCCCCTGTACTTCTGCATCCTATAGTCATTAGTATATCACCCAAAGTTTTGTGCTTGAAGGTCCTGTGTCCCGTAGGAGACCTGTCTTTTAGCTGATCTTATAGACATTCCAGTGATTCTGCCAACTATCCTGCCTGTGTTGTTATACTCTTGTGGGGATCTGGTATCCCAGTGGAAACCTGGTTGTCCTCTGTACCCACAGAGACTGCATGTTGAGAGAGTATTAGTTCTGTCTGGCACTGCAGTAACCAATTGAGTGAAAAAGAACAGATGCTCTAGAAGGAAAGATGAAATATAGGAAGAGGGACAACATGTCTGGCACAACATTAAAAGCATAGAGGCCCTCCCTGGTGGCGCAACGGGTTGAGGTGCCCCTCTTTGGGGCTGTCCAGCCACTGCAGCACTAATTTGATTCCCAGCCAGGAAGCTGACCCACATGGTGCAGCAGACCTCTCCTGTCTTGCCCACTGCTCCCCTCAACAGTATGTTTCAGTCATTCTGCCTGTTCTGCTCCCCACTCTGTCTCTGCTGAATCCTCACCCTGCACCTCTGGCCTGTACCCCAGTTTTTGCATAAATAAATAAATCTTTTAAAAAAATAGAGAAAACATGGGGTCCTTCTTTCACACACTTATCAAAACCGGTTTTTCCTTTATGTTTCTCTTATTGGATCCTGTTCTCATGAGATGAAGAATTAAAATCCAGGGCTTTTAAAAAATAATTACAACTATAAAACTCACTTTTATTAAGCTTAACACCAAACTTAAAAGGATAAGTTGTAATTTAGCTTTAGAAATTGATTAATCATTGTTTTGATTCAAAAAAAGTTGTTTTGCTTTGTTTGAATCACAGCTTATATTATCTTCCTAAGTCCTATTTTGAAAGATAGCAGCTAAGTATTAACCCTTTCTTGTTCTTGGTAGTCCTGGGATAATAACCCTAGTCATCCTTACCAAGAAATGATAATTTGGGCAACTAGAGAAAATTCACCTATATGAAATGCAAAATAATAAAGGCAATTGTGGGTGTAGCATACAAGACTCCTTTCAAGTTAGAAAAGAGCAGGATGCTAGGGCACCCTCAGTCCCACAGACTGATCGGAACTCCTTGTTAATAAGATTTGAGCCAGGCATGGGAATCAGTTGTATACTCACCTCCTAATAAGCCAGTGTTCCATTTGGCCCACCCTTCTCTGTCAGTAAAGAGGCTGGGACCCTGTATCAAGCAGCATCCTGCAGTCTGCAGCCTGCTCCACGGCTCCTGTTTGCTTTCTTTATCACTGCACTGTTACCTGATGCAACAGCATTTTTTTTAAAGATTTATTTATTTATACTTACAGAACTGGGGTACAGGCCAGAGGTGTGGTGGGTGAGAGGATTCGCCAGAGACAGAGTGGGAAGCAGAACAGGCAGATTGACAAAGTATACAGCTGAGGTGAGCAGTGGACTGGTCAGGAGAGGTCTGCTGCACCATGTGGGTCAGGTGGGTCAGCTCCTTGGCTAGGGATAGAACTAGTGCTGCAGTGGCTTCTGAGAGCCTCAAATGAGGTGCTTTAATCCGTTGCACCACCAGGGAGAGCCCAGTATATACATACATACATATATATATATATATATATATATATATATATATATATATATTTTAATATTGTATTATCCTTGTAGTAAGTAGACCAGTTTCTCAATGCCAACTTGTCTTCCTCATTCACAAATAACTACAGTACTAACTTCTAGATTTTCTAGTCTTTTGTTAAAATTATAATCTATCCAGTATCCACTTTTCAAATAAAAGGTAACATTGGTTTATAATATTATATAAGTCACAGAAAGCTATAGTTGAAAGTGTGTTCGTCTTCTAACAACAGCATGTAGTTCTACATCTGTGTGCTTTACATTATGATTGTCACCAAAAGTCTAATTTCTATCATTAGAAAGCTTGAACTCCTTTCCCTGTTTCTTCTACTTCTCCCCAACACCTTTCCTCTCTGGTAACCACCCATCTGTTTTCTGTATCTAAGAGATTGTTTTGTTTTGTTATATTCCACATGAGTGAAATCATACAGTGTTTGTCTTTCTCCATCTGATTCATTTCACTTAACATGTAAAGCAGGATGTGCTTTGCTTAGCAGGTTTCTAGTGCTACTTTGGTGGTAGCATTTCTTTTTTGGGGGGGGGTTGCTGTTATTGCAAACTGGAGATTGCTTAATCTTTAAATGAAGGTAGATACTAATAAAGAGCATAGTCTGATGCACTGTCTGTGCTCAGTAATGCAAGTAAAAATCATAGAAAAGCAAGAATTGAAGAAACAAGAACTGAAGAAAAATGGTCTGGGTAGCCACTTTAGAGGAAAGACTATACATTTTTTTTCTTATAAATAATGAAATTTACCTTATATGAGAAAGTGCATATGTGCAGTTTAAAAAAATAACTGTAAGGCAAATCTCTTATCAAGAGATTTCCTTGTCAAGAAAGAAAAACTGCCACCATGCTAGGTGCCCTCCATATGTGCCTAGACTTACTTTTGCTTGATAATTTTATCATCCATCTATGGATCCCTAGTTTTGCCTGCTTTTGAATGTTATATAAATGGAATCATACTGTGGGCATTCTTTTGTGCCTTGCTTTTTTCATTCATCATGAGGTGTATAGCTGTAATTCTCTAATTTTCATTATAGTTTATTACAATAATATATAACCCAAATAATTGTCCAATACAGTGTGGAGCGCACCTGGCTATTCATTCCTAAAGTCACACACACACACTGGACATGTTTAAAAATAAATGTCATTACAACAGCAGTTTAAACTGTAGGTAGCTGTTATTACTTACATATGATGGTCACATTTAGAAATTGACATTGCTGGATTCAGGTCAGATTTGTACTTAATACAGCTGTCCTTAGAAAATTATATGAAAATATCCCAAATCATCTGATTTGGGCAGATTTCTATTCCTTATGATTTTCTGTGAAACTAGTGGGTTATTTCTATATTTCACTGAAATTAACAGGGAGCATCAATGTACTTATATAGACTCAGTGGCTCAAAATGCTTTATATATATTTCATAAGATTTCAGAGACTTATTCAGTTTGCAGTTTAATAAAGTAAAACTAACACCTCATAAATGGCTTACTTGCTTAGTTGGCTTAACAGTCAGGGCCCTCCCTGGTGGCACAGCCGGTAAAAGCACTGCAGCTAAGAAGTTTAAGCCACTTTCGGATGAGTTGGATTCCCGCCTGCCGGGAGGTGACCACATGGCGCGGCAGACCTCTCCTGACCCGCCCGCTGCTCCCCTCAGCAGTGTACTTCGTCGATCTGCCTGTTCTGCTCCCTACTCTGTCCCTGGTGAATCCTCTCACCCTCCGCATCTCTGGCCTATACCCCAGTCTGTATGAATAAATAAATAAATTTTTTAAAAAAATACACAGTCAAAAATTGCAATTTAAGAAAATATTATTAACAATTAGTATTCATATCTGTCATTTCCAGGATTTATAGTAATTGAATGAAAACTTTCACTGAATTTCTTTCTTTGAAGTTGGAGGTAAATTTTATTTAATGCTGGGAATACTACACTCTAAAAATGGTAGCCTGATAGCCACCATGTATTTATTTGTACTTGTTAATCTTACACAAACTACAACAACAAAACCCACTTTCCATTTAAAAATTTTCAGTCTCTGTGAAGTCTGTAATTAAACTTTATCTACACACTACTAAAATGAGTATACATTTGTTTCAGTATTTATCACCACACCTGCCAGAAGTAACTTGCTAGGAAGCACTGGGAATAAAGATATTGATACAGTGAGATAAGGTCCCTGCCTTCACATACTAGAATGGAAACAACCGTGTAAGAGTTGTTTTTCTATAAGAACTACAACAGGAGTCTGTAGAAGATTGGGTGATGGGAAGGGTCCTATCAGTAAAAGCCTCTAAAGATATGTTTTTAATGACCATACTTGGTAGTTTGCAATACTACTGTCAAAAATAATTGAAATCAGAGACACACTGCAGGGGAGAGGAAGGAAATAGGATCAAAACAGGGATGGGAAGAGCACAAGGGACTATAGCCATGGTGCTCATGTGAACTGGTGGTGGAAATTTCACTGGGACCACACCTGAGAGGAGAAAGCATACACTGTACAAAAGTGAAGAATGATGTAAATGCCAAAAAAAGTTCTATAACACAGTCCTTTCACAAAACTGTCAATAAAACCACAATAGCCCCCCTTCCCCCCCCCAAAAAAAAGAAATACTACTGCCAAAGTAGCACAAGAAAGCTGGCTGACTTTGATTGCTATGCAAACTACATCCTTTTTTACATTATTAATTTTAATAGCACACATGTTTTAAGCCATAGTAACAATAAACTGAAGGCTAGTGCTCAAATAGTCCTAAGACTCTGCAACTTACTTTTTTTAACAGTACAGCTGAGCTAACGTAAAATGAAACAAACAGGATATTTATAATGTGGAGTGTTTTGATAAATTTGACTGAGAACCCTTGATACCAAAAGTGCTTTACATGTTGCAATCAATGGAAATAATAGAAATATTTTCATGATCTGATTGTTTCTTTTGTTTCTTTTCTAGATGAAAACTTTTCCGTTCCTCATGATAAAAGGGGAATTCTAGGAATGGTCAACAAAGGTCATCACAGCAATGGGTCACAATTCTACATCACCCTACAGTCAACTCCCTACCTCGATAGAAAATATGTGGCTTTTGGGTACGTGCATTGTCAGTTTATCTCTGTAATATTTGCACAAGTAAAAATGTTCATAAGATTTGTGTAAGTATTATATGTCATCTAAGGGTAGTTAACAATCGGATTTAAATGCAAAGTTAATGCAAATATAGACAAACATTTAGAAATAAATATTTTCTAAGAAACTTGGTATCTATAAAACAAATTAGATCAATTAATTAATTAGAATCAAATTAGGCACAACTTTTATAATCTATCAGCGATCTATCCCCATCTATCCAGCCATCCAGCTGGGCAAGGGCTAGAGCTATAAATTTGAAAGGGTCAACATAGTAGCTTAGCTGCAGCCAAACTATCACCTCCAGAGGAGAATTTGAACTTTCGTTTATCTTCTCCTTTTCTGCCTCTTTTCAGTCAACTGAAATACCGGTAATTCTAAGCTTAGGTCAGAAACCTCCCTGATTACCAAAATCAAACAGCTGTTTTGTTCTCTTTGCATACTACACACAATGGAGAGAAGGGTCTGGGCTCATTCACCTTGCTCCCTAACACCTGTCCCACTGGGAAGGCACACACAGGTGCCCATCAATATCTGTGAAAGAAATTTGAAGCATGGACTTCACATTCTCTTTGCACAGAGGTGAATCTCTGTCTGTTCTGTGTCATGGTTTCTGATTGGGGGTGTCAAAAACGGGGTTCAGAAGCAGAGAAAGATGGCTAGAGTAAGATCAATGCCAGGATTAGCCGTATTTTCTGTAAAGACTCATGGAAATGAAAATTGCAATTTTCCTTCAGTGACTACCTCAAGTCTAGCATCGGTAGAGGGTCCATGGTTTAGGGGTGTCTCTCTGGCCCATGCTGCTTTCTTTTTAGTTGAGAGAGCTCTAGAAGTCAGCCCTACTAATGGAGTTCTAATTTTTGGCCAGTGACTGTCTACAGAGGTCCAAACCAGCACACCTTTGAGCTTTTTTTTTTTTTTTTTAATGTATTCAGTGAGCATTGATTAGGTGCCTCTATGCCAGGCATTGTACCAGGCACTGAGCCTTGGGCATGATCCCCACTCTTACGGATGAGTCACAAATCCTCCACTACATAGTACAAATACATGTGAAATTTAACCCTAGTAAGTTCAATAAAGGAGAAGGGAAATGTGACATAAGCACCTAGGGACACCTGGGAAACTTCTCTGGGGCAGCAGTGATAGAGCTGAGATCTTAAGGAAAACCAGGAGGTGACCAGGGAAAAGGATAGTGAGGAGAAAAAGGAAAGGAGACAGCTCTGGCAGGGAGGGCCCATGGGGCGAGCTCAGAGAGAACAAGGTTACAGATTGCCCTAAATGGGAGTGGGAGGCCCACCATACAGACCGTGGGAGAGATTTCAGTCTTTATCATAAAAGGACCATGGGAAATTACTGAAGTATTTTAAGCAAGGAGATGGCATCGGATTTGTATTTTTTTTTAATTTTCTTTTTTAAGATTTATTTATTCATACAGAAGTGAGGTACAGGCCAGAGATGCGGAGGGTGAGAGGATTCACCAGGGACAGAGTCGGGAGCAGAACAGGGGGATCAGAAGTAGTACACTGCTGAGGGGAGCAGCAGGCGGGTCAGTAGAGGTCTGCCTCATCATGTGGATCTCCTCCGGGGCAGGCGGCAGGCAGGGATCGAACTCATGCGGAACTGGCTTAAGCTTCTTAGTGCAGTGTTTTAACCCGCTGCACCACCAGGGAGGGTCCCGGATTTGTATTTTTAAAAGATCTCTGACAGCGATGAAAATAACAGATGAGAAGCATCTCAGGTATAGGGGAACCATGGCAAAGTGAACGCGGTTAGTGCTATTTAAGTTATTTATGACTGGTGTTAATTTGTAGTAAAGTCTTAGCTAGGACTATATTTAGGAACATATGCTAAATGTGAAAACTTAACGACCACTGAACTTTCCTTTTTTTCTCCTATGTAGGCAATTAATTGAAGGGACAGATGTTCTTCAAAAACTAGAATTAGTTCCAACACAGAATGAAAGACCAATACAACAATGTATGATTATTGACAGTGGAGATCTTTATACTTGATTTTCATTCAATATTTTTTATAATGTATTTTTATGTCTGATCAACTGTTACTATTAATTAATCATTGTTTGATAAAATTTAATTTGAAAGCTGTTATAGACACTGTGTGGTAAGCTCTTTTCTGACCCTAACATGGTGATTCTTTGAGTAAATTTACAAAATCAATGACTATTATTATTTTGCACTTCAATTTCATTAGTAAAATGAGGATATCTTTATCACTGTGATTTGAGGATTAATTCAGATAGTGATGTAGATGATGATGTAGATGTTCAAAGTAAATTGGTTTCCCTTCTGGAATGTCAATTCACAAAACTAGCGAAGGTACTATTTCGAGCCAGGGTTATTTGATGTCTTGTCAGCACAGGAGAAACTTTTACCACCCCCTAACTTCCTAGAAGAATGAAAATTGGAGCTATTACCTAGATTTAGGGTCATCTGCACAAATAGCCTTTCTATTAGAGAAAATGATCTAGGTGGCAGGACAATTTTTTAAAGATTGATTTATTTATGCATACAGAAATGGGGTACCAGCTAGAGGTGGTAAGAGGATGCACCAGAGACAGAGTTGGGAGCAGGACAGGTAGATCCATGAAGTACACTTCCTAGAGGAGCGGGGGCAAGTCAGGAGAGGTCTGCTGCGCCGTGCGGGTCAGCTCCCTAGCCAGGGATCGAATTTGTGCTGAGGCAGCCTCTTAGTGCTGTGCCTTAACCTGTTGCACAATTAGGGGGGCTCACAAACTTTTGTTTTACTTAAACAAGCATCAGAAATGTTTGAGCCTATAGAAACACTTTGTCCCAGTTTCTGATTCATCAGGTTTGGAGAATTTGTATTTTAACACACCGTAGGTGATGCTGATACTGTTGGTCTGGACGGCACACATAGATCTACTTGTAGCATGCAGGTATGTGGCAGAAAGGAAAAAAAAATTGTAAAACATTAAAGTGTAACAACATAAAATGGGGAAAATCAATGAGACAAAAACTTGGACCCTATGAAGTCAGCAGGAAGGTATGCAAATACTGACCAATACGATGGGACAACGAGAGCCCTGTGTAGTGTCTGGAGCTCATGAACAGAAGTGACACCACTGGCTGCTGTGATGACAACGTGGCAGAGGCTTCCTTCTGTTTCCTAGAGGATTAAATTATAATGAAAGAAGTTCTAGCAGATCAAACAAACAAACAAAAAAAGTGACTCAGTTACCAGCCTGAAAAACGTGGGCCGGGTTACCTGACAATGACACATCCAGGAATTTTGTGTTGTTTTCATCCTGACCTTACATTTGAAAAACAAAAAAAAAATCAAGCAAGCAACAAAGCTTTACATATGTTACTTGATGTAATTTTGTAACTGCACAAGTTAAAGCGTAGTCTTATCAAACTTTAATAGGTATATACATAGGCATATCATCTGAGGATCTCATTAAAATGCAGATTGTGATTCAGAAGTTCAGAGGTGAAGTCTGAGATTTTACAATTTTAACAAGTGTTCAAGTAATGTGAATGATACTGAACCACACTTTGAACAAACAAGAATAAGGCAGTGGTTTTCAATCTATAGTGCATCTTAGAAACACTTGGGAAGCGTTTACTGCTCTTCATGCTCAGATACTACTCCCGGCTAATTAAGTCAGGACCTCAGCAGCAATCTGCAGCTGAGGTTGAGAGTAATTAATCTGAAGTATAATGCTCCCCTCTAACACCCAATTATCAAAGAAATATCCAGTCAAAGTGGAGAGCCTCCTAAAGAGAACATCTCTAGAAAATCTCATCAATCCTAATCACAATGTTAATAGTAAGAATCTGACTCTACAGTTTCTGATTACAGTTCTCTGTTGAAACTTATTTAAATATGACATGAGGTTTAATGCATGGTGTTAAAACTGTATTACAGTTGCCAGTTCTTGTTCCAGAATAGTAAAATATGACTTTGGAAATATTCCTTGACCTAGGTCAACAGATCCAGATCTAGATCTGGCATGTGAAAAAAATAAATAAATAAACGGACACTTTTAACATTAATACAAGAGCGTGAAACATTCCCCTATAACAAAACTAACCAAAATCTCAGGACTAGAGTTGAGCATCCATATGATAAATTGTAAAACAATGGTATGCACGGTGGGGTGTGTTCATTCTAGGGCATACACAAGTTATGAGATGTGGGAATAAATGGGAATAAAATAGAATATTGTATTTTTAACTTAGAAGTTGACAAGTGCCTTCATTGGTTTGGGTGTGAGGTGGTCATATGTTAATATGGTGTGAGAGAGAGAGGCATCCTGAAAGAGCGTTTTTTGAAGACTGATGATGGAACCTCACTTAACTATTAGTTCATACTCTCATGATTCTGGCCAGGTAAGATTGGTCAGAACACCTAAGTTTCTTGTTTACATCTGAGCAAATCTTCAATTTGTGTAATCAGTGGAACAAGTGTTCGCAGTTAATAGGGTACAGAAGGATCCCATTGACTTTTTTTTTTTTTAGGGAGGAATGAAAACTTTCAAGTTTAGGTAAAAATAACAGTAAGAAGTCATTTTGTTTCGGTGTTTTCATAGCCAAAGCAGACCATTCGTGTTATTTTATGAAGGCAAATGTGCATAATTAAACTTATATAGCAAAAACAAAAGCTGAAAACGGATTAAATTAAAGCCTTATAATGTAATCTTTACCATTCGTATAAACCGGCATTTGTAAATATTTGAGATTGGACATTAGATGGCGCTCGCTCTTAGGAAAAGCCTTTCAGTGACAGCTCAGTCACCAGCGTTCCGGAATCCAGTTCTGATGCCAAGCAATTGTGTGTTTCGGTGAAGTCGCCGTTCTGGTTCTGGGTTTCCTCACGTGTAAAATTAGGGGGTGGTCACGGAGCAGAGGGCTTTCCATCGCAAATCGTCAGTTTTGAATATAGTGGTGGCACTGACTGGTTGCTGCTACCGCTGATTGAAAACAGCAATCAGGAAGAGTCAGGCTAGGAAAGTGACAGGCAGACCGTGTGCGGCTCTGGCCAAAAGGCAGCGGGGTGACTTTAGTGCTCCAGCCGTCACAAAACGCGGAGGGCAGAGCAGAACCCCCCTGACCACACAGGGTCTCCCTTTCTCTGGTGGGGGAGGCCCTATCAGTTACTGCCAGCAACTCGATTTTTAAGAGGTACAGTGAGGGCCGTATTAAGGATAAATACACCTTGGGGCACTTAAGGATAAAACACCTCGGGAACCCGGAAGCACAGCGCAAACTAAACTCCCCCAGGTTCTACGTGCACCGCTGGGGGAACAACTTCCGCCCCCGGAACTCCGCGGGAGGCAGACCCGGGAGGTCACGTGGGCCGCGGATTACAGCGGAGGGGGCCGCTCCGGGGGACGCCGGGCGCCACGTCACTCAGGTGATTCCATCCAGGCCTCCCTGTGGCAGGAAAAAGAAAAGTCAGTTGCGTCTCGGGTGGCCACCCGAGCTTGATATAGCTTCTTGTGACTGGTCAGTTGCCTCCTTGTGCTCAGTGGCTTGGGAGACGGCCTCCTGACGCCAACGCACGACCCCCCTCGGCTAGGGTTCCCGTTGGTATCGCCCTCGCCCCGCCCCCGCCGCGGCGCGGGCCCCTCACGTGACCAGCGCGCTCCAGAGGGGGGAGCGGAGTTTCGGAGGCGGCGCCGCAGGGACCGGAGGGAGTGACGGAGCGTAGTGTGCCGCAGCTTTCTCTCGGATACCGGCGCGGAGGACGCGATGTTGGGACACTCTCGCCCGCTGCTCTGGGCGGCCGCCTGCCTGGCCGCCCTCTGTGTGCTGACCGCGGCACAGAGCACCACCGTGACCCCGAACGTGACTCAGGCAGAGATTCCAGGACTCAACACGTTGACCCCCACGACCAAGCCGACCCCCACGACCAAGCCGACCCCCACGACCAAGCCGACCCCCACGACCAAGCCGACCCCCACGACCAAGCCGACCCCCACGACGGTCACCACTCCAGTACCAGGTGGGCGCGGCTCTTGCGGGCATCCTGCGCCTTCCGAGGGCCGACCCTCCCTCCCAGCTCGCGGGGCGCCCGGGGCCAGGGCTGGGGCGGGCCGCGCTCCGGCAACATGGCGGCTCGTCGGAGTCCAGTCGGAACCCTCAGCTGGGCGGGTGGGAGCGCCCGGGTGGGAAGGGGCGGCCGAGCGGGAGTGGCCAGTTCCGACCCCAGGGTGTCCCGCGCTGTGGTTCTTAACGCGTTCTTCCTAGTCCCCTGGGAAGAGGGGACGTGGCTTTCTTCGGTGGAGGCTGCTGTGGGATTGGTGGCGGGGCGAGGCGAGGCGACCCGCTTCCAAAGTTGGCGATGAGATCGAACTCCTCTCCGGGGCTGGCCGTGTGTCCATTCAGTTCCTGGCTGCGAAAAGAGGCTTCTCCGGAAGTTGGCGAGAGAGGGAAAAAGAAACTTAGCCATGAATGTTCGTGTCTCGAGTTCAGTTCTAGGAAAATAGTCGCCTGAGATTCGATGATATTTATTTCGCGGATAGGTATGGGATAATATCGAGGTTTGACACTGAATGAATTAAACTTTACATGTCGTGCTGTATAAAGGGAGAAAAGTACCCGTTAGTGTTACCCGGTGCTTTGCATCTCTTTTAAACTACAAGGAGGTGGTGAAACATAGAGTGAGTAGATGGAAATGAAGTAAATTGCCGAAACCGTGGGTTTAGTAAATTGTGAAGCTGGGATTAGGACCCAGGTTTGTCGGTTTTCTAAAACTTGATTAGGGGCAGCCTTCACTTAAGCTTCAATTCTGCAATTGGTTTGGAGATTGCGGGAGGCACATACCGGATCTTAAAACAGAATTTGGCGAAGCCCTGACAACACAAAAGGGATGGGGGGGGGTGCGGGGGAGAGAAGGAGACCAGAAGGGGTAGGTTTAATAAGGTGAAGAAACCCTAGATATTTAAAGCTGACACCTAGTGTGACTGGTATTCTCGTTAATATTGGGTAAGAAGTAACTTGGAATCTTGACCGAAGAATTGCTGAGTGTAAGGATTTGCCTTGGCAGTTTTGTTCAGCCTGGTCATATTTTACATCCTTAGTGCCTGTATCTTAAAGAGAACATTTGAAATATTAAGTTAATTGTCTCTGTATCATTGAATGTGTGCAAAGGAGATGATTTGTTTTTGTAATAATAGTCGTATAAGCTGTAGTCTGAACGGTGGCAAGTTTAGTTGATTGTAAATAGTACTGACCATGGTATCCAGATAGTCCATGATATCCAGATAGACCATGGTATCCAGATAGTCCTCATCAAGCATGAAAATTTTAAACAGCATTTTCATCTGTATGCAACCCCCGAAGAACTTTGACTTTGTGCTTCTCTGCCCCCAAGGTACCATACATGTCCCAGTTTCTTGTATTAATGATAAAATATTGAAAGCAGTGTCTCTCTGCAGAATTATTTGTTAGATATGGGGAAAGCCAATGAGAATTGTTGTTCAGGACAAGTAGGTTCTAGGAAAATAGGTAGAACCGAATTCTGTAGTCCTTTTGTTCTTCTAGACACTAAATTGTGACAAGCCTTCCTTAAGGTCTTGTTTTTTGACCATTACATTATTGACACTTTGCTGACTTGATAAATTATGTGTAGATGATTGTAGCTCCTATATCAGTTGTTTCTGGACCCAGAAAATTATTTATGAATTGGGAATCTCAGGTTTTTTTCAGAATGGGCATCACCATAGCTTGGGTTCAACTTGTAATGAATTCTTATTATTGTTAAAAATTCCACTGTCACATTGATTTTTGGGACTGTCTTAGTGTGTAATGTTGACCTTATAACATAGCTTTTTCCCACTTAATTTTTTAGGGATGCTTTTAGAATGCTTCAATAAACCCTCAATGTCTGAAGTATACCTGTAAAAAGTTTTTAGATACCATGAGGCACTGAACAGTCCCACTAACTTCTCTGCTGTCCATCTTTCTCTTAAGTCGGTTTTTAAGGTGGCAGGTGGTTAAAAAGCAACGTAAGCATGAGCTCTCACTGCTTAACCAATTTTTAAGTGTGGAGTGTTAGCAATAAACAGTGTTATATAGGAATTGTCTAGAAGTTTTTGATCTTGTGTGAAATTTTGTGCTCATTGAACACATTCTCCATTTCCCTCCCCCAAACCCCTTGCAGCTGGCATTCTACTTTCTGCTTCTGAGTTTAACTATCTTAGCTTACCCTCCTGCAAGTGGAATCATGTAGTATTTGTCCTTCTGTGACTGACTCACTAAACATAAAGATCTCAAGGTCATGCCTGTTTAGCATATGGTAGAATTTCCCTTTTCAAGTGTTATAAATAATGTTAACCCTGTACAAGTATGTTTTCTTTATCCTTTCACCTGCTGATAAAAATTTTATCGATTAAAAAAAACTCTGACTTTCCATTTCTCTGAAATGGGAAATTCTGATAGTGTATGTAATGCTTATGTTTCAAAAAGTAGTATAAAATGAGCTATTAATTGACATACATTTTAATCTCCACCAGAACCCTGTGAAAGGCACACCTGTGTTTCCTGTTTTAATGCTAGCCATGATAATATTTCCTGCGTTTGGATAGAATGTAAAACAGGTAAGAAATTTTGGATTGCTTCGATTTTGAGAATACAAAACTGTTCCACACAACATTTAGAAATATACTGTAGAGTATTCTTGAACCTTGGAAATTATGTAGCATGTTTAGGATAGTGAATGCTGTTTATTTTGGAGATCAAATATTTTTCTGTTAAACTTCCAATTGATTACTTAACAGTCCTCCTAAAATCTCTTTGTCTTCCATTTCTCTGTCCTGTAATTTCTTAGACTTGGTAATTTAGGCTCAGTATTCCTTAAAGGAATAGAAGTTGTAAACCTTTTTAAGGTTGGATGTGCCAAAACCCTAAAATGTGAAAGAAAGTTGTGAAATTTTTTCCTAAAAACTGTTCCCCAGAAGAATACTTAAGGTATTTATCTGTAGACCACTTTCTAGATAAACTATAGAGATACCTTATAGATCTTGGGTGGACATTAAGATGAGGGAGAAGAATGATGTGAGGAAAAGGTTGATTAGTCTGATTTGTTAAGCTTTAAAATTACCATTAATTTGATGGATGGTTAAAGAGTTAGATAAAGATATTTTGAAATACCTGTAAGGTTTTTGTTAAAACCACGGAGTTGCAGCATCTATTTCCTAATAAAGGTGGTTACAATTTAAATCATAAAATGGAATTGAATAGTGCGCTCCTACCACCCTAAACACATTGTATGACCGTTACAGATGTTGGCAAGTTTCAGAGATTGAATGCCCTGCTTTGGCATATGTTGAGAAAACCTCTCTTCCTAGTTCCCATTGTGGAAAGCTGGTTCAGAAAGTGTAGAAGACTTAACACAGAAAAGTTGTAAGTCCTGCTGCAGGGCAGCTCTCCTGTTTATCATGCCTTTATTAGACCCTGACCACTTCTCCCTGCTGACTCGGCCCCCGTTTATGGATGGATTCTTGAAGATTTCTTTGATGATACAGTAGCCATATCACAAGTCTGAGATGATCTAAGTGTTTCAGATTTATCCATTCAATACATTCATGTGGGTTTTAGAAGGATATTTTGAGAAAGCCTGTGTCATGATTTTAAAACGGGAAAAGAAGAATGACAGTATTTTGTTGATAGTGGACTTATAAGGTGTTTATGCTTGAGTTTGATTTTTGGAAGCTGTTCTGGAGCTTTAATAGTCAAAAATAATATGTGAGTGGTTGGTGTCATTTGTCTTTATTTTTCTATAGCAGAGAAGAGCTATTGTTCACAAAATTCATCGGTAGATACTGATTGCAAAGCACTAAACAGCACAGAATACTGCTTTGGTAAGTACACACCCTGGCTGCAGGGCAAAGTGGTCGCAAAGAAGTGAGAAAATCATTGCTTTGGTAGCCCTGTTGCAGTATTTGGTCTTGAAATGTTCCTGCGGTTAAAGTGCAGCCCTGAGAGGCTTCAGCTACTTCTGCTTGAGTTCAATTCCTGCCTGCCCCCTAGGTGACCACATGGCGTGGCAGACCTCTCCTGAGCCTTCCGCTGCTCCCCTCAGCAGTGTACTTTACTTCCTTGACCTGCCTGTTGTCCTCCCCACTCTGTCTCTGGTGAAGCCTCTCGCCACTCCTGAGCCTCTGGCCTGTACCCCAGTTCTGTATGCATAAATAAATATTAAAAAAAAAAGAAAAGAAATGTTCCTACAAATTTAATCTTATTAAAAATGTAAATCTGAATGGCATGTTCATGTTGATTGATAAAAGGACATGTTGAAGCTTGATGTAGTAATTTGGCTATGCTGTGGAATATTACAAATGCAGATGTTTCCACCTTTTTTCTTTTTGCAAAAATGTATTACAGTTTAGACACCTTTCTTGGATAACCTTATTCTGGCACGTTACTGGTTACTTGCTGTGATTTGTATGGTTTCTGTCATAATGCTGTGATTAAATGAGTCTTTCCTGTATTCATTTAATTTGTTCTTTAATTTGAATAACTTAATTACTCTAAATTTCTAGATAAATGGATAAATAATTCTACTTGTTTTATGGTAATCAGAATTTATTTTGGCTATAGAAGCCAATAAACTCTAAATTATAGTGGCTTAAACATTAGACATATTTATTTGCTTTGGTTTTCATGTGAAGAAATCTGGGCTAGAGTATACCTATACCTAGAGAGAGAATAGTAGCACTAGCACCATTAAGGCTCTAGGTTTTTACTCTTACTCCTAAAAGTAGCTTTGCCTTTACTCTCCAAGGTTATTGTTCACATTGCAACCATCACATTGATTTCCTGCCTGCAGGAAGAGCAGGGGATCTCAGAGGTCTGTCTTTCTGATGGCTACCTGACAAGCAGAGAGGCTAAGAAATATCTTTCCTGAGGAGAAAGGAAGTGTTGCTAAAAAATTGGTGCTTCTAATTTTAAAGAAGGGGAGATGGTTACTGGATTGAGAGTCTATTCCACAGATGGTACTTAAACTATAAAAATTGAAAAATGATATTCAGGTGAATATAGGTTGGGAAATAGTGTGTATGGATTAGGAAATTTTTAAGACAATTTTGATTTATATATGCGTTTCTTCTTTTTTTTAATAGCGCCTACCTCCCCATTGCCAACCAATTCTACAGGTAATACAAGATAAGTTACTCTTTTTTCCTCCTTTCAGATGCTCTTGAAGGATAATTTTTTATTTAACACTTAAATGTTGTTAGTTTAATAAAGATGAGTATATTTTATTTAACCTTGGACCACAGTAATTAGTTAACATGTAGTGTTTGTGACAGTGACACATAACGCGAGTTTTTTACTTTCATTGAATCTAGCAGTTTGTCATAACTTCGTGTATAAAGTTTGCAAGCCACTTTTTATGGATTTTGTGGAAATCTTGGGAAATACAGAAACCTAATGAACAAAATTAAGAATTCTAATTCCCATCACCTAAATGTTTTCAGCAAGTTCTCTTAGCAGGAGAGAAAAGCATGCAAATAAATGTACCTGAGCACATCCATCAGTATTAAGATGTAGTTTATTAGTCTCTATAAGCAGTATCAGTGCTAACATGGTCCCTTAATAGGACGTTAGTTTTCTTACAGAGATATTATCAGATGATTATTTAGACTCAAGTAGTGTGGCAAACTAGAGCTTACCTTTGGGCTATTACAATATACCTTTGGGCCAGTGGACGCATGTTCTTAGAAATAAAACTTCATTGGGAACATAACCAGGCCCTTTCATTTGCGTTATCTTTGGCTGCTTTTGCACTTTACAGTGCACAAAGCCTGAAATAACTTACTGTCTACTTCTTTAAGAAAATTTGCTAACTTTTGAATTAAGATAAATCTTAATGCTGGTGTAAGAAATAGTGAGGAACACTTGCCTTCTTTTTACCCTGGCTTTTAAAGTTAATAGTTGTTGTCTCAGAAGCTAGGTTATTAAAAGCGGTTGTAATTTCCATTACTTCCGCAGACTTCATCCAGATGTATACATGGATTCTGTTTAGCTATACATAGATGTTAACATAGTTTACAATTGCTTAATGTTTAAAAATGCATGTAAAAGCTAGTTTTCTGTATGTGTATGTCAGAGTCATTAACTGAATTGCGACCTTTGTTCTCTAAAATACTGAAGACATACTGGTTGGTAGCATTGTTTTAAAACAATGTAAGGGAATGGGAGAAAGCTTAGAAATTCAAGGTTTTTAATACATTGTTTATATTCCAGCTAAAACCACAACTCTGCCTTCCCCTTCTACAACTTCCCCCATAACTACTACATCAGGTAACTGAAAAATTTTTTTAAGTATCAGTGATTTAGAATATGTATGCAAAATTGCCTTTTATACTTTCTACCATTTTCCAGTTTTATTCATAAATATTTGTGAACTTAAACTCATCTCTTCATTTAGAGGACTAGGATAGTAGGATGTTAAAGCAGTAAAAGATAGGTTTACTGAGATTCTTCTTTTTAATGTGTAATCACATTGGCATAACATGTTAGAACTAAATGACAATTGTTTTCCAAAACCCTTTAAATACAATTTGTAAAATTTAGTTACTTAAGACTTAAAAATTGAATATTGATTGCTGTTAGGAAATCAGTTGTGTGTAATACTAGAAGATGGTAATTTGATCACTAACAAATACATACCTCAGCTTTATATTTTTTATCATTTCTAACATTTATTAAGTATGTATGAAAATTAACTTTTTATTAGATTTGACAAAGTATAAAATAATTTTTTGGGTATAGCACAGGACACCATAGGTACAGTTAGTAATGCTTTTCTTGATTCTAATGAATTTTTTTTAATTGCCTTCATTTTTATGTTACCTTTTAGTGAAGTCATTTTTACAACTACAGAATCGTTGCAGTTAATTTTAAACTTGACCAGCTCACTATGTAGCTTTTAGAACCAGTGTTTATTTCATAATCTATTTAAGAAAAAGCAAATTTTTAGAATGTCTTTATATTAAAGTTCATGGTTCCACTTGAAATGTTTTTACTCTCTGAAAAGGAATTTGTTTTGTTTCCTCTTGAAATGTTTTATACCCTGAAAATTCAAAATTTTTACATATTTTCCTTATAATTTGATAATACTTTCTTATAGTGTAAAACTTATAAAGACACGCTTGAGATACCTTAATTATGAGTTCTTTTGCTTATTGGAAAATATAAATTGCAGGTAGTCAAGGTTATTTTAATTTTTTAAAAAGCTGCAACCACATTTTTATTTGCATAACATTTAGTAAAATTCATATTGTGTATATTTTAGAAATAAATGTTAATTTTTACTCAGTTAACTAAAAATACACAATCTGAAGAAATTGCAATTTTTGAGTACTTGACATGCTTAGGTCATGATTTATATATTAAGAGAATCATTTTATGTCATTTTTATAGTTGAAGTTGTGTTAGTAGCACTGACCATCTCTGGATGGAATAAAGAATAGGATTGATAAATGGTTACTTCCCCCAGTTAGGGGAATTCTGAAGACATGATTCAAAAGAAAATATTGTATAAAATTTAACACATGAGCCCTCCCTGGTGGGATGTAACACTGCAAGCTAGCCACAGCCACTTCAGTGCAAGTTCGATACTTGTACCCAGAGGTGAGCCACATGGTGCAGCAGACCTCTCCTAACCCGCCTGCTGCTCCCTTCAGCAGAGTACTTCGTCAATCTGCCTGTTCTGCTCCCCATTCTGCCTCTGGTAAATCCTCTCACCACCTCTGCAAATAAGTAAATCTTTAATAAATAAATAAATAAATAAATAAATAAAATTTAACACTTGGCAAAAATGGAAGCTTGGGCAGATCTTGAAATATGAGGAGACTTAAACAGTGTCATTATTTTCTCTATCTCATTTAACAGGTACAGCTAATACCACTTTAACTCCAACTTCACAACCTATGCGGAAATCTACCTTTGACGCAGCCAGTTTTATTGGAGGAATTGTCCTTGTGTTGGGTCTGCAGGCTGTCATTTTCTTTCTCTATAAATTCTGCAAATCTAAAGAACGAAACTATCACACTCTGTAAACAGACTAATTAAATTAACAAGAATGGACGTGTAACTCATTGAAACCAAAATATTATCTCAAGATGTCCCACATGGAAGACGCTATTCCAGGATCTTTGAATTTCCAAAGGCTGCGTATAGGATATTTGGAGCATTGTCTTCGAAGAAAAATCTGTTAAATCATTTTGCTCAACAGGAATATTTAAGATATTCTGCATGAATCCTTGTGGCTGTCTTCTTTTATTTTAAATGGCTGCTGCTGTGGGATTATGTTCTCTCTTCTTGACATGCCAAATGTAACTTTCTGTAAGTGATGGAAACATTGTTCTGCACAGGCAACCTCATGATTCTTTTGGCAGTTTAAATTTAGTCCTTTTAGATCTTAAAAGCTGCATTACTTTTACCCTAACTCAGGATGTAGTTTAGTGACCAGAACTGAGAAGAAAGTGCCAAATGAGCATCTATTAGGTGGATTTTTGGCTATCATTTCAAAATGGGGATAAATTTTAAAACTTTAGTGTCCTTAGAGTAAACTGTATCCTTAGAGTAAAATTTTGTGCTTGATAACAGTTACTTTTTTTCTACATTAGAAGTAAGAGGCCACATAGGGAATTACATTCCAGATTTAAAGAAATGAATGAAAAGGATACAGACATTATAGTAGGTTATTGCTCATACTTGTAAAGCACCTTATATCACTGAGAAAATAAAGAACAGTGCCTTAAAAGATACAAGGGAAAGGTATGCTGTAACTTAAATGACTGAGGCTGGAAATTGGTCTGAGGATGTAACTTGTTGATGTGAGCAGTAGTGAATCTGCTTTTAGGTACCGTATTGTTAGTATTTCAGAAAACTTATTTCAGAGCTGAGTAACTTAAGCGCTAAAGGCTCTATTATACAAAATTGAAAGCCTTATAGTGAACTTCCCAGTATTTTTCATATGGCTGTTAAAAAGTATAAAGATAAAGTTGATCTCTATTTTCCTTTGTGCTTCAAAAAATGTACCCTAGCTTGTTTTGAAGGACTTCACCAAGTTTTCTTGAAAAAATAACTTCTTTGTGAGGTAAAAAAAAAAAAAAAATTAGAACGCTTTCCTGACTCTTTGTGTGAGTCTTTTTTTTTTTTTTTTTAAGTTTTGAGACCACACATGTGATTAGTGTAATTTCAGGAAATCAAAGGATTTTTTTGGTTTATCAGATAACAGATTTTTAATGATGATATTGCCTTGAATGGACAGAATGTGCTTTTTCTTAGTTTCAGTTCCTGTAATGAGCATGCATACTTTTATTTAGTTTATTTGTGAAGCACTAGCTTTTTTGGTTTTAGAGGCATATTTCTCCCATACTTTGACACATTGGATTAGTTTAGAGGCTTCAATTTGTTTTAAGTGAAGTTATGTTTTTCTAGTTCATTTAAGTTTTTATGTTTTAGTTTCTTTAACCTATAGTGGCTGAGTGTAGCACTTGGTTTCATTATGTTATAATAGGATAGAACAAATTGCTTTGGTCCATTTCATAAACAAATTCTTTGCATTTAGATAATTGTATTAAAGGCTCTTAAAATGAAGATTACTCTTTATTACTTGCTGGTACAGCTGAAGTTTTTTTTACTTGCACATTTGTACATACAATGTTTTCAAGTGCCTTAATTGTTTAAAATCTCTGGCTTCAAAGGTTTTTGGGAAAAGGTAGGTTTACCTCACAGTTTTGTGTTTTCATTACCTGTGATATTCTAAGGTACCTCACAAAAACTTTTATTACGGTGCCACGGCTATTAGTTTTTAGTGAGTGCTATACAATATAATATTCATTTGAAAATAAATTCCATTTCTCCCAAAAGTGGCATCAATTAGCTACCGTGGCTTATTTGTCATTTGCCTAAGGGTGAATATTTTGCCACACATCAGTGTCAGCACATACACTAGTTTCATGAACTTATGAAGCCTCTCATCTATAATTTCGAATACTGCTCTGACAAAATCATAAGATTAGATTTTGCAAGTCTACAGGACAGCTCTTATAACAACTTACAGCCGTCCCTTCTACCCCCTTAACTTCAGCAGTTATCTTGAGCCATTAATAAATAATTTTTGGGTTTTTTAAATCCAGAAGGTATATAGCAACCTCTTCAGATTTTTCATCTGATTTGTTCATGCAGATGTTGTTCTATCAGAAATACTTGTTTTACTTTATAGGTATTTGTTGCAGACACTGCTGTATGTAGAAATTATTTCATTTCTTTAGAAACTGTAAAACTAATCTGTATCATGTACCAAACTGATTTAAAATAAAACTACATGTTTGTTAAATTCACCTACTCTTTAATTTTTTGAACTGTGAAATTTCACACTAGTGATTTTACCTTACCAGTCTGTTTGGGGATGGTGGTTGATATATTTATTAATTTTTGCGCTGTAGTGGTGTTTTGGTCCCTAGGAATTAGGATTAATTTACAGGGAGTATCAGTAATAATCACCAAATAGTCTGGGTATTTGTTTTTCGCTGATGAACACTCTAGCATTGATTACAGGTCTTTTTTTGGAAATGTTTGGGCATTTATGGCATATCTGCAGTAGTGGCATAGGGTCTTTCTTCATGGGTAACTGTTACTGCTGCAGCCAGTGGCCTGCAGATTGACTTAGGCCTGCATTCTGAATTCGAGGCTGTGATTCTCCTTGGCTGACTCAGCTCGGGTTTTGGCTATCAGATTGTTTCCCATGTAGATCAGAGAGATTCTAATAGGCTGCCTATCTGACTTCACTGGTCACATAAATCTCTGTTGCCAAGGCATTCTAACTATGAATACATCCCTGCTGTCCTCTGTACTAGGTTTATCCACTTTGTCTTTGGCATTTAGCTTCTGCTGTTCTAAGACTGCATCATCATTGGAATTAGTATCACAATGAAAAGCTTGATGAGATTGTGAATTCAGTTGTTCTGTAATTTAGCATTCTTCTACATTAAAATCTGTGCTGCATTTCTAGAAGTATTCCTGTGACTACCAGAAATGAGATATTTTTAAAGGCTGCTGTGCACGTTCTCTGGTTTTCAGATCATTGCTTGAGTAAAGGATTAAAGGACCAAGGTTGTCATTTCTTTAAGTGCTGAAGTGCATTCTATGAGCTCCTCACACATAGGAGTAGAATCCTCAACTATTGTAATGAGTCAGTGGAGCACTTTAGGCTCCTAAGCCACAGGCTTCAGCAGATAATTCATTGCAGTCCACCATGGGTGATAGTGTGGTTATCATGCCAGTGTGTGTGAAGAATTAGCATTCAAATTTCTGTTGGCAAGGTGCTCAAGCTCAAACTTTCAGTCCAAAAAAAAAATCCCATCTTTGTGAATCTGTTTGCTAATACCACTCTGGTAAATCTATTATTTGTGGGCCAAAGAGGAGGCAGAAACCACAGTATTCAAACAGGGAAAGTTTCTTATGAAGAATATTAACTGTAATGAGCTTGAAGTAATGGAAGGAATAGCTGGTAAGGTATACAAGAGTGGCAGATAGGAGTGCCCACTGTCCTCCAGGCTTCAAGCCCAGACCTCCTCAGTGAGGGTGTGGCCAAGACTCCTGGAGGGCGGTGAAGTACCCAAAGCATTTCAGAACCTTTCAGAAGTAGCATCCCAGTGACACTTAACCATCAGACTGCATGTACTGCTGGTGCTAGGGACTACAGAAGCTGCACGCACTGCAGTAACTTGATATTAGAAGCCATGTGCAGTCCAGAAACTTGCCCAGAGGAGTACCTCAGGCTTGGGAGAGGACCCCTTGTCCTATAGGGGTCCTCCAGCTCTCCATTGGGAAAGCTTAAATATCTTACCAGCAGGCAAGGAAGGAATACGTACGGTCCAGATTCATCATTTCACAGCAGACAGTTAAGGATGAATTCTGAACTGAGGTAATAAATTGATGGCTGGTACTGTAACTTGCCATTTATAATTTTCTTTTTTTTTTATAGAAATGTTCATAGGCATTTATTATAGCATTGGCCATTTATAATTTTCATACCAGAGTCATCAGTCTTGCTCTTTGCTTTTGCATTTTATATTTCAGAAGTGTGTGTGCGTTTCGACATTTAATCAATTTTGGATTCTTGTGTATTATGCAAAGTGATAATTTAATCTACAAATAAATGCCTCTCTAAACTCAAAAAACCACATACATTATATATAAATTTATGTATTTAAATATTTGGCATATTCTGTTTCATAGTCTTCCTTACCAGAGATAGATTTTCTTGTCTGAATAAAAACAGTTGGATTGGGACATTACAGATGTCTGAAGAGAGTTTTGGTATGTGTAAAAAAAATTAAAAGACTTAGAGAAGATGATAAATTCTTAAGTGAAACAAATAGAAATAAGTGCTGTAAGGTTTATTTGGACTAATCTGTTCTGGTTTTTCACTTGTTAGGAATATTCCTAACTGCTTAGGGGCTTAAAGTCACAGTGCTATCCAGGTATCACTGGCCACTGCAATGAATTAATTCTTAGCCAGGGAGCTAAACCGCAACTCAGTGGACTTCTGTCTCTTCCGCTGTGCCCCTCAGCAGTGTATTTCAGTAGATTGCTTGTTCTGCTCCCCACTCTGTCTCTGGTGGATCCTCTCACCAACCCTCCCACACACACCTCTGAGGCCTCCACCCGAATTATTATGCATAAATTAAAAAAATACTGCTTAGCATCAATGCTCTCTTCGGGCTATCCTATCTAATCAGTAACTAGATCCTATATTGAGAGGCTGCTGGTTAACCAGAGACAAGGCATAGGTTATAGAAGTACATACCAAGACCTATTTTAAAATCTAGGGCCAAACTCAAATTACAGGCTAACTGTGTGACATTCAAAGTTGTAATCATTGAAGTTATTCAATGGTATTTTCATAGTATTGCTAATAAAAACAAGATAAAGTTTAGAATCCTTTTTTTATTTATTAAAATGCTCATAGAAATAAAACTTGAAAGGATATTTGATTACCAATCAAGTTTGAATGGGATTCTGGATGGAGCTGTTTGAACTTGAAAAGCTGAAAGTTGAACACTTTCTCCTACATTGGGTAGGAAAACTTCAGCAATCTTTTCTTTGTGTTTAGTAGGTTCCTGCAATATAAATATTAAGTAGCTATTTTAAAGAGGATGGTTAATAATTATAGTTATAAAATCACAAATTGCTAGTGTGACCAAGATTATTGGTTCAGTCTGGATAGACTTCAGTTAGTTAGTGTGCCTTGTGCATATTTAACCATTTGTCATAAAGAGAATTACCAGGAGTGAATCCATCAATGGAAAGCCATTTCCAGCTACAGAAAAAAACAACATCATATTTGAAGTAATCTAAAAAATTGTTAGTGCAATGTCATTTTCTAGAACATTGTATTCTTTCATTCCAGTCATGTATCGATTCCTCTTCAGTTGGTATTTATCTGACTGACCTCATTCATAAGACTTGCTTTAAGAGGTCAGACCTTCGATTGGGAGAGGTTATAAATAATTTTGTGCCATTCCTGGACCTCAGACATTTTGTTTGTGGTATTTTTTATTGTACAGAAGTCAATGGTCCCTCAAGATACCTCCTGATAGAGTAGTAGTATTAGTGATAAGCCTTATACCATAGCCGCCTTATACTAACAGCCTTCTAAATCGTCCAAATATAGTAGATTGCTTCCAAACTGTTAGAATATGAATGATATTGTTTACTATTAACTTAGTCCTCTCAATCATAAGCGTCGTGAGCACCCCACCCTCTCCCCCCATGATTGGAATATTCACTGTGAGGAGTGGAGTATTAGTGAAGTCAACCGTAAAAGCTCTTAGGGTTCCACACATACCAACTGAATGTTGCTTCCTTTGGAAAGGTGTTTGTAGAAATAAATCGACATACACTAGAATTTTACCTTTCAGTGAAATATAACTGCACAGAGATCAGCAAGTACACAGCCTTATTTGATCAGTGACTTCAGTTGAGTATATTTCCTCTATGTATGTGACTTAACTGCATGTTTAGAAATAGTACAATAAACTATTAGTCCAATAACTTTGAGACCTTTGGCTGCAAAAGTCTTTGGCATATTTTCACTAATGGAATGATTACAATTACAGTTTACTTTTTTCCTCAAGGTAAGAGGGGAAGAATTCTTAAGAGTGTTAATTAGATATGCAAACCCTGCAAGGAGAAACAATGTAATTCTTACTTAGAGTAGTACAGACTAATCAGTGGAGAGGATATAAATGTCATTTTACATACTCCGAAAGGTGAAAAATTATAAAATATTTCAAATATATGCTATTATTCAACCTCATTTGCATTCCAAGTATTTCATCAGAGGGTATATTTTTCATGTTTTAAGACTTCTAAAACTTCCTGCTCTTTCAGAGAGCTCAGAGAAGGGATCTGATACTTTTAGTTAATTAGTTTAGATGGTTGAGGGGGGAAAAAAATTTAAAGAGAACAAAGCAAGGTGTTGTCACTGACTTCCATATCTACTTATTGGCTTGTAACTGAGTCGGTACTGTGGATTAATTGTTTCAAACTCAACTAATAAGTGACACCAGCAAGATGTTATTAAGGAAGTGATGTCAGCAAGATGGAGAACAGAAAGCCTTGACACCTTTCCCTGGCAAGCACTGACTCAGTAATAATTTATGGACAAGTTTCCTTTGTGAGAAATCCAGAACTTCATTATTCAGACCCAAAGCACTTAGACAAGATCCTGATCTATAATTTTTAATATAAATTTGAAGTAACCCTAAAAACATAAATTAACATTTTATATACATGATCAAATTTATCACTACTTACAGTCTTTGGCCTTTGAATCCTTCTTGTTATTTTACTGCCCATAAGATTACTCTTTAAAAGATGTTGCTGGGGGTATATGGATGAGGTGGAAGCAGAATTTAAGGTGTACTGAGTCCGAGATACAAGACCTAAAATGTTAAAAAAAAATTTAATAAATTATAACTGATTGCAATGTTATGATTTAGATTTAATTCATAAAATAGTGGCGCTTAAAATGGGCTTCTAATCCAGGTTCATCAGTTTTGAGTAAGGATGTCAAAACTTAGATGGTGTCTTTTGCCTGAGAGTCACATGCCCTAGTGAAAGAGAAAGAGGTGAGGGGTGACTTTGGACTATGACAGATGGAAGTGGACAGAATAAGAGCTCTTTAAATAATAAGGGTAGTAAATAACTGAATTTGCAGAGTGAGAGGAATAGTTCCCAGATTATTGGCTCAAAGAACTGGATGGAGGGTAATGACATTTGCTGAGACAGCAGCACACTGCTCTCTGAGGAGCTGTTGTGGGAGCAGTTGGGATTATTTTGATCTGTTGAGTTTCTGAGCCTGAAACACTGAATGCAGCTGTCAGGCAGTCAGCGGGAATAGGGGTCTAGAGAGCTCAGAGAAGTTTAAGCTGCAGAGGTGGACTTGGCAAAGTTTTGGGAACATAATGTAATTACCTAACAGTATCAAGTAAGAGAAGAATAGGCTGGACAACTCCAGTGTTTAGAGGTTGGATCTAGGATGGAGAACTGAAAAAGGAGACATAGAAGAAGCAGTCAAAGAAGGAAAAGAGAAAGAAGTGCCATGGAAATATAGAAAAAGAGTTTCTAGGAAAAAGGGGTGGTCATCTGGCTCAAACATTACTGAGACATGAAGTAAGTGAGGATTCAATAGTATTCATCAGACTTGAACATAAGGAAGTGATTGTGGTCTTGGCAAGAGCAGTTACAATGGTGTGGTGGGGATAAAAATTAGGTTGGCGGTCATATGGCGGAGGCTGATACTTAGCCATCAATGACCATTCTCTCCTTTCTTTAATAATAGAATTCCCAACTTTTTTCTTGAATGCATCATATCCTGGAATAAAAGCCACATTTCCCTGCCTCCTTTGCACTGATGTGTGGTCTTGGGCTAAGTACTAGCCAATGAGATATGCAGATGTGTCATATGTGGTTTCCAGGAAGTTTCCTTTAAGTTTCTTTCCTCCACCCTGTTTGTCAGAAAACTTAAGTGGCTGTCTTGGACTATGAGGTGGAAGCCACAAGTTGAGATTGGCAAAGCACATAAAAAACCTGTTCCCGATGATGGCAGAACTATCATAATAATGCTGGATAGCTTATATCTAAATTTTCATTTATTAGAAGTAAACTTCCCATATTGTTTAGGCTAAGATATGTTGCTTTTTTATATAAATATTTTTGAATTTTTTTAATCCTATGGCTACAGGTTGAATTACACAAATTTAGTGAATTAAGAGTGAGTTAAGAAAATAATGACAACACTTAAGTTTGATGAAGAAATATAAGAGAAGGAACATGTGGTCAAAGGAAACTTGTTTGATGGTAGGTTTTATGATCCTGGCACATAACATGCTTAATAATAAATAATAGTTGGCTACAAAATTAAAGTATTAGCTGAATGGAACATATGAATGCATAGAGGGGATGAAGATGGATAATAGTTCATAGCTATTGCACAGGTAGGAGCAAACAGGACCCTGGGCCCAGGGATTGACCCCTGAGGAGAAGGGGGATATTCCATTTTAACAGCAGGGAAGGAAAAAGCAGTAAAGCTCACTCTCTAACTGCCTCTACTTCTGATGCGGGGAGCAGGGAGCCTGCTGTTCACCACCACCACAGTAAGGGGACACCCAGCCATCATAAGCTTCCAGCAGAGAAAGGATAGGTATGGTTGGCTTCTACCTGCAGCACTGATAGCTAAGGTAATTATCTGGCTGGCACCAAATAGACAGGCGGACCCAGTCCCTCCCCTGGAATGAATCTACACATAGGAAGTCATCACTAACCCCCTGCTATCACTGCAGAAGGGACAGATAGCAGCTGAGATCTGGGAGTGATTTCTACCTCTGCTTTCTGGCCATATTCCCAATCCTGTCAATCGGGGTTACCCTCAGCTGCCTTGTGGCCCCACTCTGCTTCTCCATGCATGTGCTGGTGCTGGAGGATATTGGTATATGAAAATTAATCAGAAATCCTGTTTAAATGCAATTGGAGGCCCTAGAAGAGAATTTTACCACACTCAACACTTTGCAGACTGCTGAACTACCACCTCCTATGCAATCCTTTTCCCAGCTACTCCCCATTTAATTCATGTGGTAATAGCCTTAACCTGGCTGCCATTCTGCTATTGCCAGCCAGTCCTCACTGTTCACCGGAGATTCATATATGAAGGTGAAAATGGTTTTGTGGCTATGCAATATCAACATCCTTCGATGAAAACGAAGCAGCACCTTTGTCTTCCCCTACTATAGCCTAACAAGCTGAGTCACAGGAGCTCAGGTGGATATGCCCCCTAGCCAAGGACAATTGCGAGCATTGACATTGATAGGAGATATGCTTTGGAGTAGCTCATAACTTTGGAATGTTATGAGAACTGCATGGTTTCCTGACTTCCACTGGAGACAAAATTTAAAATGGACCTGACATTCAGGAATTGGTGGATGCTATGCTTTTATCTACTGCCTTAACTATTATCAAGATTCCGGAACATTCTAAAATTGACTCCCTAAAACAAAACAATGGGTTAGATAAACCAAACCAGTAAAGCCCTAAAATTTTGGCTAGAATTCAGACTTAGCAGAGGAGGGGAGAGTAGGGAGGGAGAACAAATTGGGGAGGAAATACAATGACCTACAAGCGCTCTGGTGCGGGTGGTAACATGTATCTGAAGAAGTGTGAACCTTACAACAATACAAAGTGTTGTAAACCAATGTTAGCTCAATTAAAAAAAAAATGACTCTAGAAGATGAAAGAAGTCTCCTTGCTAACATTTCCTCTTACTATTATTGCTGCTCTTAAAGAAACCCGTAACAGCCAAACTTCTGTCATAGTCTAAAGGGACATTTTTTCAAATAACAAGCTTAGGAGAATTGGCTAGAGAAGCCCAAAAATTGATCCCGGAAAAGGAAAGACGATTGGACAGTCAATAATTTTTGGTATGACAGAGAAGTCTCTGACTTGGGTCAAATAACAACCTTATCCTACAGGAAGTCCTAAAATTTCCACTCCCAACCACTGTACATGCATTAAGCCATCCTTCCACTTATAAATAGCATTCATAGATCAATATGCATGAAGAAATATCAATAAGGCCACAAAAAGTATCCACCTTACTTGAATCTGTCTAAAACACAACCCAGGGAAGCCTGCACACACTGCTCCTGGACATTTTAAATCACCTAACTGGCCAATTGAGTTTTGGCAGTGGGATTTCTTACAGTTGCTTTGTTTTGTGGACAGAAATATGTTTTGGTCATGTCTGTGCATTTCCTAACAGGACTGAGGCCTTTATAAACAGCATCTGTCTCTTCTGAAGCCAAGTTCCTACCGAGGGCCAGGATCCCTACCTGGAAAACCCTTCTGGACCTATTTAGTGGAACACATTTTATTAGCCAGGTGGTCCCAAAAGTTTGTTGTCATTTAGCTGGTTTTGCAGTTCTTACCATGCGTACCACCTTCCATCCTCTGGTTTAACCAAATGCACCAACAGTATGATTAAACTCAACTACCGTGGCCCAAAGTCTTGCTGCTTGTCCTTCTAAGTCTCAGATCAGCCCTTTTTGGAACTTAAACTCTCATCCTTTGAAGTTGTCACAGGGTACCCACTGTGCCTCTTTTGATCCACAGCTGACTTAAGGTGAAACAGTCAATACTATAAAAGCCTAACAGCTTCTGTCAAAAGTAACCGTATTCTGGTTGTGCAATCTTTTCACTGAATGCTCCAGGGCGACGAAGGCCTTTAGCAAAACCCCGTAACCTGGAGGTCCACCTGTTGGGAAGGACATCTCCAGAAAGGCTCTCTTCAGTCTCATTGGAAAGACCTCCATCTAATATTGCTAACAAGCCCTGTGTAGGCAGACTCCATGGAACAGACTCTTGGATTCACGTGACACTCTAAGAAGCCATCACCTCTGCTGGTCCTGCACACCATCTGGTAACCTCAGTTGACAATGGGTGCACGTCTCCTCTGCTGTAAGACGTGACATCTAAGAAAGGTCCTATCTGACACCAAGGGACAAAAAAGGCCACTGAATCTGGAATAAACCTAGCCTGTGATTAATGCTTACAGAAAAAGATTTTGTTCAAAAGAGGAAAATGTGAAAAGTAGTATACCCTATTAAAGGAGGAAAGGAGAAGAGAGTTCACAGATCAAAAAACTACAGCACCCAGATGCCAGCGGGAAGCCGTGCTCTGTCCCAGTCCCCATGGAAGGCTGGCGGCACCTCCTTACCGTAATGGCTCCACTAAAGATTTTAAGGGGAATGCTGGCTTTGGCTCTAGGGAAGTCCACTGTAAGTCTCTCTATGAGGCTGCACTTCCCAAAATACCTTTTAGTTGATGTTTCCAAATCAACCCACTGAATTGGTGAAATAAACTGATTACTTTTTGTTTGAGCCTAAACAAAGGTAGCCTTATCAAACACATTAACCCAGAGCAGGATTAAAAAAATATTTAACCAGGTTGAAAACACGGGGTAAAAAGAGACAGAAATACCCAGAGAATAAGGAGAGGACGGTGTCAGTTACAGAACTATCCAGGACCCATGACCAAAGTAGGGCTCTTGGGTCCTCTGGTGCTCTTCCTCTTTGGACTGGGGAACCTGGGATAGGGAACACCAGTGCTGCGGTGAACGGCTGGCAGCAAGACCAGAGGAAGGAGGAGCTTTACTGGCAAGCCCAGTCCTGTCCTTATAAACCCAAAGTAGCATTGCTTGATCTTTGAAGCTGACCGTCCTACTTCGGAAAGGCTGTGTTTTCTCAATCAGTCACGCTTGTAAGTAGGCAAAAGGAACATGAAGGACAGCACACCTGTGTCAACGTGTAACAATCAACTTAGTGCTAATGTACATGTCAGATATGCATTATCTTATTTAATCCTAAGAATGCACCTTTGACATGGGCATTTCCATTTTACAGAGATGCTGGTTAACCAGCAGAAGGTCACAGAGCCGCAGGGACAGAGTAAGGATTTGCCCATACATTTGACTATTAGACTCTGCTGCAGAACAGGAAAGAGGACTGGGTAACCTTAACAGGTAGACAGTCATGGTTACTGATTTGATGATATTTCCAATAGTCAAATGGAGAAGAGAATTTAGAATGAACTTAATCCTCATCCTAGAGGAGAGGAAGCTAATCTAGAAATGTCCTATGACCAGTCTCTGCTCCAGGCTGCCTGCTGACTGTCCTGCCCATAGCTGTTAGACTGGCAGTTCCACAGGTCTTCTCACAGCCAGGAATCACAGTGTTCTCGTAAAGAACATCTGAGAAGTATGATCACTAGTGTTCCAAGGCATTAAGATGCTTTAAAATCTAGCAAGGTACCCAATGTTCTTCAAGTGGCATGCTGTAAACTCCTGAGACCAGTTTATATGGTTGAGTTGCTTTAGTGGAGGATGTCAGTACTTCAAGGTGAAGTAAAGTAGAAAGTTCTGCTTGCAGACCAAAATGAAGGCTTAGTCATTCATGTGTAACTCATTCAGTTAACAAACATTATACAGCACCCAGACAGTAACTACTGGTTTGTAGGTGCTAGTCCCTGAGATCCACCTTCGATTCTGCCCTTGGGCCTTGAGAGCTTGTTCTAGTAAGAGGAGGGGGAATCCTTACCATCTGGTGAACTCATCTGGACAGACAAGTGCTCAGAGTCATTAAGCTGACTTTGTAGTTCTGCTACTCGCTGGAAGGCGTCCAGCTTCACGCTGCGCTCCTGGGCAAGACGGCTTCTTGTCTGAGGGGAAAAGTGCTTGGGAAGCAGACATGCTTTTTGATGCATACTTTAGTCCCTTGGGTTCCCAGAGAGAGCTGGGTCAAAGGGCTGCCCGAGGAATATAAGTCTATACTATAAGTCAGGTTGAACACAGTTTCTGAGGATATAGGGCTCGAGAAAGACCAAGAACTTAGCCAAAGAGGAACAGAGGCAGTCCTTGAGAGACCCTTATTACTTTAAGTTTTGCTAGGCCTTTACTCAGAGCTCTATCGTTTATGTTTCTTTCACCAAAGAGAGTAGAATAAAAGGGAGGAAATAGGGCCCTGCTCACAGAGAATCTTGCAGGCCAAACCATACCTCTGCCCCAAGGAGCCGTGGGCGCTTCCAGGTGATTTCAAACAGAGGAAAGATATATAACCTCCCCCCAGACCTCTACCCTCCCCTCAATTTATCATCAGCTGAAAATGACCTGTGTACAGATTTCTAGGCCTGATAGATGATGTCCATAGCGGGTGACAACCTTTGTATTTCTTCACGTTGCTCTCCTCTTGTACAGCTGGCCCCTAGCCCCCTGGCCTGAAAGTACCTAGATCCAAAGGGCACATCATCTGCATAGATTACATGTATTTCTTTCTTTTAACATATATATTTCTTATCATTTCCTAATTGCTTTTGTAATGGGTTAAATGGTGTCTACCCCCACTCCTCAAGATACAGCCTTATTTAGAAAATAATTACAATGATTACTAGATGAAGCATGGGCCCTAAATCTGATGACTGCTGTCCTAATAAGAGGAGGTGAGGACAGAAACAGGGACACAGCGGGAAGAGGGCCAGCTCATGAGGGAGGCAGAACATCCAGTGACGCAGCCATAAGCCCAGGAACGCCAGGACTTAGGCAGCCTTAGAACTAGAAGCGGGGCAGAACAGACACTTCCTCAGAGTCCTGAGGAACCAGCACTTTGACTTCAGATTTCTGGTCTCCTGTATTGTTAGACAATAAATTTCTATAGACAATAATTTTGTTTTAAGCCAGGCAGTTTGTGGTAATTTGCTATGGCAGCCCTAAGAAACAAACATGCTAATCCCCAAAGTTCAGCCACGTGTGTTTTAAATTCTGGTCTTGTCCATACAGACCCAAACAGAATGCTCCTGAAATCTTAGAGCTGTAACTATGGGCTAGTCTTAAAAACTTTCATTGAAGGGGGTAGTTTTATGTATGTGTGTGTGTGTGTGTGTGAGAGAGAGAGAGAGAGAGAGCCCAAGGGCAGTTTAACTTTCAGTAGCTGATCAGGTGCCTTAAGAATTAGGACAACTTCCTAACTACCTATTGAGGGGATTTATTTATGGACCCTCCTTCCCCATAGCAGATAGCCAAGAAGCAAGAAATGCTTCTGGGGTTAAATAAGTTTGAAAAAATTAGCAAAGAAAAGAAACATAATTAATTCACTTGATTAATCTTTTTTATTAACAGATCACATTTATTAACACTGACCTCTACTTCATAGAGGCTAGCGCAGTAACTTGCCCAAGGTTGTGTAAGTTCATGGCGGAACCAGGATTTGAATCCAGGTCTATTACCTAATTATTTAATCCTCCCCAAATGTCAGAGTAAATGTGTTTCTCCATTATACTGATGAGGAAACTAAAGCACAGACAGGCCACCTTGGCCCACAGACCTTGCTCAGCTAAGGGCTGGGGTGTAAATCTGACAGTGACCTCCCCAGGGGCAGGCTTCCCACAGGGACCCTACTGCTGTCTAAGGTCAGATGGTGAACACGAGCCCTGGAGTTGGAGGCTGGAGAGAGACTGAAGGAGCCTTGCTGGCCACCGGCTCTTCCTGACGGAGGGAGGACTGCTGAGGGCAGGTAAGCCCAGGGACACAGGAGGTGCCAGGAAAGTTGGAAGGGTGGTTTAGAAAGATGGATGATCAGTTTTACATACAAGTACTAAGCACATATATTGGTTGAGAGAAAACTCAAAAATCTTTGATTACTTTTAGAATCTCTGCCATGAAACAAAAAATTAACTCAAGAAGACCTTGAGGAAGTAATCAATGAACATCCCTATTTCTGTGGTAGCTTTTAGAAAAGCATAATTTGAAGGACAAAAGCATGACACCAAATTCTCCTTAGACACTGGTCATATTTTATTTTTCATGTTGAGGATTTAATTTTCTTTTTCTAAAGCTACTTGTTTTCTATTTCTATAAAAATATTCTTTCTAGTGTTGCCTTAATTCAATTTTTAGTCTTTCTTTCTTTGCCATCAATTATCCTAGAATTCTCCTGACTAATTCCTCTTTGAGCAGTTGAAACACTTGGCGATAATTGATAATTTAACTTTCCAGCTTAACTAACAACTCTGGTAAATATGCGTGAAGAGCCTGCCCTGAAGTGATGTTTCTTTTTCCTTTTGTATTGAATTACATTGTGGTCTCCTTTGTTGGAATTTGCCTTAATCCACATCTACATTATATTATTTTCCCCTTTTTTTCCTGACTGGGTTGTATGTTGTCTCTGGAGATCACTTTGCCGTTCATTTTTGTCTCTGCAGTTCCAGAACACGATGAGTAAAATCTTCTTGAAAGAGCTCCCATAACATTTGCTGCTTTTCCAGAGTACTTACTGGAATTTTCTAAAAGATCATTGGTTCAAGGATTAGAGCAGGTTGAACACGTTTTCCAGAAGTTCAAGGAAGCCAAGACACCAGGCCTAAACGCTGTCAGGCCATCTTTCCCCCTAAAGCAACCCCAGCAATCACCCCAGTGGGGATATAAATATTTTGTGGCATGCCTAGGAGTGACAAAGATGGGGAAGCACTGCTGTGGGAGACCGGAGAAGGAAAAGAAAAAATGAACTGCTTCTGGCTGTCATCCTAGCTGCCGGGGCCTCTCCCTGGAGTTACCTGTCGAAGTTCTCTCTGAATTTTCTTCTGCTGGAGCTGGCCCAGTTTAGAAACCCTCTTGGCCTCTGCAGTGAGGAGCTGCAGGCGCTGTTCTTTTTGCTCAACCTCTTCCAAGAGCTTCTCCATGCTGGAGGTTTTCATTAAATCCAGCTGCTGTCGGTAAAGAGCTTCCTGGGTCACTCTATGTTCTAATTGTTTGAGCAACTGAGCCTGTGACGGGAAAGGGTCAAAGGAAACGAAAAAGGCACAGAATCTTAGCAGACAGGAAAAGGGGGGAGTTGATCAACCCAGTAACTTTCCTTCCTTGGAGGCTGAGGGGGCAGGACTGTGTGGCATACCCTGGGCTCAGGGTGGATGCAGCCAGCATGCTTTTGGTCCTGTGCTGGTGCAGCAAGACCACAGGCATCCAGGCCAGGCTGGCATTTGCGTAAGTCTCAAGGAAATAGTGTGTGTGCCCTTGGGGTGGGGTGGAGGGTGAGGATGAGAACAGGATATAAATCAAACAAAAACCAAGGAAGTGAGAATGGCGCTGTATAGTGATAGCAGGTCGGACAATTTGGTCTTGTAAAGCCAAAGTTCGATGCTAACGTGCATGCTAATTAGCTCACCAATCAAAGAGCCCCCTCTACCCAGGCCTGCATTTCCACTGACATTGCGCCTCTATCAGGAGATTGCTGGCAAGGGTGTAGCCTGGGGAGACAGGGTGATGCAATACAGGCAATGAGTAGGCGAAGGAGTTCTATTCTTGCCTAGGTTTTGACTCCCAAAATAGCCTTGGGGAAGCCAGACTCCAGATGGTAAAGAAAGGAAAAGATGTTTATAATTTGGTCCTATTCTGAAATTTTTGTAATGAGTAGTATCGGAACTACTAGATGGTCAGAACTTAATTATAATAGTAATACTAATGATTAACATGTATATGGTGATTTTACAGTTGACCAAAATTTTTGCACAATTATACATCCTAATTCACCTGCTGCACATAATGGAGGAATTAGGGTTCAAAAGGGACAAGTTACATTTCAGGTGTCAAATGTACCCAGCTTTTCCAGGCTGTTCCTTAAACTTAGCTGCTCTCTCTCTAAAATGAGGGTCTGTCTGCACAGGTTGGCATGAGCGGAAGCTTGAAACACCTTTATTTTGGTGCCAGCATCTGTTGAGTGGCAGAAACTTCTGAAAGTGAGATAATACAGACCATTAAGAAAGGACCGGGCCCTCCCTGGTGGTGCAGCGGGTTAAAGCACTGCATTAAGAAGCTTAAGCCACTTCTGCATGAGTTCGATCCCTGCCTGCCCCAGAGGAGATCCACATGGCGCGGCAGACCTCTCCTGACCCGCCCGCTGCTCCCCTCAGCAGTGTACTTCAGCCATCTGCCTGTTCTGCTCCGCGCTCTGTCTCTGGTGAATCCTCTCACCCTCTGCATCTCTGGCCTGTACCCCAGTTCTGTATGAATAAATAAATAAATCTTAAAAAAGAAAAAAAGAAAGGACCCAAGGCTCTCAGCTTGGGGAATAAAGCCAACAATTGAACCCCACTCCACATGAGAAAGGGCCTCCCCAAAAATGTTCAACTAGGCTTTCTCCAAAGTGGTCACGTTGACCTGTGGCAATTAGATCAATTTAGTCCTTGCAGGTTCAACAAAACTGTTACCATTATCTTAAAGAATGAAGAGTATCCAGCTCTAAGATCCTCTCCAGAAATAACTTCTTCTCAGAGAGAAGGGAAACATCTAATCATCTGGTTTTGTCATACGAAGTCATCTCCTCCTTGTTCTATGAGACCCCCTCTTTCGCTTAGTACTCCAAACCCGTACCCCATTCCTTAGCCAGGATATAAACCTCCGTTTGTCCTATGATTTATGAGGATATAAACCTCAGTTATGTCCTAGGATTTACACCTGTGAGTTTCCCCATACATATGTGCTTAAATATGGCCCTTTTCTCCTACTGATTTTGTCTGTTGTTAACTTGTTTGTTTGACTAGACTGGGAAGAACCCAAAGAGGTTGGGAGTGAGGGTGGGAAAATGTCCCTTGTATGCCTCCACTGTCCACTTTGGAGAAAGCCTATCTGAACATTTAGGGGAGGCCCTTTTTCAAATGGATTGGGGTTCAACTGTCAGATTTACTCCTCAAGCCAAGAGCCCGAGTCCTTTCCTAATGGTCTGTGTTATCTCACTTTCAGAAGTTTCTGCTGTTCAACAGAAACTAGTACCTTGACCTGGCTTTTGGAGCATGAAAGGACTGTTACAGGCATAGACTAAGCCCCAAACCCCTAAGGTGAAGGCCCTCAGAGAAACACTCGCATCTCCTAGTCTTGAGTAGGAGTAATATTTCCCCATATTAGCCAAATATGGTAAAGAACAAAAGCCTTCTGGTCACTGCCTTGGTTTCTGGGCTGGAAGGGAGGGAGGAAAGCAGAAGCCGAGGTCTGGGCCATCTTACTCCTGGCAATGCCAACGCCCATCTTCACCTGTGGAGCGTCCATGTGTGCTGCAGGCAGCATGGCCACGTGTAGTGCCCGCTCAGTGGGGTGCTCCTCAGAGGAGGGGACAGTGGTGAGGCCCATACCTGCTTATCCTGCTGCCTGTACAGCCTCATGCTGTCCGACTGCGCTTTGACCAGGGCTTGCCTGACAGCCAGTAGCTGTTGACAAAATAAAACCTCTTCTTGCTCCGCCATTAGCTTGATGCTCAAACACTCTTTTTTACTTTGAACAGCTTCCTGTGAATATCGCAAGCACAGTAAGATAGGAAATATGTTTCCTTTCTCTGCTTTTCGTTTCATGAGCAATATCTAAACCACGACATCGTCCCTCGTTCTTTAAAATGTTGTCTAGAATGGAGTTCCAGCTGGTCACTGCCTCTGGTTTTGAATGGGAACAGTGCTAGTAGATCAGAGCAAGGACTTTCAGGGAAGAAGTAAGTTTCACACCACTGTGAGTATGTCCTTGGCTTCACTGTCGCTTAGGGCAGATTTTCCACTTAGTATTTTGTTACTTCATTTTCCTCAATCATATTGGAAACCCAAAGATTTGCAGCATTTTGATGATGCTTCTTCAAGCCCTTGATAAAAATCCCCCGGCTTTCCCTCCTTTCACGCTAAACTCTCTGATCTGTCCTTCCATTTGCTTCTTTACCATTTGCTGCTGGCTCATTCCTATCTCTCCAAGGCTCAGTCCCAGAAAAACTCCCCAATTGTCAGATCCTTTCAGATGGCCGGTCTGGCCACCTGACACCACGAGCACAGCAGCTGCAGCCAAGGAGGCTGGCAGTCAGCCGCCCTGCTGGGCACCCTCCCCTGGGCCTCACCTTCTCGGCCCTGCTCAGCTGGCCCCGGAAGCGCGCCTGCTGCACCGCCAGCCTCCAGCGGCCCAGGCTCCTGGCTTTGCACATGAGCGCCGCTATGTTGCAGTTGTCCTGCTCCACAGCCTGCAGCTGCTCCTGCGGAAAGGGTCACTTTCAGAAAAGGAGGCCTCAACCTTTTTTTTTCTTTTTTTGTAAGGGCACAGCCCTAACATCAAAAGATGACTATTATCCAGTAAGGCCCAGTTTTTTTGTTGTTTTTTTTTTAGTGCCTGGTACAAATGCTCTGGGAAACCAGATAGAGTGCTAACGAAGGGAGTGGCAGGTATGAAAAGAAATACAAGGATGAAATGCTGATATCCCACTGCTAAAGGAAACCACATACTTTGACTGGGTTTTCTTTCATTCCTTCATCAGGGTTGGCAGAACCCCATTTTTTCTTGAGGCCTTTCATGGTGTCAATCCCTTCTGTCCTCACTTCTTCGATGATCTGACACACTTTCTGGATCAAATTAAGTTGATTCTCTTCTAGATTCTCCTGCAAATTGCAGACTTAACGGTTAGGACGAGTAGTTGAGAAAGTCATTTTGTCTTCCAAAATTCAGCTTTCAGAAATGACCTAACATTGAAATATCATCCAGACTGCAAACCTATTAGGTGTCATCTGGGCGTCTCACTGAGGGCCCCTTAATGCACCACCACGCAGGACTGTGTCACGAGGCCTAGGCAGGCAAACTCCAGGGTGAGCTGAGCAGGTAGAAGAATGGGAGTCACCAGTGGAAAACCAAGCTGTTCCCCCCCTCTCCTCCACCCCCAAGGGCTAATGCGGGAAATTGAACCTAGGACTTTTTCTATAGGGTTGACTCAGCAGAATCTGACCAGGAGAAAAAGCAAAACCACCAAAGATGCGTCACTGATGAGGAACTCCATGAAAAATAGATAAACAGAGAAAGGAATCAGGCTGGCTGCTTTCCATTTAGGCTTTAGCAGAAATCTTCTGAATGGCTTAGGGCTGAGGGCTTATGGTGCTAAGTGCAACAGGGGGTGAGCCGGGAGAGTGGGTGCCCTCTCACCTCTGAACCACTGCCCTGGGGAGGAGGCAGGAGGCATGCTGGCCACACAGAGAAATCTTCACCCTTCTGGGGACCATGGGGTAGGACAGGGATTCCTTACTTTGGGTCATTTGTGGAGCTAGTTCAGCCTGAAGAAGTAGAGTCTCTTTTTTTTGTCTAGGAATCTAACGGGAGCTGAAAAGAACTTGAGAAGATTTTCAAGAATCTCGTACCGGAAAGCTGGGTCTGCGAATCCCAGCCTCCTGTCTGCCGCTCTCTCCTGCAGCACCAGGTTCACTGCATTTTGGGTTTGATCCTTTAATTACCTCTAAGCACTTGCACATCGTAGCCCCTTCACAAGTAAGAGGGACTCTCCAGTCCTCTCCGGAGTGACTAGGTGAAGGCAGAGCGTCGGCGGAACTTCCTCTCAACATAACAACTCGGGGGCTACCCTAGAACCCCCCTGAAGAGATTGTGGGGTAAGGACCCAAGTGGGCTCACTTTGGGGTGTATACAATAGCAGGGGAGTGGGCAGGTTGGGGGAAAGCTGCGATTTGGGTAACAGTAGGTTTGTACTAAAATTCACACGTATGGGGCAGCTGGATGAAGCCCCTGAAGGCCCACTTGAGGTGTGGGTTCGCCATCTTAGAGCTGCTCTGACGTCATAAGAATGTAATGGGCTCCCACGGTGCTGTGGCAGCTGGACATGCGTCATTGCCCCTCTGATGGGCCATCACTGGCGGCTCAGTCGCTCCCTGACGCTGGATATGAGAGGCTTTGCGGTCAGAATAGCCTCTGAGAGCCAGTTCAGATTCTGACTTCAGCCAGGGAGCTCTCAGGAGGTGCCTTCTGTTCCCTTCACTGGGGTCTACTTAGGTGTTTATGTTTCCAGATATTAGAGTTTGAAAAAACAAACCTGTCGCTTTCCTCAAGAGCAGTCAGCTGACAATAAAGGAAAGAGGCAGTAAAGTGAGGAAAATAGCAAATATCTGAATGATCAACAATTCAGTTGATCATTGGTAAAATAATGACAATCCATGGCTCACTCTGCAGTGAAAGCTTAGACCTAGTTAAGTCTTAGGTCAAACAATCTTCTGTTACAAAGCCCCCTCTTGAATCTCTCTGGAAGGCCGGTCTCCACAGGACTCACAGGACTGGTCACTTACTTTTATGTTTAAACATGTCACAAACAAAGCTTGGACTAATGCTTCATATTCTTCCTGGACTTCTTTTCTAATCTGCTTTTTGAGATTCAGATTCTCCTCTTCCAAATCCAAGAGTCTGGCTCTCAGAGCTGTGATTTCCATAATCATACTGTGACTGAGCTCAGCAACCTATCACAGAAATTCACATTTTAAATGGAAAAGAATTCAGGAATTCCAAACTGCCACTGCTTTGTATATCAATGTTGACTTTCTACTTTGAACCTAATGAAAAAGATGAATCTCCTGTTGTGCACATGTGGGCTGAAGAATCAAAACTTGGTTCAAACATCGAGAGCAGTGCCAGACTCAAAGTAGATGCTCAGTAAGCGGTTGCTGAGTGAGTGACCCCAGCGGGAGACAGAATCAAGTACTTCTCATTGGAGAGAGTACTACTTCTTGATCTCCGTCTCCAAATTCCCCCACCTTTTTTTTTTTTTGTGCCATGTACTTTAACTGGCCTCAAGAGAAAACAAACCAAAAAAGAAAATGAAAAACAACCTCCCCCCACCAAAAAATAAATAAATAAACAACATCAACAAAAAAATAAACAGTGAAAACACATTCCTTGGAGGTTTCTGCAGGGGATTTTTACTGACAGGGCTTCTATGGGCCTCCTCTGAAGGGGGCGAGAGAAAAATGACACCAAGAAGTACTGGCTACCTCTGAGATTATGGATCTGAAAATGGACAAGAGAGCTTTTTTAGTAATAACTGACCTACCTGACTAGCATCATCTTCCGGTGACCTCTGACCTCTTGGCAGGCTATCTAATTCCTGAGAAGGAGAAAGCAATGCATCATATACTCCAACATTTGTTCATCCAACTATGGGCTCAATTCAGCACAGCATGCCCCGGGCTTCTCTTGTTAGTGTTGATGGAGTTTCATTTTGAGATGCTCGGGCTCCGCTTGGAGCAAGGGCCACACTTACTGCTCCACTGGCTTGGGGATGCTCAACACGACATGAAAAGACAGCAATGACTCCAGGACCACAGCCACGCAGAGGACTCAGCTGGGGGCCAAGTCGAGGGGGGAGGGGCCAAGCCAAGACCACAGTGTGATGCTCTAACGCTTCCTGTGATTTTTTTTTTCAGAGCCTTTGCAGTTTTTCTAGTTACAACTGAAATCACATCGAGCCTCTGATGCAATCCATTTCAGAACAGTGTGCAAAGACAGATGTGCTTAGATCCCAATAGTGGATTTTCAGGTCTCATCAGTGAGACCATGATGCACATCCCAAAGGAAACTCAGGTTAGCGCAAGACCAGGAACAGCACAGAGTGTCTTGTGTTTGCTGTGGATGGGAAAGTCGGTTCTGCATCTTTCCCTGGGTCCAGCCCCTTGGTCATTCTCCTCTTACATTCCCCACTAGACACCTTGAAACCACACAACCCACTTTCCTATGCAGCTGCCCAAGAAAATGAACCAATGAGAAAAGAAAGTTGGAGACAGTTTCAGCTCTTGCATAAGAATACCTCCCCCCCCTTCCGTTTTACCGGTTTACTTTCCTCTTCAAAGGGAGCCCTGCCTGTCCTAGCCATACCCACCCAACACAATTCTTGTCTCTGGGGACATACTTGCTCCTTTTGGCTTAGCTTCTGCCTTGTGTGCTCCAGGACATGCTCATAAAACATGGAGTAGGTCTGGAAGTTGCTGTGCTCTCTGGCCATCACATCACACCCCAGGGAAAGGAGGCAGGCCTCAAGGTGGTCTTTCCTGAAAGTGACCTGAAAAGGAAAGGGCATCTTCACAGCTGCTCTCGCCCTGCAGCCTCAGCACCCTGGGACTCCTGGCATAAGTTGCTGTGGCTCCCAGATCCTTTCCCATGTCTTCTCTCTAGAAAACCATCAGCTTCAGCTGTGCAGTCCTCTGCTTTTAATATTTGCAGAGTCAGGGACTGGGATACAAAATGTGCTTTCTGTGGTTTGCTTCTTCTTAGAGTCCCTATTAATTCAAACATCAGCCACATGCAAGGTGTTGGATGATGTTTCTAAAACTCACCCCTGCTGACAAAATGCTCCAGTGACTTCTCCCTGCCTTTTCCATGGATTCCTTGATTTAGAAGGAATTCCTACCAAGAATAAGCATGATTTAAAACTCCAAAGTCTGAGGGTATGCATGTTGTCTGCATTACTGTTAAATGTATGTTGCATAGTGAGCGTTGTTATGAATTCAAATCTGTATACCCCCAGATAGCTCACAGGTTTCCTTTGTGGAGAGGAAAGTGGGGATGGTGGCATAGAGGAGGAAGAAAATATTTATCTTTCTGAGTTGTTATTTTTTTCATATTGTACATTTTAAAGTATTTTTTAAATGGTTGTATTATGTGTGTTTCTCTAATTCTGTTTATTGAGGTAACACTGATTTACATCACTGTATATTATGCCCATGTTGGTGGTTATTTTGGCTTCTCTTAACAATTTTCTACATTAAAAAACCAACAGTAGGAAACGTTCATTTCCTCAACTAACTCATGCATAAAATAACTCCTAAACAATCTTAAACAAACTTCAAAAACAAACCTAAAAATATTGACCGATTCTGAAATTTACCACCATCCATATTCTTTTTCTCCCATCTTTATTAAATAAGCTGAGTTTTTCCAAAATTACAACGATAACAAGTGATCACTACTTTGAATTCAGACTCACTATTCACATCACCATTCTAAGGCAGGGAAAAAGTTTTCCTCTATCGGCTTATGTTAGAAAAACCCCCAAATGACCAGTTTTTAATACATACCTCTAATCCACCATCCTGGTATTTCTCCATTAATCTCTGTATAAATTTTTCAACTATTTGTGGTCTTATGACTGAGCAGTTTTCTTTCATGACTTGGTGTTTCCAAAGGTCTAGGGGTAAAAATATACCAACACTAGTTACAGTGAAACATTGAACAGCTCTAAATGGCTACAAGACAACTCTGAGACCAAACTCTGGACACACCATCATCCTTCTTGTTCTCTTATTTCCTAATGTATGTTTATCGCTTATAGCTTCTCTACTCCTTCTAGGCAAAACCCCACTAAAGGAAGGCTTTTGTTTCATGAAAATCGGTGTCCCTTAAATAATGCCAAAAGTATAGTAGCCTAGCTCCCCTCAGCAGTGTACTTCGTCGATCTGCCTGTTCTGCTCCCCACTCTGTCTCTGGTGAATCCTCTCACCACCCCTGGACCTCAGGCCTGTACCCCAGTTCTGTATGCACAAATAAATAAATCTTTTTTAAAATATATTAAATTTTGGAAAGCATGGCAGAGCTGGAACAATGGCAGGGTGGCAACACTTACGAGCTTTCCTATGGAAGAGGAAAAGACACAGGTAAGATAATTAGTGGGGTAGGGTCTCTTGCCTTTGCATCACCCCAGGGGCATTTTGAAGCAGATTCCAGAGGAGGCAGGGGGAGGCCCCAAACCCCATCCTACTCCCTTTTCTGTTGTGGGGTTAGCAAGCACACCCACAGGGCCACTGGTGTCTCCAGCTGCTCCTAATTTCAGATGAGATTTCCAATTTATACTTCCTCCTTTTTCTGCCAGGAGCCTCACTCACACAGGAGGAAGCATCCAGCACAATCCTCCCAGAAATGTGCATGACAGAGCAGGAGCCTCTGGTATTTACACTTATTATGTTATTTACTGGGGGGGTCCTGGTTTTGAAAAAGGAATTTCACTCTCCTATAGATGGTTACTTTCCATCATAATCATAATTCTGATTTTGCTGATCCTTTAGAACAATAAAGATGAATATCACTAGTGTCCCAGCAGAGTTGAAGAGGAAAATCCAAAGGAATTAGGTAGTCTACTAGTAGTTCACCCTTCTTAAAATGTTTTAGAATTTCGTAAGTCTAAGTTTTGACAAAACAGAATGCAGGTATATTTTAGACATTTTTTTTCAGATAAGAAATTAGCTATTTTTTAGTGTACTTTTTTTTTAAAAAAGATTTATTTATTTATGCATACAGAATGGGGGTGCAAACCAGATGTGCAAGGGTGGTGAGGGGATTCACCAGAGACAGTGGGGAGCAGAACAGGCCAACTGACAAGTACCTTGCGGAAGGAAGAGCAGTAGGCGGGGTCAGGAGGTCTCCTGTGCCATGTGGATCACCTTCCAGGGATGGAATTCGCACTGGCAGCTCCTGCCAGTTTGCAGTGCTGCTTTTTAACCACTGCGCCACCCGGGAGGGCCCACTTTCTAGTGTACTTTTGAGGCAGATCTTTGGCTTCTAGAAAAGGCTGGTGAAAGATCACATGACACACTCCTGGTGTGGGGACCATCACCTGACAAACCTGGTTTAGGGTTTAGCTCTGGGCTCAACTGAGGGGAAGTGTTACAAGAATGCTGGGGATGGTAGAAAATGCATCTTCGTAACAGGGGAGGAGCATCGCAGGGCAGTGAGCTGGTGCCATTTTCCTTGCCCCCACTTCCGGTCACCTAGAATTACAAGTCCCAGTGTAACATGGTCTGGACTTCCTGAGCAAGGAGCTACTGGGAACTAGGGCAGAGCTCAGTGGCCAGATGAGGTTGTATAACACAGAAGGCAGGTAAGCTCTTGGGATCTGGTTTCTGTGGCCAACTTGCATCATGGTGCAGCTGGGAATGGGGCTTGGAGGAGACACATGGAAGAGAGACATGTAGAAATTGTTGAAAGAAACACATGGGTGAGAGACACATGAGAGGCTGACAATGGCAATTACTGCCTTGATGTGGTATCTACTTTTGTCCCAGGTCTCAACGACCTGCTTAAGCTCCTGGCTATGCCCCCTCAGAGGTTACCTTAGATTGGGTCAAGCTATCAGGCCTTAGCAACCCCATTTTGGGTCGACCTGTTTGGCTGGGCATTTGCCCATGTGTGGGGGATTTTATTGGAAACCATTATTAAGACTATCCTCTCTTTGTTCACTTTCTGTGTACACTAATTCTACTAGAGCTCTTTCCCACAAGAGTCTGCTTTCTTTGTCTTTATGCAATGGATTGCAATATCCCTTTTAGAGAGTGCATCCCTTAAGTTTGGGGTCCCTGGGTACCAATCAGTTGTGTGCTAACAGGAAGATTTCCCAGAATGTTTTTTTCCTCATGAATTCAAGTTCAGACAAACATCTGCATCTGTAGGCAGGAGTCAGAGGAAGCCAGAGAGAGTAGAATTCATGCAAAAGGAGAAATTCCGGGCCAAGTGGTGCTGGCTGCCTCCAAGCCTGCCTCTTTTTCAGTGTGTGTGGTCATGGCTTCTTTAGGATGTCGTAGCTTGTGACAGAGCGTGAAGGTGAAGGGAGACATCACATTGGGTTAAATGAGAGCTTTGTTCTTCCCCTTTCACTCTGTTCCCAGGTCCCTTGAAAGGAGGAAACTTTGGCTTAGTGATGGCCAAACCATTTCCTCTTCTCAGCCTCTGAACAAAGCCTCCACCCAGCTCCCTTCCCCAAGATAGGGATCTTGATTTGGTAGCATTTCATCTCTCTAACACAACCACCAGTCTTCTGCCACTCAGTAACCCCTTTATCCTAAGCCACCAGAGAACTGAAACATGAAGGGACACATTTTTAGTCACGGCCATTCTCCTGACCAATCAGGGTAGCCTCCAAAAGAAAGCCTAATGGATCCAAACATATGTGTAAATTCTATACTTCCATGTTTCTCTCACTGCTCTCCAGAACACTAATTCCTGAGCTGATGATAGATCTTCCCAAAGGGAACAAAAGATTCTGTGGTCAAATAAACTTAAAGAACATTGCATACTTGCTCTCTCTCTCCTGGATATTTACAGTGCACAGTAGGATAGTAAAGGCTCTGAGAGGGCTGAAGTAAAGGAACCTTTTAAATATTATCTAACCTAAGTTTCCCAAACATATTTTGACAAGAACAAGCAAGCAAAACCTTTCTCCTCCAACCCCTGTAAAACATAGTAGAAATCCTCCTACCCAATGCAATTAAGACTAAGAATCGTGTTAATTAAACGACTTTAGAGCAGAGACTGCTTTAAAATGACATGCACTGTCTTAGACCTTTTATTGAACTTAAAGGCACATCAATATATAGATATTAGCCGATGTTTTGAAAGCCCAGGCCCTTGTTTCCTGTGTGTCTGTTCACTGGCATTCTGGACTACCTTTCTTCCATAAACCATAATCCACCTTACATGGACAATTTCTAGTGCTTTTTTTTTTTTTTTAAGTGTCTTTCAGAGAACATACAGATCATGAAACAATCCAAATGCATCATTTTGGGGGATATTTTTTAAAAGAAGCTTTAGATTCACAGCAAAATTAAGTACACAGGACAGAGAGTCTCTATATGTCCCCTATGGGTCTCTGCATTATCAGCCTCCAACATTATCAACATCCCATACAGTGTGTGTAACAGTTGTTACAACTGATAGGCCTCTGTTATTATCAGAGTCCATAGTTTAGAGTTGGGCCCACTCTTGATGTTGTATTCTGTAGGTTTAGAAAAATGTACAGTGACGTATATCTACCATATACGTCATATCACAGTATCATACCACAGTGATCAGTTCAATCATCCTAAAAAGAAAAGTCTGTGGGCTCTCCCTGGTGGCGCAGTGGGTTAAAGCACAGCACAGAGAAGCTAAAGCCACTTCAGCATGAGTTCGATCCCTGCCCCAGAGGTGACCACAAGGTGCAGCAGACCTCTCCTGACCCGCCTGCTGCTCCCCTTAGCAGTGTACTTCAGTCAGCCTTCAGTCAACCCACTCTGTCTCTGGTGAATCCTCTCACTGCCCCTGTACCTCTGGCCTGTACCCCAGTTCTGTATGTATAAACAAATAAATCTTTTTTTTTTTTTTTAAAGCCTGTGCTTTACCTGTTCATTTCTCTTTCCTTGTTTAATATCTGGCAATCACTGTTTCTTACTCTCTTCACTTTTTTTTTTAGAATGTCATATAGTTGGAATCATACAATTTCTAGCCTTTCCAGATTGACTTCTTTTACTTCTAATACGCATCTAAATTTCCCCCACATCTCTTCAAGGCTTAATTACTCCTTTCCTTTCAGTGCTGAATAACATTCCACTGATTGGATGTACCACAGTTTATTTATTTCAATTAGCTTTTGTAGAACAGATCTTTTTTTTTTTTTTTTGTACTCCTATTTCATCACTTTACATAACACGTAATTACTCAAAGACAAAGACCAGTAAAACTGGCAAAAACAGATTTGGTGAAACAACAATTAATGATGCTAGGTAAAGATTTGCAACCCAAACGCTGTTATTGGTAAGTGATTTTCTGGCTTGTGCAAGGGGATGGAAAGCTTCAGGTAATATTGGAGTCTGTCAGTGAAGAAGACCAGGAGAATATTGCCTTAATATTTGAGGAACTTGTGTTCCAGGGTTCCCTGTTGGGAAATGTTGGCTGAGGCCTGATTTTCCTGAGGGTTTTGCTGTATTTCTCTCAATATAGTGATTTTTGTCCCCTTTCCTGTAACATGTTTAATGTTTACCTATATGTAACTATCTACAATCCCTTCACTGGCTACCATTGCAAAATATATGTATTTTGGATAAGTTTCACTAACTATGCATGTAGATCTCAATTCACATTCCCAAAAGCCTTTTAAAATTCTTTGACTTCTTATCAGAAGACAGGTGAGGTTATCTATTTTAAATCCATAAGGTGTTTTTTTTTTTTCTTTTTGAAGGTTTATTTATTAATGCACACAGAACTGGGTTACAAGCCAGAGTTGCAGGGGTGGTGACAAGCTTCACCAGAGACAGAGTGGGGAGCAGAACAGGCAGATCGATGAAGTACACTGCTGAGGGGAGCAGCGGGCGGGTCAGGAGAGGTCTGCTGCGCCATGGGGATGACCTCCACCATGTGGATCACCTCCGGGACCAGAAAGAACTTGCACTGAAACTTCTGCCGCCAGCTTGCTGTGCTGCATCCTAACCTGTTGCATCACAGGGAGGGCCTCATAAGGTGGCTTAAGATAAGCACATACTAGGATTAGGATCTAATATTTTCTGATTGTTCACTCGTCTATTCCTCCCCATGGTAACTTTAAGGACCTCCTCAGTGGGGAGGGTCACACATGGATTAATCTATTTAGAACTTCTAATATTTTTTCCCCCACCTGCCTGGGATACTCTGCTTTGGAGTCTACTGACTTTATAACCGCCCACAGAAAATTAGAAGATCAATTAAAAATCATTTCAGTGTCAACATGTCAGAAATAGGCAATAGCAGAGCCCTTTCAAATCAGTGGAGCTGATCTCTGGAGCAAGCTGAGGCACAGCAGGGGTCACTGAGAGGAGCTTTGCTGGTTCCACCACCAAGAATTATCATCATAGCCAGCTGTGGCCCCCACATTTTCAGTAGCTCACAGTCAAACTGGAAGCAAACTCAGAAGCTTTGCAAAAAGATTAAGTCCCAGACTAAGGTGGGATGGAGGGAAGCGAAAGGCTTCCTTTCTGGCAGAGCTCGGGGTCCTTGAGTTCACTCTGGAAAGGTTTCACCAAAGCTCCCCTTTCAGTGCCCTGCAGTGAGTTTCTTCAAGAGACAAAGACTCAGTTAAAGAGTAAGTTCATTAGAAAGAGACAGGAGAGGAAAAGACACTTGCATAGGCACTAGCGGGCAGGAAGAGCTGCCCCTTTATGGGGGTTTGGCTTTATTACCTCCTTTGGGTAGGGAGGGGCCCATCCTTGCTAACAGTCAGTTGCTGATTTAAATATCTATGCAGAACTTGAGAGGACCAGAGATTGCCTGAGCTTGTCTCCAAGTCCTTATCTTTTACCTATTGGGTCTGAGCTTCAGGCACTGCCCCCAACAGTCTGTTACCTGCTGGGACCTCTTGGAGACGTCCAGGCATCCAGGACTTCCTGGCATCCAGGTTTTGGCGCCCGAGGACCTTGATTTTATGGCTGTGTTAATTGTTAAGCTGGCCCCCTCTACCCAGCCCCCTTGAGTGAATTAATCTTGTGATTCCTCCTCTGGCGTTCCTTCCTCAGTGCCACCCCTGATTCTCGACAATCTCCACCTCAGCCCCTCGGGAGAAATCCCTGGCCCCAGCCCCAAGCTAACCTATCCTCCCTGGAGGTCCCACCTAGTATAGTGGCTTCTAGCAGCTGAGATGAGGAAGAAGGGTGGGGAGCCCATGTTTTTAGCACCTTCTTCGAAAGAGCCCCAGATTCACAGAGCGTTCAGGAAAAATAAAGTGAATGACTGTATGTAAAATCACCCCTGGCACATGGTGGGGGGACCCTCTCACTTTTATTAGGGGAAGTCAGGGCTGCTGTGACAAACAGGCCAGAATTCAACAACAGTCCTCACCAAATCTTAACGGGAGTAGGGTCCAAAAAGGTCAGCAGAATTGGCCAGTCTGCTCTAGCCTAGGTAATAGTGGCTCGGTAATAGTGACATGACCACCATTAAAAACAGCTGCCCGGGCTCTCTCTGGTAGCACTGTAGGCTTAAGCACAGCACTAAAAAGCTAAAGCCACTTCAGCATGAGTTCAATCCCCGCCTGCCCTGGAGGTGACCCACATGGCGCTGCAGACCTCTCCTGACCCGCCCGCTGCTCCCCTCAGTAGATTTTCCTGTTCTGCTCCCCACTCTGTCTCTAGTGAAGCCTCTCACTGCCCCTGCACCTCTGGCCTGCCCCCCAGTTCTGTATGCACAAATAAATAAATCTTAAAAAAAAAAAGAAAAATAGCAGCCCTCCCTCCACCTGGATCAGCCCCTTCCAGGCAGCAGGGAGGCAGATTCACTTCAGCCCCTCACTAGAGCCCCTCATGTGTCTCTAGAGAACCACAGCCCCACCCATCAGATGGGCGCACCTGCTGCGCTGTGGATTTTCTCCAAGGACTGAGAAGGAGCCGCCTGGATGCAGCCAGCACAGCACCAACAACAGGCGCTTTGTCTGTTACATTTCTGTAATTGGAGCTCAAACACACTAGCTCTGGTGACAGTCAGAGCAGCCCAGCTGGGGGGTGGCGAGGGGGTCACCCTCTCTCTGCACAGCTCTCTGTGAGCCCTGTTGACAGAACCCTTTACTTGAAGCACTGAAAAATGACAATGTGTTAGGTGAGGTTAGAGGCTATTAATTAACATTACAATGTCTGTGGACTGCCTCTCCAAAGGAAAGCCTAATTTATTTCACTTGTCAGACAACTCCTCCCTAGCGCAAAGATTATAGATTTCCCTACAGAATTAGGAGTTTGGAGTAAACCTTGTAGTTCTGATTGAACCAACTACATAATCCAAGGGGCTCTGGTGCAAAATCAAAGTGCAGGGTTTCTTATGCAAAAAGCAGGGGGAATGTGTTATTATAGGTGGTAAAATAGAAAGCATTTTCCTTTCTTTTGTAGTCTCTGCTTTATCTGTCAGGGTGTGCTCATTTGTTTTTACTCTTGTAATGCCTGGCCAGGGAAATGCTCACAGGGCAGATGTGACCACATAGGGCCCCCCCACCCCGTGACTGGGCATGTGAATGTTTGAAACCCACCAGCTACCACACTCACTGAGTGAGGCCTCATGCCCTGGCCAGAGGTAGAGAAATTGAGCTAATGTCCCACCTTCCCATGGCTTTACCTGCCACCCCCAGCCCACTGTGGAGAGGCAGGCACAAAGGCATTGCAACCTGGGATATCCCAGGTATCAGGGAGGGCAGCAGACTTGCCCTCGCCGGGTTGTGATGGTTGCTCAGCGTTGCCAGGTATACATGGCCCTGCCCAACCCTGGCAGCCCACTGTATGTCAGGACCCAGTGGGGTGGATGGCCGCAGCAGCTGTTGGGTGGGACGGTGAGGGTGATACTAGCAGCACCTGGGTGCCAGGGACCAGAGAGCAGGCAGCTGAGAATCTCTGGCAAGGTGGGGAAGCAGCAGGAGGTGGAACTGGGCAGGAGTCAAGGCTCCAAGGTGCCTGCTCTGTTGACTCACTTATGAGGCATATACGACGATATGGCTAAATGAAGTACTTTGGGGTGGCACCAAGTAGCCCTTTGTGCCCCGTGAGAATGCCCCAGCCATGTGCCCTGAACTGACCCAGACCGCAGACCTGAGATGAAACCATTTTGATTGTCTTCTCACCCCAAATACGTGAATGTGTAGGATTTTGACATTCATTTCATATTATCTATATTTGTATGCACACACACACACACATACATGTTCCAAAGAAGGACTTCATGTATTCCCCCAGTTCAAATTTAGTTCAGTCATGAGTTCATGAACAGCATTGAGACTGAAGTCAACCTGTCTTCTATTTGAAAGCTCTTCTAGTGGAAGGAAATATACCAAAGTATTAAAAGTACCTCTCTCTGGCCAAGCTGTAAAAGAAAATTTCTGATATCGTTTTCTGGACACTGAAGTGATCTTTCCAATGAATATGGATGCATGGACTGCTCTTGTGATTAGGATAAAAACAATAGCTATTATTTTGTGAATTACTTCAATAAGCATACTTTACCTGTAGGGAGAGTACATTCCTCCTTGGACTTCTCTGATACAACCAGTGTTAGCTCTCTGTTAACTTTTCTTAATACCTCCTGGATCATATGAATTTCAAGATTTTCCAGAAGTTTGTGAAGCTAGAGGAAGCACAGAGTAAGTCACCATGTTACGTTCCAGCAGCAGGACCCTGGGCCAGGTCTTGTCTTGCCCCTGTTCTCTCTCAGGGAAGGAGGGCTTTCTTTCTCCGGCCCCTGGGCCCCAACCTTGTCAGAGAACAAGTCTCTCTTTCTTGCTTATACCCTGATTGATAAATATTGCAAATGCTCAACACCCAAGGGTCGTTTGGGATCTCTAAGTGTGGTGGGGAATTTTGTTAGCAGTCACCACGACAGAAGCCTGGAAGCTTGAAACTCAGTATAGTCACAAAGGAGGACTTCATGAGATTGAAAGCTCCATACATGACCAAGAGATATCTTTGCTCCCATAACTGCGAGCCTCTTCTGTTCCCCGTTATGCGTGCAGAGTCCACATTTCTCCCGGTGGGAGGACCTCATTTGCTATAGGGTAAACAGGGGTCAGGAGAATTAGCAGTGGGGCTTGGGGCTGGGGTGGGGTGGTACTGAAATGGCGTTAGTGCATCGTTGCACTGACACCCAAAGAGCAAGAGACTTTGCCTGTTATCATAAGCACAGCCCACAGCGTCCCAGGAGCAAGGTGAAATACACCCTCCACACTGACTGTATTACCCACACCAAATGGGCTAATGAGTCTCAACAAGATGTTTTAAATACCATTTCCACGGGCCCAGGGAGGTGTGTTATTTACATGTTGGATTTTATGTTTAAAATGCTAGCAGCTAGTTTTGTTGATCAAAACTTTCTTGGGGGAGGTATCCCTTAATTGAAGAAAACCAAAATATGAAAATCTAGACTTACAGAACTGATATGTTAAGGGCTAGTTATTATCTGCTTCATCATGCCCTTAAACACTTACTTAGCTCCATCCCTGAGTTTGCTCAATGATGTCCAGCCTTCAATTTACAATTAGCTAAGAAAAACAAATCACTTGGGTCTGTCTATCTTTAGGTTTCCATCACGATGCCATAGAACAAATTTTCAAAGTCAAGTCAAGATAGGTCCTGCATACCTGGTGAGTTTTTATTTCAATTTCGGAAGCTCCTTTGGGGGGAAGAATAGACTGACTACAAATTATAAGCCCCTCAAATTCATCTTCTTTCCCCATCTGCCTGGCTAATGCTTTCATGCTGGGATAGAAGATGTCAGTCCTATTAAGGAAGAGAGACAGGCATTAGCAAACATATTTTTTCTCATCTTAATTCCCTGACAGTTGTTTTTATTCACGTTCTGATTCCTGTCATGTATAAACCTCCCAATTCACCACTGTTGCCACTTTCTTCACCAGTCTTCAATCCCGAGGTCTTTGCAGATGGGGTACATTTCATTTCAGTATCATTTTGCAAAAGAGCGAGGGCCTATATTCCCTAACTGCCAGAAAAGCTGACCATAGTAACTTCATAAGGAAGTGATTGAGACTGCAGTGAACCTTGTCCTTAGTTAAGAGCCAGGTGGCGGGCGTATGTTCGGAGAATACTGTTTGCTAACATACATGGCAGACTATACATCTCCACTGGCATCTCTGTCAGCCCAGCCCGCGCTTGAAGCTGCAGAAACACATCCCAGTCCCAGGCTTAAGCCCTCCTGCTGTACCACATTACATCCCTCTGACTGAAAAACATGAGGCTCTCAGGCTCAGCTCACGTGTGATAGGGCAGGAAGTGGACAGGCGTGGAAGTGTTAGGGGGAACTGATGTCCTGAAGGAATTCTGCTCTCTGGACTGGGGGGCTGGTGGCTATCAGTGTGTTACTGGAGTTCCAAGTCAGCAGAGCTAGTAGGATGTTCTAGATAACTTGTATCTCTCTCTTTCTCTCTTTCCCTGGGTTGTTCCTTTTCCTTCCCCTTTTGTAAATAAACCCATTGTTGATCCTTGCTGTGTGCCTGCAGTACAATTAAATTTTCAGTGCGCAGGTGTGAACCCGCACACAGTGTGAGCTGGGCTGCTCTGAGACAGAAGCAGCAGCATCTCTGCACCCAGTGCTGTCTGGAATCTCTGCATTAATGTTTAGAGTCAGTACCCGGGGGGGTGCACCTTAAGCCCTGCTTCTGGGGCAGAACTGTGGCTAGGTGATGCGCAGTGCCACTCAGGGTGGTCCCTGTGGTCTGGAGAATCAGCTTTGCCCCTAAACACTATTTGGAGACACCGACCACTGGCTTTTTCTGGGGTGTGACAGGCCAGAACTCATGGAGCAACTTTTGTCTTCAGAGCAGGGAGCGAAGATTTGTTGAACCCGAGGTTCCGCTCATCCACATGAAATACACCTCAGCAACACTCACCCGTAGATCTCTGAGAACTGTGTGTAGAGTGAGGCCGAGTCGATGTTCTGGCATCTCAGCCTGAGGCGGCTCCAGTGCTCCTTCAGAGCTTCCAGCTGCTTCCACAGCACGAGATATGATCTTAGCAGAGCCAGGGACATCACTGGGTCGCAGGGGCCCTCCTGAGGCTCGGGAGCTTTGGGGTGGCTTCCCAATGGACTTCTGAAGCCTGGCCGTAGGGGCAAGTTTGGCTGCAAACATTACAGAAATTGTTTTTTAGTAAGATTTATTTATTTGTGCATGCAGAACTGGGATACAGGCCAGAGGTAAAAGGGTGGTGAGAGAAGTCACCAGAGACAGAGTGGGGGGCAGAACAAGCAGATCAACGAAGTACACTGCTGAGGGGAGCAGCGGGTCAGGAAAGGTCTGCCAGCCATGTGGTCACCTCCGTGACAGGCGGGGATTGAACTCATGCGGAAGTGGCTTTAGCTTCTCGCTGCTGTGCTTTAATCCGCTGCGCCACCAGGGAGGGCTCCAGAAATGTTTTTTAATTGATTATGGACTTGCACAGGAGAAACTTCTACATGCAGCCCCGACACAACATCTCTGGAGCGTGACTTCTCCCCAGGAGGCTGGTTATAGGCCTGTTGGCGGGAGCGTCAGGAGACCAACGCCTGCATCACAGGCCGGCTCCAGCCCTGAGACCCTGTGTAAAGCTCTTCCAATTTTTGTCTGCTTTGAAGAGAGGAGCCCATTCATGGTACCAATGTAATAATACCAGAAATTGGGGATTTTATCCATTGGGGTCAGGAATGGGAACTTCAGTTTGTTTTACCCATTTTCTATCTTCCATCTTTTAAAAGTTAGACAGAGAACAAGTCTCAATTTGAATTTATTATCCAATAGGCAATTTTACTTAAAATCATGATTACTCATTCATTCATTCATTGGTGTTCAGAGGCTGCTCGGAGCGCTGGAGGAAACAGGCTTGCAGATCCCTGCTCCCTGGTGGCCAGCAATGTAAGGGCTGGGTCACCCAGAATGTGACAGAATGGGGCCTGAGTCTAGGCCTTCCATGCCTCCATCACAGGAAAAGGAATTTTCTGCAGGAGGGAAGGTGGCAAATCTGAAGCATGATACTATGACAGGAGAGGCCTCAGAGTACACTCAGGTAACTAGAATTTAGACACTAGAGTTGCCTGGCAAGGAACAGGAAGAAGAACAACCACCTGGTGTAATTGGATCCTGGATTAGTGCTATTAACATAGAAAGGCGTGGCTGCCAGAAATAGGAAAGTTGGCAAGCATGACCCTAGGAGAGCCAGCTCCAGCAGAAAACTGGTAACGCCTAACCCTTGCAGTCCAGGTAGGCACAACAGTCCCCTAATCCATGCAGTTCCAGATTTCTTTTTAGAATCTATTTATTTATTACTTATCCTTGTCTGTTCATTTTATTACTTTATTTTTATTTATTTTTTTTTTTTTAAAGATTTTATTTATTTGTGCATACAGAACTGGGGTACAGGCCAGAGGCTCAGGGGCGGTGAGAGGCTTCACCAGAGACAGAGTGGGCAACAGAACAGGCAGATGGTCAAAGTACACTGCTGAGGGGAGCAGCGGGCGGGTCAGGAGAGGTCTGCCACACCATGTGGTCACCTCCGGGGCTGGCGGGAATTGAACTCATGCGGAAGCAGCTTTAGATTCTCAGTGCTGTGCTTTAACCCGCTGCGCCACCAGGGAGGGCCCCGACCCTCCGTTTTTGATCCCATTCCCCACTCCACCCCCACATTATGTCTCTGGTATATGACTGTTCATTATTCTTATTATTTTTTTGCCTGGTCCATTATCATCCTGCTATGAGCGAAACCATTCGATATTTTTCTTTCTCTTTCTGGCTTATCTCACTAAGCATGATCCCTTCCAGCTCCATCCAAGTTGCTGCAAAAGACATGTGTTTCCTTTTTTTTTTTTGGTTGCTGAGTAATATTGTAATATTCCATTGTATATACATGTACCACATCTTTTTAATCCAGTCATCTACTTTTGTGCATTTGGCCTGTTTCCATGTTTCAGATTTCTTTTATCTGCAGAAAACTTTCATCAAGTGAAATCTTGCACAGTGGCCCAAAACATGCCCCAGATCAAGGTGGGCATGGAGGGGGCAGCCTGCAGGTCACATAGGTGGTGCCCTCTGAGGAGCCCAGAGCAACTGGGGCACAGATCTATAGACCCTGAGCGAACTCATCAACTTCTCTTTGGACTTTCAAAGACTGAGATGTAAGAGATCCTAGAGCTGGTGGCATCCCTGGGGCAAGGAAGCTGGAGCCCTGATACACAGGCAGTGTGTGTCCCATGTCTGTGAGTGCTTAAGACCCCTAGGTAGTATATATACATCATGAAATAAAGCTAAACAATTTCAAAGCAAACTTGCCTTGTTAATATAACCATATCACTAGTTCTGGCCTGTGTTTTATAGAATGGGAGAAGGAGCAGGAGACAGGATAAAGCTGGGGTTGTCATAGAAAGGAGGCAGTGCATCAGAGACAGGGACTTTCTCTAATCTCAATGCTCCCTCTGGGCGCAGCATCCAATCCTGTCAGGGAAGTTAGCAGGCACATCTGAACACTCTGCCAGGTCCGCTGGTTGTGCTGAAGTGAGTTCTGAAGTGAATCAGTTTTAGCTGGTGAGATACAAGGAAACTGCCTCGGAAGGATTCTGGGAAAGACTTTCCTCTTTGATAAAAAGATAGACTCCCTCCAGGAGAAACCACTGTACCCTGCTTCCATTTTACAAAGATGAGGGACATTTGGGATGACACAACTCGAGTCCTCAGAGTATTGCTGAATGGCAGCACCGACTTGAACTGCCTCCTTCCAGACCCATTTCGAAAGATGAACACACTTCTCTAATTCAAGTCATGGCTGGCAAAGCCACCTGCTAGTTACAGCAGCTGTGCTCTCGCTCAAAGGTGGAGCAGCAGAAAAGCTGCCAAAAGATGGTGGTTTGGGAGTTGAAACCTGAGGATAAGTAGACGTTAATTAGATGGTGAAGATACAGTTGAAAGAGAGGGACTGCCTGCTCGAAGGAGCAGAGGGGAGAGCATGTAATGCGTTTGCCAAAATGATACAAGTTCAGAGCAGAAAAGTTGGCAGGAGTCAAGTTCTGAAGATCTTGTTAAGGCTCTTGGCCGCTCATGTCTGGCATTCGGAAGTCATTGAGGATAATAGGAGGGAAGTGACACATTTCAATGCAAACCTTTGCATTGAGAAACACCGTCCTGGTAAACGGACTGCAATGCAAGATGGTGTATTGGCAGCCCAATTGGGCGGCAGATGGTGATGATGATTTGGCTGGTGGAAGGGGCTGCGGTGGGACGATGGAGAAGAACAGCGAAACTCAAAAGATATTAGAGTCATAAAATAGTAAAACTTGGTGTCCAGCTGTGAAATGCGATAAAGAGAAGTGAAAGTTGATGCCCAGATTTCCTGGCTTGTGTCAGTGGGCAGCTGTGAGAAAGTGATAGAGAATAAGGGAGTGAATTTGGGAGGAGTCCAGTGACCTCAGCGTGGGACATGCTGTCACCACGACAGAACCAGGAGCTGAATATGTGGGTCTGATAGGATGGAGCTTTGGGCTGTACCGTTAGATCTGAGTGATGGCTTGTAATTGTCATCACAGCTCTAAAAGTAGCTGGCTTTACCGGGGAAGAGCGAGTGGAGCAGAACAGCAGGGTGCTCTCCGGGCCAGCCTGTTAATCTGGGTCTCTGTCGTCACTAGGCATGAATCTTTGGGTATGCTACATAAATGTTTGAGCCTCGGCGTTCTTATCTGTAAGTGAGAATACATCCTTATGGAATTATTATAAGGATTAAATAGATGAATACTCTGCACTCTGAACAGATCTTAACTCATTCATTGAGCAGCCTTGAGCATTAGCTTGAGAAGGCACTGAGCCTAGGGTCTTGCAGTTGTGATAATTCCTTTTAAAACGAGAATAAAAAAAGCTTTTAGGTAGAAAAAATGCCGTCATGTATCATACTAATTCATTTTCTCTAGAGTAACACAGTTGTAAACTATAACTAATGTTCTTTTATGGAGAAAGGGGCCCACAGAGGCTGCAGGCCTGGGTGTCTACGTGCAGCCCAACAGTAGCGTAATAGTAGTAAGAGAAGGACAGAGGCTGCTGACAATATGCACGTTTGGGAGATGGGGCAGAACAGAGGGGCCTAGGTGGGGCCTGAGACGGCCCCGACAGAGATGCTGGAGCCCAACTAGGAGAGTCACGCTTCAGAAGACAAGGCTATAGTAGCCTTGAGACCACACTGGCAGATTCTGTGGGATCGGTGGGGTCTGCAAGCGTCCAGGACCTCCTGACAGGAGCCTGGTGCCCTCAGAAGTGGTCTCAGGGGGAACGTGGGGTGGGGGTGGGAAGGAAACATGACAGTTTCTAGAGAGTGGGTGGAAAACAAGGACGTGGACATGGCTGGTGCAGGTGTCTCTCAGCAAGTCTGGCTGTGAGAAGGAGCCAGAGGAGCTTTCATGGGGCACCAGTACCCCTTTCTGCCCCCTCAAGTCCAGACAGTCCCTGCTTGGTTCCTAATACAGGAGGAATTATTTCAACTGATGCTAGGGGTCTGGGGGCTCGGTATCTCCAGCTCAGAGGGCCAAGTCTGGGAGAGGCATGCTTGTCTAGGAGCCCCCCACTAGTTATAGGAGAACCAGAGCCCTGGCTGGAATTACTCGCCTGCGGCCTCTGTCACATGCCCGTGCTCCTTCCATTCCCGTCCTGAAGGTGTGTGACTCACAAGAAGAGCAAACAGCCAGAGAATTGTATTATTTTTCAGTGACCTCCATCATCTCTGCTCTATTGTTTAAATCGGAAGAAACGGCTATGCCACTGTCACGCGACTTACTGGGAAGAAATCCTTTGCAGGGGCTTTCACAGACCTCCTTCCGCTGCTGAGTCCCTGCGACTTTAGCACAGGGGCGCTGGGCGAGGCTGTGGGACTGGCGTGGCTTGTGAGGGACAGCGCCGGCTAACTGTGTGGACGGCTCCCCAAAAATACCTGTGCACTTCTGTCCGGTGGGTCTTGCTCTCCTGGAGGACGCTCCAGGGCCAGATGCCAGCTGCTCAGACGGACATCTTCCAGCAGTAACTGCATGCCCACCAGCTCTCCATGGGCCACCTTGAGGTCACGGTCCCTCAGACTACAGAAGCACAGCTGAAACCAAACAAGCAAAGCCATCCTTTCCCAACACTTCCATGTATGTTTTACAGATGGTATTATAGTAGGAAACTGAAGTAATTGTGCTTATAAGTTCTACCTCTCAACTATTAATAAAATCAGGGTAACATTTCTAGCTCAAAGTCTTCCTGGCACATGCCCGACATTTGGTTCTGCATGGAAGTACCAACCTTTCCAGCCCTCACAAGCACTGTCTGCGCTTGGCAAGTATGTAGTGGGGTAGGATTTTTCCTTTAACAGTACAGTTATAAAAAAATTAAAGTACAGATATAAACAGATAGGGAAAAAATAAACATGCATTTTGATTATCTCTTAGTGGGAGCTACAACTGATTTTGTAAACCATTCTTCCTTCTTTACTTTTTAAAAAGCCTTTTGACTATGGAGAGTTTTGATCACCTCAAAAAAAAAGCAAACAGAACAGTTTCCTTACCCAGTCCCAAGAACCACCAGCCTATGCCCAGTTCTGCTACACCCCACACACACTCCTTATATATATTATATTGAAGCAAAATTTAAATTGATTTTCCTGTGGTTAATACATTTTATATTTCTATTTTAAAAAATGAAAACACAATATGATCTATGTGAAGAATGAAAAAACAGATGAACGAAATTCTCCTCCCAAGGCCTGCTAGAGTTGTTTTCCCACCAGCACTCACGGGCAGGTCGGGAGTCATGCCCGTGACATTCTCTAGACACCCACGCAGTGACGAGACAGATGGCTGCTCTCCTATCATTACTGGTCATGGGACCTCAGCTGAGTCTACACCCAGGCCGAAACCCGCTGAGCCCATGATTCTCCTTTGTCATAAGAAAGCACCACTCACCTTGCAGCAACGGTTGACAGCTTTACATTCAGACATCTGCCTATTTCATGTATGACTCACTGCTGACTAGAGGCTGGAGGATCTGACCTATGGAGCCAGAAGCATCCTCTAAGCAACCTGCATCCTATGACAAGTGGAAAGCGCTGTCCTACCTGCATGCTCTCCTCTAGGGTATCTGGACTGTTATTCATCACTGGAAGCAGCCCTCCATCTTCCAGAAGCGTTCTCCAAGGGAACAGCATAAGTGCCTAGAGGAATCAAATCATAAACATGTCAACACTCTGTGTGCCCCCCAAGTAATAGCATCGTCTATGCATTGGGTATCTGGTGCCTGGTGGATGATCTATTTAGTATGAAGAAATCACTTTTGGCGAGGAGAATAACAACCTCATATTTTTTTTTTTTTAAAGATTT